AAAATTTTAGTTAAGTAAATTGCAATTATAATTATATAGATCTCAAACATGAAGTATCTATTGATCCATATTATTAAAACAGTAAACAACATTGCTATATGTTATTCATATACATAATATTTGACGACTAAAATGTGATTGCCGCTTTGAAAAATGTATTGAGCGAGTGAAAATTAGAATTGATATGTTTCTAATAATGATATTTTTTTAAATATATATATACATATAATGGTTTTCAAATTATATGACTGTATTCATTTCAAATTTTCAAAAAGCTGATAACTGGCGGCTCGTGACGGATATTGCACAAACTATAAAACACCATGTTAGCAGGTCGATGTAGTAGTAGATCTAACTTACCCACGAATTAAACACAAGCACAACATACATATAAGTAAGTGTCTACGTAAAAGTACTGATATATAGGTTCGTTGAGATTACGTAGCAGAAGACACAAACGAATTTTGACCATAACCCTAATAAACAGTTGCAAACATTTATAGCGATCGTATTAAAAATTTAAGGTATTATCCCTCAATAATTTTCACATAAAATTATCGAACCATATATTAACAATATTGTCACTTGACTTTTCATTCACTTAATATGAAAATTTGATAATTGTTCTATAAGTATATAAGTTAACATCATAATTTGAAATATTCAGTGATTTATGACTAAAGAATTCGATATGTAATATCAGAAAATATTTTTCTAGACATTTTATCAGTTTCCTTTCTTTTTAGGTATCCAAGATGGTGCAAATTATGCCAAAATGGACATGGGAAGTTTGTAAAATGTTTATGTATATGACATTTCCTGTAGCGATGTTCCATTATTTTAATTCTCCACAAATATTTGAAAAGGAAATAAACAAGATAAAAATGGAACATTTTCCTACAATTTCATCGAAGAAACAAGAAATGGTTGAAAAATGGATAGAAGAAATTAATGCTCAACGTGAACTCAGGAAGATAGAAGAATTACAAGCAAATCAAGCAACCAAAATATAAAATGGATCTTCTATTGAATTGGAAATAATCCATATATTATAGAATTATGATTACATTATATATATTCTTATTTCTTAATTTGATGAAATTTTACAATTAAATTATTATTTATACCTAGTAGAAATGATGATGAAAAAATGAATTTACTTCCAACCCTTGTCATATTTCACTTCAATAAAATTCTCTCTGGATATATGATTCGGAAATTAACATGAAAAGAGAAAATGTGCAATAATAGTCCATTGAACAAGTATAATCAAAATTTTTAAGCTTTCGTCAAAACCATAATGTTATTGTTATTTATACATGTAAAAAGAAATAAATATTTTTATAGCAATGGAAATTATTTTCTATAAACAACTAAAAGAAAAACATTTTAATATTAAGGTATAAATTACCATAAAATTAGATAGCGTGGATAGATACTTCATTAAATTAATATAGTATCAGTGGGATGTGAATACATTAACATACATTCTAATATAATAATTAAATTCTGATTTTTTTTAAACAAACATCAAATCAAGAAGTTTAATATTGATAAATAAAGTTAATAAATGCATAATTTTATTTATCTATAAACATGATTAATATAACAGAATGTTGTAATCCCATGTCATCAATAATTATTTTTCAATGTAAATAATAACAGAAACAGAGATTTCTATTTTTGACATACATCTTAAAGACTTTAAATATTTTATTCATTTGATATTTTTCCATGATTATATTACAGTTTTTAACAAGACTTGCTGGCAAATGAATAGCACAGATTATAAAATTTATATTCCTACTTTCATATACAGTAATTAACGTGTGATTTTACTTTTATATTTCTACAAAATCAAAATAAGTAATATGACCTGCACACAAATTCAAATGTTATTCTCACCCTGTTAGAAATAATTTTTGGGTAAAACTGCTGCACGTAGTTATTTGCAGTTTAAAATAGTTAGTTATATTATTATAAACGTTATATGTTAAATATGTATAACAGTTATTAATATTTTTTTCTGTCAGTAATAATTATATACAGCAATAAACAATTATAAACAATTTCGAAAATGCACCTATCGTAAAAAAATGTGCTATTAATAGCACTTATGAATAGTTTTTAAATCAATTTCAAAAATGTAAATACTTGTTTACAACTGTGATAAATAGTTATTATATATGTGATAATTAAGAATTATTTTAAACACTTATATATTGTTATTATCACTAAATTTTTTTCACCTATAAGTACTTTTTTCGTGTCTGGTACTGGCAAATTAATAATTTCAATTAACTGTAAGTAATAGTTACTAATTTTTTATTTTAATAGATAATTGGTGATAACTCTTATTTATAGTTATTATTTCTTAAAATAAATTTGTCTCGGTGAATAAAAATCTAAATAACCATTTCTCACTGAAAAAAACTGTTATTATTTAATAACGATAGTTTTTTAACAGAAAATAACTCTTTGTAATCGTAATACGTGTACAGAATCTGATGTTTATAAATGGTTATAAATTATAAATAACTGTTAGCAAATATTTCTAACTAATGATTTCTATTTATTATAATTTTATGCATAAATTATTTCCGACGGGGCAAATAATAATTGATGATGTTCCCAATAGAAAAGCATCTATATATATATTGAGGATGAAAGAATTAAGCAGAAAATCAACAAAAATTGATCTGAAAAATCATAGAAAAAGAGCGCGTGATTAGTGAGTATAGCAAAACTCATTAATAATTCCGCGCAATTATGATTTCATTAATAAGAAAATTCCAAAAGTTGAACACTTCAAGATCAATAGAAATTGAATCTGCATTGTGTTTTAATTCGGTTTTATAAAAATAAATGTATTATATTGAATAGTTAGCGAAAATCCTGTGCAATTTTTCTATCCAATTAAAACATCATTATAACGAATCGTTTAAAATAATTAAATAATTATTTCTCATTACAGCGATATATGCACCTAAAAGATCAGTAGATAGCGTAGACTCAAGAAGTATGTACTGCATTCTGGAGTAGTATTCTATAACTTTTGGTACCGTATATACGTCACGATCGATATACTATACTGATACCGTATCGGCCGTACCCATACCGCGGTGTATGATAAGATCGAGCTATATATACTATAGCAAAAGTTGAAATATAAGGATTAACTGTCTCGGAAGGCGCATATTTTTAAATTGAATAGCCTGGATCTACAGTGTTTTTGTATTCATAAGTAATACATAATCATGTAGGTTTCACCTCTTTTTTTTGTTGCCAGGAAGTACAGGACTGCTTGAACGCATACTTGGAAGCATTACAAATAAATTGAAATAACTACATTTAATTAAAATACTTTTAGTTAAATTATTTTATAAAAATTATCTGAATAAAAACATGACGGTTTTTCAACAGCTTTGATGGATATTATCTGGAACTATACTTCTTCAAACCACTGATAAAGCAACAAGCTTATTCATTTTTTTTTTAATTTGAAATAATATTCATTTTCTTTTTGTAGGATGATGAATGTTCTATTTGCTTTAACAAAATACACGATCCAAAAACATTGATCTGCATCCACGTGTTCTATTTAGCACTTAAAAAAATGACAGTTCAATGTGTGATACTTATTACAAATTATTGCGATAGAAATGTACGCATATAATTGATATAGAGCTTTTTTGCAAAAAATCTTTGACGAAAAATATCTCGACATTGTAAATATCATCGAATTTATTTGTATTGATATTTACAAAATAAAATAATGTTACTAGAATGTATAATTGGTGCGCCAGTTGATGAACTAGTTTTCAATTGTATCGGTGAAGTGTGTACAAGAGAATCTTGTATTTGTATTACTTTAAACATTCTTTGCTGTTCCTTTTGTGAATCTAAAATTCAAATACTTTAAAAATGTATGCAATCAAAATCGAACGTAGCTGCGATTTCATTTCTACGCAGTAAAAAACATTTACGATAGCATTTTATTCAACGAAAAAAAAACAATGAACAACAACGAAACAAATTAGGTCATAGTGAGTAGTAAGTTGAAGATTGTTCTTCAAAATTAAGTAATTCAGAATACAAGTTAATTACAAAACGAACTCTGATTGAAACAAAGTGCACGTGTACGATGGGCTAGAGCCGGCGGCTCATGCGCTTCCCGTTCTCATGTGCCGTCGTGATTTTTACTCTCGGAAATTCATTATATTTTTAATTCCAATAAATATTTTTCAATAATAAAAAAAAGTATTGTTCGTTATTAAAAAGAGAGAGATTTAATATACTTACAGCAATCGATATCTGTTTAGCAAAAAAGGTGACTAGGTTTAAACAATTAATTTCTCAAAATCACTCGTTTGTTTGTTAGTAAATTAACGATATCTTTCATTATAATGTATATTATTATAATTTTCAAATCTGTTGTATTCTTGAAGAAGTAAAAAATCATTCGGTATTCTGGTGGTTTATGTAGCTCAATTAGAAAAAAGTTTCAACTGAATAAACAATTAAATTTGTTTTCGATGCGAATTTTTTCAGTTAATTTGTGATATTTTTGGTTAGAATCAATATTTTTTCAATTTGAATTTATTAATTGAAAATTAAAAATTTGAATTAATAAATTCAAATTGAAAATATAAACCCCGCGAATTTATTACTTAATAAAACATTTAACTCTTAATTTTAAAAGCAAAAACTTGTTTATAAAAAATGTTATGAACTTTTTTAAAGTAATTAATTTGTTAATAACTTGAAATACCTTCTACGACTGAAAACCTCACAGATATGGATTTAGAAGGTCAAAATACATACATACATATTTACATACAGCATGCACACATGCAACCATACATCATACATATACCTACATACAAACATCATATATGCATATATACATATACATATATAACCTTGGTGTTGGCGTCAACCTCGATCGGCCACGACCCCCCTCCTCCTGTCTATAGTACTAGCAAGTATAATACCAGTATGCCGAATGCACATTGGTGTTTAGGCATTAGTGTTAACCAGAGGTATCAACCTGATGACAACTATCGATTGTCAGATACAATAGTTCAATTATATATTTAAAATGGCTGGAATTTATGATGATCTGTCTTGGTCAGGTATATCAGTTATTCTTATAAAGAGCAAAGCTTTCAAAGAGACAGTTGCAAAACCAATACATATAATTTTTTATAAGAAAAGGTTATGTTGACATTGTAATTTCAGATGCTCGCGATTTTTTGCGAAATTGGAGAGAAAATTCAGAACGTCGAAGTAAGGATATTGTAGAAATATATGAGTCAATTTTAATGCCCCATGTTGACAAGTTAGGAAATGAAAGTAATTAATTTTTTGCTTTGTTACTTGAGTAAAATATTTGTCATTGATTGATGACAACTGCATTTTTTCAGAATATTTGGTATTGGAGCAAGTATGCATAGCTGCTTTGGATTGTTATCGGCTGTCATTAGCAGAATATTGTTTAAAACTTCTGGTGAAGGAATTCCCAGGAAGCTTGAGAGTTCATAAATACCATGCTATGCATTTAGAAGCTTTAGAAATGTAAGTATACTATTAAAATTTTTAATAAATTTCATCACAAATCATAAAAATACCTCATTTCTAGGTATGATGAAGCTTTAGAAGTCTTAGACTCAATAATCAAACGTGATGAAACAAATGCAGCTCCAAGAAAGCGACGTGTTGCTATTTTGAAAGCAAAGGGCCAAATACCTGAAGCTATTGTAGAATTATCTGGATATCTAAAAAAGTATATACTTAAGAAATTATCTATATGTACCTTATTCTGAATAAAATAATAATAAACTTTTGAATTTGTCCTGCAGGTTTATGAGTGATCAAGAAGGATGGCATGAACTTTGTGATCTTTACTTGCAAGAACAGGAATATAGTAAAGCTGCTACTTGTGTCGAAGAATTGATTTTACACAATCCTCATAATCATCTATTACATCAACGTTATGCAGAAATTAAATATTCACAAGTAATACTTTCAATTACAAAATATAATAAATAAATGAATAATTATTGTATTTTTTATTTTTAGGGTGGATTTGATAATATGCTTTTAGCAAAAGCATACTTTTGTCAAGCAATAAAATTGAATCCTAATAATATAAGAGCACTTTATGGACTGTTACTAGTAAGAATAAGTTTCACAAATTTTTTTATTGAAATTAAAACTATCATGTGATATTAATATATTTTATTTTTTAATATTTAGACAACAAATAACATTGCTCTTTCACAAAAATGTCCTGCTCCAAAAAGGAAAGAAATCATTAAGCTAAGTGAATGGGTGGCTAATCAGATTGAAAAACAGTACGAATCTAAAGTTACTAATGTAAAAGAAGATACAAAATGTATAGAAGGGTTACTAGCACAATTACAATTAGAAGCGTAGAAGTTTTTCGTAAAAATAGTAAATGTAATAGTTTTGCAATAAATTAGTTAGAATTTTCAACATTTGTATGTATATGTGAACAAAGTGTTATTTTATTGTCTCTGCACACTTTATTAATTTATTATCTGTGCATATTAATAAATGAAATATAACATTGTTAAATATTACAATATTACCTGTGATTATCTTATTCGACTAGAAAGTCAATTTCCAATTTTACCTATTAAAAATATTTATCCAACTGAGCATCATACGTTATCCTGACGTTAACATAACCTTAAAATCAACAAAACAAACTAAACTTAGTTCATTCCAAAATAATGTATCTGAAAGTATTTAATTTTTCATAATTTTATGAAAAATTATATTTTTATTCAGTAAAAAATAAATAATCATGGCTCCTCTCACAGATTTAGTATTGTGTAGTATATTAGGTAAGATACATAATAGTTTAGAATATCAATCTTTAAGCTACTGTCAAATTACAGTAAATCACATTTTCATACCTGTATGTGAATTTATTTTAAACTTGAAAATATTTTTTGATCAGTATAAAATGTGTTGTTGATAGAATATTAAATAATATATTTATTTTTTACAGAAAGAGATTGTAATAACGATAATTTATGGACATGGAGTTATCCATATATGATTGAAGATGAAAAACCATTAATATTAAGAAAATATAGTTATCTATCAGAGCATAATAATACTCATTCATTTGCTTTTTCTAAACATGGACAATATTGGTTTTATATTTATAATAATGATGCTTCAGATACTGGAAAACTTTGCCGGGTAAGGATGATTAATAATAGTAAATAATTTATTTGAGTGAGAATCATTCATTTTAATTATCTATACCTATCATCAGGTAAAACAATTTGCTATCATACTCTATACCAAGGACTATTATCCTCAGAAGTATGAAATACTTTGTAAACTTTTTAGTAAAACTTATAATAAAAATGGCAATCCTGTTGACATATTGAAACTCTATCTGAGTTCATACACTAAAGGGTCATTTGTGACAGAAGATAATGAGTCCTTTGCAACAGATGATTTTGATGCCTTATCTTTTGGTGCAAATACAAATGTTAAGGGATTGATAAAAGTTTTTGAATTGGAAACAATTTTAATCTATACAGCACTTTTGCTCAAAAAACGTATTGTTGTTTATCATCACAGTTTAGAACAATTATTCAAATGGATCAAAACCTTCCCAGCTTTAATGAAACATCGAAAAATAACTGATCATTTGTTTCCTTGGGTAGATTTAATACAAGATGAAATTCTTGAATTAAAGGTACATTTGAAATTTTATAACTACAAGAACATCATATTAATTAACTTCATTGTATTTTCAGAAACATTCATTTTATGTAGCAGGTTGTAAAGATGGTTTAATATCTTCAAGACCGGAATTATATGATCTCTTGGTAAATCTTCCAGCGAGAGAAATTATTGTACCCAATCATACAAAAGGTATTAAATTTAAACTTAGTAATATTTTTTGTTTATTGATTTGGTGATATTTTTTTACAGAAAGTTTTATAATGACTAAAACGCACAAAGAAATTGCAATGTTTATGGTCCAGCTGTGTGAAAATCAATCGTTAACAGAGATGCAAGTTATATCTGAAATTGCAGACAAAACTCAAGATTTGTTAAATCAATTAACAACTTTGGCTACTGTAGAAATTTCTAAAGGAGAAAAGAAGGTTCCTGTTCAATCAATCAGAGAGAAAAATCTTACTCCAGCAATTGAAAACTTTTTGATTAATCTTGCTGTTGTTGAAAACTTATTGATAATGTGATATTTTTCCTATTCTTGAATTATATGTAATGAATTCTGTTATTTATATATCTTTATAAATTGTTTTACAATATTTTCATTCAAATTAGAAAGTTTTTGTTATTAAAAATATAAAAATTTTAAATTGTACCTATGCAATAACGCACCTAGTGAATAGAGGACTGAAGATAGACCTCTCGATTGTAAGGGAAATTGTTGAAATAATTTTGATGACGTTATTAATTGCCTTAATTGTCTCTGATATCGGTGATCATTTCCCATTTTCGATTCGTCAACGGAAAATGTATGAAAATCACGATTTTCCTCGGTACATGAACAGGCTCGTTTACTCTAATAATTATTGAAGAATTTTTATGTTTGATAGTTCAAAATTCAGATTTTTATTTCCCTCGACAACGCCTCAAATCGCATTTGCTATTCGTTGCATAATTTTCAAATTAAAATTATTAATAATTTTCGTATTGTGAGTGGCGGGAAAACGGTGTCAGTTCATATTTCAGCATTCCATTTCCATCTCAGGTCGCAACATGAAAATTATTAATAATTTTAATTTGAAAATTATGCAAGGAATAGCAAATGCGATTTGAGGCGTTGTCGAGGGTAATAAAAATCTTAATTTTGAACTGTCAAACATAAAAGTTCATCAATAATTATTAGAGTAAACGAGTCTGTACATGTACGGAGGAAAATTATGATTTTCACACATTTTCCGTTGACGAATCAAAAATGGGAAATTATTACCGATATCAGAGACATATAGGGCAATTAATACCGTTGTCAAAATTATTTCAACAATTTCCCTTACAATCGAGAGGGCTACCTTCACAGTCAGCTGTGAAGTGAAAAGCGACTAGAACTACAAAATTCGTGACAGCAATATGTGTACATACACATGTGCATATGCATTCGTGTGTATAGCGGTCGGTTATAATACATAGAATAATACGATACTGCGCAGTCGGCAATGCGCACAACATGAATTCTTAGTTCGTAGGTGGCTCTGTGTCATTTATGCGTCTATCATCAGTTACTCGCTTAGGTTCATTGTTCGACGTTCAAAAGAAAAGGGTTCTTTACGAAAGATTTTGCGAATATTTCAAGGTATCGCGGATCAACATACCAGCGTAAGCAATCAATTCAAAACAAGAATTTCATTTTCTTCAGCGACTTGTATATCTTAAGAAAACCTATTTATTACATTTTACTTCCGAAACATTTAAAAAAACGTCGCATTTATTCTTTTTCCAGCTTTGTAAAAGTTGCGAGAAATCAACACAATGGGGGACATTGATGTTGCTGACGCATTTGGCTGTAGCAGGTAAATTTTCAGCTTTTGATAGTCTTATTTCTGATTAAATTTTCCAACAAGCTTAAATTGCTAGTTTGTATCAAAATTATACTTTTGCAATTATTTGGAAAGGGTAAAGATAATGGTCAAAAAATTCACAAACAAAGAGCTAATGTATGCTTGTTATCTACACAGGAACAGCGTTGCACCAATGAATCAAATTCGCTCAGCTCCAACTGAACGCTATGCTACTCATTACAACATGAACCATGGCAAGCGTGGTCTAGCAATAATATTCAATCATGAATTTTTCAATATCAGTCATTTGAAACCACGTCATGGTACAAATGTTGATTGCGAAAACCTTGCCAATACCCTCAGAGTTCTAGGATTTGAAGTTAATGATTTTCACAATTCAAATCACAAGGATATTGCCAAGTATTTGGAAACAGGTAATTGTTTTTATTATAATTAAAATTATTATTTCTTTATTTATTAAGACAAACTTTAGTTATTCAACTCAACTCTTTGCAAATGTACAGTAGCAGAGATGGACCACTCTCAACATGATTGTCTTATTGTCGCTGTACTAAGTCATGGAGAACTTGGACTATTGTATGCCCATGATACTCCATACAAAGCTGAAGCAATCTGGTCATACTTTACATCAGACAAATGTCCATCTCTTGCCGGTAAACCGAAACTCTTCTTCATACAAGCTTGCCAAGGTGATAAACTTGATAGTGGTATCACCATGAAAGAGCGAACCGAGACTGATGGCCAACCCACTGTTACATTCCGCATTCCATCACACGCTGACTTTTTGATTGCATACTCTACAATACCAGGCTTTTATTCTTGGAGGAATACAACTCGTGGTTCATGGTTCATGCAAGCCCTATGTATTGAGCTTCGAGAGAACGGTACTCGTTATGATTTATTAACTTTACTTACATTTGTTTGCCAACGTGTTGCTATAGATTTTGAATCAAACACACCTGATAATATTACTATGCATCAACAAAAACAGATACCTTGCATCACTTCGATGTTGACCCGTCTTGTTAAATTTCCTCCAGTTAGTAATGGAGCATAATTACTATATAGGTAGGACATTCAAACTTCAAAATATTTACTTGATTGGTAAACTATAGCACTTAAATATTAATACTACAATATGAAAATATTACGTTTATTCAAAAATTCATCTTTCTTCATTCGTATATAAATATTCTGTGATATTGATGAATCACTTTTCAAAATTATAAACTGTTATAATATTAACAATGCCATAATGCAATATTACGTCATTGAAAAACAGAATAACTCCATCCACTCTTGAATGTGATGAATTTGAAATTTTTATTTATATTTGTTTGAGTAATCAAGTATTATAAATAATTTTGCAAAAACTTGTGATAATGTCAGTGGAATTTTTTTAGACAAGTATATTGAAATATTGTGCTATAGTGATTATTTATTGAGAAGTTGAATTGGTTCAAGCCAAATTATAAAAACAGAGAGTAATCAATGTGTTACCATTGCTATGGTAGTTGAAAAAATATGCCACTACTACCCTTTGTATTATAACTAATTATATGTGAAAATGAAATTAAGTCATTTGGGTTGCAATGCTTGAGTACTTGTCAATCATTTATCATTATGCATTTAATTAAATGAAAAAAATGTAAATGTAAGAGATCTTTGCATTTATATGCTTGCAATTGATTAATTTTCAACAGTGTTTTTGTATTGTACTTTTTCATAAGGCTAATTTTTATTACAAAAGAATTTAATTTTTTATACAAGATTTATCATTTTACTATGTAGCATTTTGTACCATTACTCAATTTTGTTAACAAAAATTGTATTTGGCATGCAATATTCAAACTTTAACATGTTGAGAACATATTGAAAGCAGCCTTTATAATACATAGCTGTATGGGTTGTATTTGGTTTATTGTACACATTTAAATTACCAACAAAGATAGATTAAGCATTTATCTTTGTTGATGTTACATACAGCGTGTTATGTAATATTATTGTGAAACTTGCAGGTACAATGAATTCAGATATTGTGATATAAGCATTTTTAAACATTTTTTCATGTACACAAATCGTGTCTATGTCAAATCATGACGTAATTACTAAGAATGCTATTGTGCCTAAAAAAACTTTTTTATTTGATTGATGTCAAATACTCCTAGCCACATAAGAACAAAAACATGGTCTTTCACTCTTTGTAGCATTTTTGACTTTTATATGTATTGTGTAGGTATAAAAAGTTCAAACTCGAAATATGTCGAATATATATATTCTAAATAATAATATAATCTATTCTATTCTATATATGCATTTATATATACATACACACACAAAATTATTTGTACTAAAAATCGAGACAAATAAATTTAATAAATTCAGTAAATTTCACAGGATTTCAATCATTTTTTGTTTCTTTATTCTTATAATATAAAAAACTCTAAAGCCAGGCATATGCGGGATGTGTCTATGATGAAAGCTGCTCCAACCGTCATCGCATCACCACACTGTTCCAACACCTGTCCTCACACAAATGCACGACCTTCTCAATGACCCTCGATCCAACGAAATCGTCCCACCTTGAGCCGAGTCGACGATCAGTTCCTCGATTTTCGTGGCAACCAAAAAAATCTCATTCCACGAACCTCATTTTGAATTCGAGTGGAATGGTTTACAACAATTTTTTTAACAATGATATATTACTTTTTCAACTTCACTTGCAAACAATATTTTTCTGAAAATTATTTACACAGTCAAATAGATGATTATATTCCAAAAATACATATGAAGAAGCCCTATTTTTATCTACTGTAGACTCTTTTTAAAGCGAAACTTTGTTGAATAGTAAATTTTTATGTTGTAATTAGCCACACCATAAGACAAAAAATAAGCGTATTTTTAAAAACGAGATCTGACGGAGATCAGCAAGTACAGATTATACTATAAAGCATTTTTATATGGGTCCATTGTTAAGGAGGCCAGAGAGAAAAAGATAGCATAGGTCTCCTAGTTCCTAATAAGCATCAATAGACGTGGATTCTTCTTGTCCAACCCATCGCCTCAACATAGTACTATTCTCTCTTTTCTGATATACATTGTACTATAAGCTTCACTCCCTCTTCTCATTTATATACAGCATGCTAACATGTGGAGAGAGAGAGAGAGAGAGAGAGAGAGAGAGCTGGATGTAGCCATAGCAGCAACAGCATCCTCGGAGCCAAGGTATAGTGTCTCGCACGCACACATAGTCTAGCGGGAAAGAGAGGGAGAGGGAGACAGCAAGAGCCGACCGACACACATCAAAGTCCCCGGGTGGTGGTCGTCGACTCTGGCTCGGCTCGGCACTCGGCAGCAGCATAGCAGCAATCCTGTAGGCTCACACATACGTAGAGAGCGAGCACAGCAGCAGCAGGCAAGCAGGCAGGCAGGCAGACAGCGCAGAAGGAGAGAACCGAGCGCGTGACGCGCGCGTGAGAGAGAGAGGGAGAAAGAGAGAGAGAGAGAGAGAGAGAGAGAGGCAGGCTGGCTGGCAGGGTGCGACGGCCTTCTCCGGTAAAAAAGGGAGAGAAAGAGAGAGTGCAAGGAACCGCGCGTTGAAAGGGAGAACGTATACCTAAATAATAGCCGCGCCGAGTCGATGTACCGTACTGCAAGGCACTCTCTCGGTTTAGCTCTTATACGCTCTTCTTTTATGTATAACGGACACCTCCTGCCTCTCATCGCTATTATTTGTTCATTTGCCAACAATCCGCTATGTCTTCTTTTCTTTTCTCGCATGTTTACCCTCCCAATTAAAAATCCTCTTGCTGTCGAGCGAGTAATCATCGTCGTAGCGTTTTATACGTACAGTATGGGGCACGGGGGTATCGACTCTTCGGCAGCCTCTGCGTCACCCGACAATGCCACGAAGCACACGAAGAGGCTTTTCCCATTTCCGCACTGTTGTAAAATGATAACTCTCTGTTTGTCTATTTTTACCGCAGACAGCTCTTGGCATGCTTTTGTTCCCAGCATTTTATTGACAAAGCTATAAATTCTGGCTAACGTTGGGACTATACTACTGGGAGCTCAGATAGTAATCTGCGAAAAGGTCCAGCAGATCTTCCAAAAGCGCAGGTATAAAGCAGAGAACGTCGAGAAATTCTTGTGTGCCAGCAACAGCGGGAGCTTCGATTATGACCTGCTAGATGATACGCGTGCGACACTGTCCAATAATCTCGCTGCTGTTGACTGGTCGGGCCCCCAAGAGTTTAAAATGTCCTACTAAAAAGGACAAAGGATATATATAAGTCTGTAGAATGTTTTTCTAAAATCATTTGCATAATTTCTATGCAACATATTCAATTTGGTATTTCGTTTTATTGGTTCTAAATAAAGCTAAAATTAAAAAAAATATATAGCTTATGAAAGTAGATTAAAAATTGAATAAATTCATGGCAGAACGATATAAAGAGTTTTTGCTTAATAACTTGCTGAAAAATGTGAAAGTATTCTAAAATTCAATTAATAAACAATTACTTCAAATGATTAAGAATACGAAATATATTTATTATGACATTAGCAACGATGATCTTCGATCTGAAAAAATACAGTGGGCAATTTAAATAAAAAGATGTCGACGGCCATTACAATTATTACAATTTTTAATGTTAAATTGCTTATTTAAGTTTCTCTACAAAAGTGATTAGTTCATAAGGTTTGCTTTTGTACAACATAACAAAGCGTACTTTCTCTTTGTTCAATGAATGAAAAGAAGCATTGGAAATACGGAAAATCAGATGAAAAGCACGAATTGTAATTTAGGGATAAAGGGTAGTAAATAAATCAAGAAGGGAATGAGTGGAGTAGTGTAAGTGCGAGAGGGGAAAGGCAATTAAGCCGCACGCAGCACGCTGGCAAAGTCGACTAGAGGGCGTTGTTGTTGGAGTCTACCTCTCACTCGACGTGAGACTCAGCCTGCTTTGGTCGTCGCCGTTGTGGCAGGCTGGAAGGTTGTGTGCAGCAGCAGACCGTGTGCGTGCGCGTATAAACTATTTTCGAGAGTAAGTGCGTCCATCATCAACGAACCACTTCCTCGGAGAACTGCTGCACCAGGCCTGAACATTATCGCACCTTCGACAATCAGTAGCGAGGTGCAGGCACGGCTCCAAGTGTTGTAACATACCTACGATACGAGTGAGTAAGTGTGCGTGTGTGCAGGCTCATGTCCAGGGCGATGGCTTAAGTCAGCAGCTGCACATGGCTACAAGATAGGCATCAGTGTGTGCGTGTACGTGTGTGTAAGTGTGTACAGTAAGAGCAAGCGAAACCCGTTCAATTCCAAAAGAAACGGAGTCCCTTTTCTTCTTTTCTCTCTCTCTCGCTCGCTGGGGCTTGTGCAATCGTCTGAAAAAAAGAGTTTCTCTCTCGCTTGCTCTCGTATAGCCGGGGCACGGAGCGTGTACACGTAACGCGAGAAAGCTAGCAGACGAGAGAAAGAACGGGAGAGCGAGATAGCCTATATAAACAATAAACAAACGACAGGCATTGCTCGGTACGCGCAGTACAGCAATAACGAGGGAGAGCATAAACATCAGCAGTGGTGGCGGCGAGGCCACGAAATTCAATAAAGCCAGATAGAGAGAGAGAGAGAGAGAGAGCGGCGCTGTGGTGGCCTCCGTTCCGCTCTCTCACTGTGTAGTCACAGTCGGAACAGGTCGGAACGGAAAGCAAGCAAGCAAACCAGGCAGTAGTAGCAGCGGCAGCAGCGACGATTTCACACGAGGGGTATCGATTCGACCCCGGACGCCGCTGCCTGCACTATAACCCCGATATATCTCTTTCTCGCCGAGGGAGAGAGAGAGCGAGAGGATGAGGTTGCGAAGGATGCGCAGCAGCAGCAGCGACACACCGACCGAGCTGCTCCTACTACTCCGCTGAAAAAAGTACACACATAGGCGCACATGGATTGGTACACTGCGAGAATTTAATCGAGAGAGAGACTTTGCTCTCTCGGCTGTGCTCTGCTTTGAGCGTGTCTGTCTCTCTCTGGCGTTCGCTGGCATATACACTCGCGTTCTGTCTCTTTCACTCGCACGTTCGTTCGCTCGTTCGCTCGTTCATGCATGATACGCAGACGGCACGCGAGGGGGCCATGGACGTCGATATTTTTGGGCGAGTCGAGCCGAGCCTCATCCTCGACCAGCGACCAGCCCATCGCTTCAACGACTCGTCGCAGCCAGTCCAGCTTCGTTGCGGTCATCCTGTCTGCTGCTAAGCTGCTGACTCAGAGTCAGCTGAGCCACTGTGTCCTGCGACAAGGGATTATGTTCTGCTGTTCCGCCTGACTAATTTAGCTACATTTATGCTCAACTGTTTCTCACTTCACTCGGCCCTACCGACGATCCACGGCTCGGGCTCTCATCAAGACTGCTTTCGTAAGTTTACACTACTGTGTAAGTACCTATACATATATCTACAGCTCTCTCTACTCAACGCGCGCACACCTTTTACTGTAGTCACTCATGTGCGGTGCAGCTGGTAAATTACTACACGTCGGTGTATCAGCTGCGCTTGTAATTCGTTCTGCTCAGCTTATTTGCCGCTTGCAAGTTTGCCTCTTTTTCTTTCCGCTATAATTGCCGTCATTTTCAAAATGCTAGTCAATAACGTTCAAAATGAAAGCAAACTGGCTTTAACTGTGATAGCATTGATAAGTAATGGCAACATTCATTCGGAAACATCATCAAAAATCGACAGCGACCTACACATTGAGTCTAAAGTCAATAATCGATTGCCAGATAACCTCTGAAAGTGAAAAAGGCCAACTCCGACAAAATGGATCTGAGCACAGCAGCAAGTAATAGCAACGGCTCGGTTCCGGCCGCGGCTCCGAGCAACAACGCCAGTAGCAGCGGCAGCAGTAGCAGCAGCAGCAGCAGCAGCAGTAGTAGTAGCAGCAGCAGCAGCAGCAGCAGCAGCGGTGGTGGTATGACCAGCAGCAACGGCGACTCGCCGGCAGTGGCGTGTCCAGTGTGCACGCTGTACTTGCGCGAAGGCATCAGCCTGGAGAAACACTTGTTCACGCATCCGAAAGAGCAAGTGATCGGGGCGTTGATCAGGGCCAGTGGCAGTGGCGCTGTCGTTGGAGCTTCCGCTACAGCTGGTGGGGTTTCAACACTGTTCAGCCAGCCACAACCGGCGCCACCCCCTTCGCCGGCACCGACACCCGCTAGCCAACCTCCGGCTGCATCGCCGAGCCCGCACGTTCCTCATGCGGCTCCTTCGCCTTTCCCCATTGCGCCCATTTACCATGAGTGTCCGCCCCTCAACGCCATGATTCCGCCGGCGCAGTTCGCCTCATTCAGCTACCAGCAATTTGTCAATAATGGTCAGTTCAACTTTCTTCTTTTTAGTTTATTTATTCGTCCTAGAATTCACTTCGGATTGTATTTAACGAAAATACCTGAAGATTTTCAATTTCATTAAAATCCAATAATGCTGTAGGTACCATGATGATTCCCGCTCAATACGCGATGGCTCAGGCGCAGCCTCCACAAGCGAGCCAGATGATGCAAATGTTATACAATCCTTACGGGATGTATCATCAGCAGCAAATACCTACAGTGCAAATGATCTCGGCACCTCCAATGATGCCTACCTCGACGTCGACACTGCCCACAACGGTGCCCTCGGTGACGACGCGAATGAGGCCAACTGCTGCCACAAGTACGAGTAACGTCACCATTACTCCTGTCAGTGAGACGACAATGACAACCTTACCACTTCCGGCACCGCCGATACCAACGTCGAAGCCGCCGAGTGTGCAATCACAACAGCAGCTGGTGGTCGAGCCACCCAAACGGCAGATCGACCCGGAGATTATAACGGGTCCTGAAAGTATTCTGCCAGACATGGAACCCACATCACCTGAGCTACCACAAGAACAAGTTGAAGAGACTCATAGAACTTTATCTGTGGAGCACAGAGGCCATCAAAATGCCTGCACACAAAGAGAAGAGCAAAATAACGTCGAACAATATCACAGGTATCGATTCTTATTTCACTAACTCAACATGTTTTAATCTTGATCCGACGAACTTTATTAATCTTCGTTGTTTAACAGGGCGGATCCACCTACACTACTCTGTAATGATACTACTGATAATGACAAGACTGAAAGGATCTTACCGGATATTGAAGACGACGACGATATTGCATCCCTTATTGTGAGAGATGGTAGCAAAATACAAAACCATGAAAATGATGTTGCCGAGATTGCCGAACCTATGGATTCCTCAATTGAGCAACCGACAAAAAAAGTGACGGTTGACACAATTCAGTCTGACCATGAGGAGGAACACAATTGTCAAAATCAAAGTAACGCTGCTCGGACAGTTGTTAGAGCTAGTGAACTTATTCAAATTCCTGACAAGGAAACTTCAAGTTCAAGTAGGCCAGAAGTAGAAAAATTAAATCAGTTACTTGGCAATATGGAGTCTGATTTCACCAATGTAGAATTATCTAGTACATATGAAGAGGAGAGTATAGAGAAGACACATCGCAAAATGCAAGATATTTTATCAGATGAACCGATGGAAAAACACACCGATGAAGATGAAAATATAAGTGTATCGTATCATAAAATTGATCCCGAGCAGATTGAGTGCAAAATCATTGTCGCTCATGACGAGTCGGACGTTTCCTCCGTAGCGTCGTCAGATTCATTAGAGTGCAATTTAGAAATACATAAAATTACACATTCGTCCTATCATTTTAAAACACTGCATTCTCGATCGGCGCCTACGTCTCCAGTGTCGAAAAAAATATTTCATCGTCGTCGATCTCGTTCGCGTGTATCCATGCTGTCTTATCCAGTTGGTTTTGAAGCTACTTGGCTACGTGATAGCCTTAAGGATAACTACAGTGATGCTGATATGGAATTGGAAGAGCCGCATCATACTTTCCTAGAGCAAAATACTGATATGAATGACAAGCCGAAAGATTTGTCTACCAACGTAAATAGTATGAAAGCTCGTCGTAGTAGAGCGCCAGGTTCTCCTGTATCCATCAATTCATCTTCTTCTTATGGTCCAATGGAGGATGAAGAAGAAGACTCGGATATAGATAGTTGCGGCAGCAAAGACGATGAAGAAGATGAGGAAGAAGACCAAATGTTGATGGACACTGCCTCGCAGCAAATCAATGACAATCACGATGATAAGAAAACAGTTTACAGAGAAGATTGTAAAGCCATGCTACATACTGAAATAAGACAGCAGGATCAAACTATTGACTTTCGATCTCAGACCATCATCGCCGATAACTACTCGGCAGTTCAATTTCCACTTAATTTGGGCCCTACGTCTCAGCAGCATCAACCTAACTCAACTTTGCACCATGAAACTTATCCACTGTCTAACAGTGGTGCCTCGCATAATATGTTAAACATATCGGAGAGTGCCGATCCGACAACAAGTACGGATTCCAAGAGTTGTTCTAGCTCTAATAAATCGACTATACAGAAACCTTCGGCGGAGTTACTGAATATTAACGAAGATGCTCATGCAGGGCCTATGAATGTTTTTGAGTTCGACGGGCTGCAGATACTCGTACCTAGTACGTTTATTAGTGAATCGTCACAGAAAGCAGTAAGTGGTACTAGTCAACAGTCGATGTCGAGCAGCGAAAATGGGGCTGGCAACGATGAGGAAGTCAAGAGTGTAAACATGAGAGCAGATGAGACGATGCCACCCAGAGGTGAACTATCGGAACAGGAAAGCAATGGTTGCACCGAGCAGTCGGCTTGGCAGGTAACGTATTTTCATTGATTTTATTGAAATATAAATCCGCATAAATATTGCAATACTCATCAATTTTTTTCTTATTTTAGCTCTACATGGGGCAAGAGTCTTCGCGCATGTCAACATCTTATGACCTTATGGCACGCGAGAGTTGGGAAGAATTCGAAGGTTCGGATCACGAAGAAAATAACGCTGGTCCACTGCTTGACAGTCGTTCTCTTGCAACACATTTCACTCATAGTCTGTTTCTCGATCAAGATCGCGACCGCAAAACACCAACCCGTAGAGTCTTTAAGTGCTCGCACTGTCCGGAGGTGTTCGAATGCCCTAAAGAGCGTCGAGTACATAGCACCGTGGTGCACAAAGAAGCAGGTCCGTCTACTAGTAATGATAACATGGATCATCAGGATTTGAAAGAAATTAAGATTCTCGATAGCCGTACTAATGTGTTTGATGAACTCTTCGCTCCCGGTCTGCACGCACAGCAGATTTATCAGCAGCCGTTGTTACACCAACTGCAACCGCCACAACAGAATACAGCCAAAGTAGACAGCGAATCAAAGATAGATGGGTTGCACATACCAACTATGGAAGTTATCTGCAGCTTGTGCAATCAACGATTCACTAGTGAGAAATCGCTGCAGATCCATCACAGGCGTATACACGATGCTGAAACCAAGCGTATTCGTGAAACGACCAAGTGTCAGATTTGTAGCGAAGAGTTCAGTTCCATGGCTACTTACAACCTTCATTTAAAAATTCATCCTCTGGAGTGCGGCCAATGCGGCAAGTACTTTTACCGTAAGCAGAACTTCAAGTTGCACATGAAGCGCCATTTAGGTATCAAGCCCTTCCAATGCACCATGTGCGACAAAGCCTTCCTTACCAAGCAGAAGCTCGATGAGCACACCAATGGACACACTGGCAACGCTCCTGTCAAATGCAATCTTTGTAACGAAACCTTTAGACGCTATTCGAACCTCACGCAACACAAAAATCGTCATCACCTGAACATTAAAAAGAAGCTTAAGGATTACATATGCCATTGTGGAGAGATATTCCACACGAAAAAGAAGTTGGCTTGGCACAAGGAGACCCACGACGAGAAACCGAAGGCGTGTACTTATTGCAACGAGCGATTCATCCACATGGCCAGCTTGACACGTCACATGCGACGAGCGCACAATAAGCGCTTCGTGCCGGACGCACAGCGGGACAATGAAAATGTTGAGTGCCCTATCTGCAAGTGCATTTACCTCAAATCATCTTTAGCAGTACACATGAGAGTTCATAACGGTGAGAAGCCGTACGAGTGCCAACTCTGCCCTAAAGCATTCAGCACCAAGTGGAATTTGCAACTACACAAGTGGACTCATGCAAACCGTAGCGCCAAGCCTTTCAAATGTAATCAGTGCAACGCTGCTTTCTATCGAAACAGCGACTATACCGCCCATATGAATTCTCACAGAAATGTTCGACCCTACACCTGCAACTACTGTGGGGCACAGTTCATCCGAAAGTACAACTGTTTGCGTCACGTCAAAGAACATGAGGAAACCAAGGCATACACGTGCGATGTATGCAACAAAGCTTTCCATAGGTCGTATTATTTGAAGGAGCACCTTCGCGTACACTCGGGACAAAGACCTCACGTTTGTCACATCTGCGGCAAATCCAGTAGCACAAAGTCCAATCATAATAAGCATGTAAGAATTCACCATGCACGCGAGCCTGTTAATACTGAAAACTAAAGTGACATCACTTTCTTTTTCTTTCTTTTATTCATTCGACTGAGCATAGTCCATAATTTTATTTATTTTTAAGAGATGTTGAATTTTCTTTAAACATTGTTTAGTGTTCTTATTTTTCATTTATAAATTTTTTCTTTACGGAAGTCGAATCTGTTTGATTATAGTTGTCTTTAATCTAAAATTGATTTATGGATACATTTATGGTTTCGGAGATATGAAGACTGTGAATAAACATTATAAATGACAAATAAGGATTTCCATCTTAAAAATGCACATTTTTGGCTTATTTGTGCAATTTATTTTAACGTCTGAAAGCATAATCAAGAAAGAATTATTACTAAATTATCAAATAAATGTTGATAAATTTCATAATAGCAGGAACACCTACTAAAAAAATTAAGTAGTATAGATGTGTACTACTAAATATCACTTGTGCCATGAATCTCTATTATAATTGTTATTTTTACGAATCAATATAATTGACAATGAAAACTATGAAAAACAAATTTATATTCATCGGTCTTAATAAATTATATCATTGAAAAAGAAACAAATTAACTTTTAATACGTGAAAAAAATTACGTAAATTTGATTATGGAATAGATTGCTAATCTTTATCAACCCATGAGATAGTTCCAAATAGCTGTTTAATTAAATAATTTCGTAGTATTATACACTTTCATACAAAATCATACAACTTCAGATTGTTAGTAATTCGTTAGCATTTTGAATGCAACGTTATATTGTTAAAGATTCGCATGAATTACATCACAGATTAACATGAATTTTATTGGCTCATCAGATTAGTATCAAATTATCAATTTTATAATTTTTGCGCGCATACCTACGATATTATCTGGTAGTTAAAACTGCCCACCTAATGAATTTATGTAGTATTTTTAATGAAAAAGAACTTAGCTATTCTAAGTAATACAAGCATTTCTACTATTGCAATCCGATCATTTTTTGTAGAAAATATAATGTGAGTGTAATCCGTAGTATAAGTTCTATTACGTTATCTATTATAGCATATAGGTCACTCAATTTTTTGTTTGTTTTCTGCAAGTACGCGTTGATTTTAAATACTTGGAAACCGTCACTATATGTTCTATTGGCGACTATTATTATCGTTCAAGAAATTGGCGCTAAGCTGTTCATAACGTTTAAACCGTAATGATACTTCATACTTGAAGTTAAAATCACCTTAGAAAGTAAGCAAGTTTGTTATTTTGTTTTTACGTGAAGTGCGTACAATTTTCACGAGATAAGCTTTAAACGATTGAAAACAAAGTTTTCTTTTATTTGGGATCTTCGTCGTATTTTATACACATTGCTATACTTTTATGTAACAAAATACTGTTAGTAAGGGATTAACTTACAAAGGCCTGTTTCCTCTAATGCTTGCGACGAAGTACCAAAGCTTAATTATGAAGTATTTAAAATGAACATTGTGTTGTGGCACTAAGTGCTATGTGAGTAATATGTGCAACTGATATATATTGTATGTATTTGCACTCATAAGGAGAGTACCATATATTTGGGTCACCGATCGTCTTGAAGCTTTGGGAATCTTTGTGTACACAAAAACATGCAAGAATTCACAGCCAATCGATTTAATTCCCGAGTTTTCCAAAGTTACAGGTTATTTTCGTCGAAACATACAAATTTCAGGATACTCTTAATCGTGATATAAATAACTCTTAGTCGAAAAGATATAGGGATTTCATAATAATATCAAATGAAAGATGAAATCAAATCCTTTCGGTAGAAATAAAAATTTTTTTAATAAGTTGAACCGTTCAAGTTACATGACAAAATCTTTTTAAATAATAAGCTAATTTTCCGAGGAAAAAATCATTTTATTGACGTCAGTAAAATATTACGAATGAATGGTTTGATTTTTTCAACAATTTTTTTTTCTATTGAAAATGGTGATCTCAACTTTCGTTTGATAGAATTATGAAAACTCTATATTAATTAAATTACGAGCAGATTCGATCGGATTTTTATTGCAAGATTACCGTGTATTTTGTTTGTTTGACGGAAGTAACCTGTAATCACAGAACAATTGAGTGTAAGATTAAATGGTTGCAGCTTCTTCCAAGTTATTATGTACAAAAAGATTTCCTAAAATTTCAAGTAAATCGGTGATCCAAATTTATGATACTTTTCCCTTTCAGAGAGTATATTTGTAAGAAATGCAGAAAAACAAAATATTTAAGTGGTTACTAATTCGATAATTCGATCACAATTTGCCAAGCGTTAAAACAAAAATGTGAATGTGAAATTATGCTAAGTAATAAATTGTGTACAAAAGTATTTCATTTTACACAATCCACGTGTGACTACTTTTATAAATATAAAATAGTATAGCCAATTGCGAATGTCAACTACTTATTTTAATAATTATTTGCATTCTGAAAAAAAGAAGTAAGAATACGACTTCATAGCTTCAAATTTTTTTCGTGACATGTAAAAACATACGTTTTTACTAAAATTACTGCAATAATGAGGACGTTTGCCAATCAATAATGTCGAATGGAGACGTTAACTGCTTGTTAGTTAATAATTTTTAAACGCCGAATAAGTATAGGAACGGTCTTTTAATGTCAATGATTGTAAGCGAATTTTTTTACAGATAGTATGAGCAGTGTGAAAACTATCGTGCGGTCAACGCATCAGTAGTTTCGAAATGAAGCATAGATTAACAAATAAGTTCCGCCGTAATGTTACATTTTATGCAAAATTTGTATCGACCATCAGAAAACAAACTGTACGACATTTATAAATCAAAAGGCCTATCTATACATGGATTGATAACATTAACTTTACGGCGCCAGTAACTTATAGATAGTTCAAAATCTTAGTTAATGTTATTCTTCTATATTTATGTCTTGCAATCGCGTATGCAGTGATTTTTAAAATTAATTCCGATGTCAAGACTGATCGATGTTGGTTTCCATTGCAATTCTACTTGCGGATGTTACACATAAAACTTGTTTATTTATTTTCATTCTAAATATTAAAAGCACTTAATATTCATTTCACTAAAATTATAGAAAAGCAAACTTGTAATTTTTAATGAAACTTTCATTTTTTAAGCAGGTATGAAAGTTAGAGAAATTTCTTACTAAAAAAGACAATGGTCTTTGGAAGATTGTTTGTGATAAATTGTTTTTATTGACTGTGTGAATATTACAAAGAAATCATTTAATGCTAAATATTTTCGCTCCCTACAGCCAACATCGAAGTCCAAACGTGCAATTTTTTTAGCTAAAATGTAATTGATAAGCGCATGTGTTGAATAAGGACACAGTTGTACATAAATGTAAATATGTATATCTCCTCTATTTTATAATAGAGCTAACTAATGTAGCTGGCGAATGGACATTATATAAAACTTAATAACAACTATTAGGGAACTTTGAAGTGATGCAAGTAAAAGGGAGTGAATGAAAAATCTAGTATAATTATTACGATTACCATTAAAAAACGATTAAGCAGCATATGTATATCTTAATTAAAGTCATGTGTTGAGGTACTTTTTTAAAAAGTTGTTTTTTAATTTGCACCTTTTCCAACCGCCACATTGAAAGTAGTTATAAGATTGATAGAATTCATAATTCGTTTTTTTAATTGATCAAAGTATCAAAGTTTATGACATTTGATATTTTATTTAATTACAAAGCATTTGTAGGCATATAAATTTTTGTAATAAATAGTAATTATATTTTACTTATTGCTGACTTTTTTTTCTATTTATTTTATTCCGACTGAAACTGCTATAAGTATGAAAATTTGCGGGCCACTTTTACATTGTCTCCTGACTTGTATGTATTGTACATGCATATATAAACATTTGCAGCAACATTCTCGCTTTATTTAGTGCATAATCAACTTTCATACAGTACCATCGCACTAGAAACTTCATATAACAATGGCATTGTTAGAATTATACAAGAATACCATTTATTTTATGAATGAAACTTTACTCGTGAAAGACATTTCTTAAAAGGAACTAGTTTAGTCAAAATTGAAGAGAAGCAGGCTTAATTAAATAGATTATCTTAAACATCAATCAGATTGTAAAATAAACTAATATTATTTTCATTATGTATAGTTTTTATTTGGTAAAACCTTTACTTAAATTTTCATTCGAACTACTTTTCAACTGCAATCAACCAAACTCATAATTGTAATATTGATCATAAGTGTATATAGACTTCTATCTGAAACGAAAATAGCACATGTAATGTCAAAGAAGATAGAATAAATTAAATAAATACAAATTCATAATACATACATAACCCGATGATTTTTTTAAATGTGAAATCTATTAATTGGTTTATTATTTATAATAAAATATTTTCAACCAAATTATCCGCCAAAACTAAGGAAAGTCAAAGCAAAGTCAAAGATCATCTTTCCGGTCTTTCCCTATTTGTATGTAGGTAGCGCTTGTGTTCTTACTTCCGTAATCACGATTATAGGAAAAAAATAAAGTAAGTAGCTAGGTCATATTTATTTAATTTTAACAATAAATTATGCATCAATTTCATTCAATTTCAGTTTAAAAAATATTTTTATTTAATTTTATTGCTTTTAAAACTAAATATCGTAAAATAACGTGACAGTTGCACTCTAGCAATGTACCACGTGCAATTTTAATGTGGGGTTAAATTATTAGTGTCAAGTGCAAAGCAGCAATAATAAATGTCAACCTACTTATTTGGCAAAATATTATCAATAATGACCGTAAATCTAAGAGATTATTATAATTCATAGCATGGCGGACACAGCTCCAGCCGCTCGTGGAGGATTTCGTGGAGGTTTCGGTTCCCGCGGTACTGGCGATCGTGGTGGACCGCGTGGCCGCGGAGGACGTGGCCGTGGACGTGGTCGTGGTCGTGGCCGTGGCAAGGAAGATGCCAAAGAATGGCTCCCTGTGACCAAATTGGGCCGTTTGGTTAGAGATGGAAAGATCAACTCTCTTGAGGAGATTTACTTGTTCTCTCTGCCAATCAAAGAGTATGAAATCATTGATTTCTTCATTGGCACCTCTCTTAAGGACGAGGTCCTCAAAATCATGCCTGTTCAGAAGCAAACTCGTGCTGGACAGCGTACTCGCTTTAAGGTAATTATTTTTCATTTATTGTCATCGCAAGAGTTTGTGTTATGATTACTAATAATCAAATTTCAATATTTATAGGCTTTTGTTGCCATTGGTGACAGCAATGGTCATATTGGTCTGGGAGTCAAGTGCTCAAAAGAAGTAGCCACAGCCATTCGTGGTGCTATTATCTTAGCCAAACTGTCAGTTGTTCCAGTTCGTCGAGGCTACTGGGGTAATAAGATTGGTAAACCCCACACTGTACCTTGCAAAGTTACTGGCAAATGTGGTTCCGTCCAAGTGCGTCTTATCCCAGCACCTAGAGGCACTGGTATTGTATCTGCCCCAGTTCCCAAGAAACTGTTGCAGATGGCTGGTATTGAAGACTGTTACACCTCTGCTAGAGGATCCACTTGTACTCTAGGTAATTTTGCCAAAGCTACATATGCAGCTATTGCAAAGACATATGCTTACTTGACACCCGATCTCTGGAAAGAGATGTCACTGACAAAGACACCCTACCAAGAGTACGCTGACCATCTGTTCAAAAACCACCGACCTGTAACGGGAGCCAGACCTGCTGAAGTTATTTAAATATGATTTAACTTACATTAATAAAGGTCCTTAATGAAAATTTTAAATCTGTGGTATTTATTTAATAGCTTTTCAATATTAATTTTTTTTCACTTGTAAATTTAATAGTTTATACTTCTCTATATTTTTAGTCATATTTGTTTTTAATCATAAACTAAAAGAAAGAATAATTAATAGTTTTAAAGTTTTGCAAATAGTGGTTTCATTTACTTTGAGTAACAAATTTTATTGGAATATTTACATTACATATAATACAAATTAAATAACTTTAAGATTATACAGTTAATAATCTAGAAAAACAAATGTTAGCTCTTATCCATTTCATTGGTGCTATTATACTCTTCCATGGCTTTTTGAAATGTTTCTGTTGTATGATCACAAACTTTGGAAAGATCTTCTAAACCTCTACGTAAAATATCAACAGCTTTTCCATTTTTAGCTTGTATCCTAAAATGCATCTTAGATTCTGCTGGATGAGGTACAGTATAGCCACAAAATTCCACATCACGACTGAAAAATAAAAAAAAATTTGATGTTTACATTTTATTTTTATCAAATCTTAAAAAAACTCACAAAAGTTATGTCTTAAAAATTCACCCCAAAAATGATAATACAATGAAATAAATCACTTACTCATCTTGTTCGTTTGGTTTACAAGATTTAAAAAATTATGAGATGTTATGTTCTCACTATTATTTTGTTAAATGACATTTCATTGTATTGAATTTTAGAGACAAGCTGAAAAGATTAAATAATTTTTGTAATTTACATTAAAAAATAATTTAAAAAATTGCTTATTACAAATAGCAAATTTCAAGCTAAATTTATTTGGAAAATAAATCACAATAAATTTTGCTAGTTTACCTTATGTAAAAAAGATGCAATAAATATAGTTTAAAACATTATAAAATAATCAAACTTACTAATGAGCAATGATAGAGCGTAAAACATTTCCTAAAGTATGTCCTTCATTTTGAAATATAAAAGTTCTTGATCTTTCATCTGCATCACTATCTCCAACAAGCTACAAAACAAGTTTATTTTTTCTAATAAACATTAACTCCATAAAAATCAAATTATTACATAAAAAAAATTAATTTTATCATATTACCACAGCAAGTCGACCCATGACAAAATATATTGAATCTGTCTTGATGATGGAAAGCTTCAAAATACGTAAGAAAAATTAACAAGGTTTATCTGCTACTATAAGTTAATAAAAACACGGCGTCCTCCGTCAACACTCAACAGTCAACACTAAGATGAACTATTCACTTTCAGTCGTGGATACCACGGAGATACTAGGGAACGTCACAGCCATGCAGAAAAAGTTATTGGAAAACATGGAGACTATATACAGTCTCCATGTTGGAAAACTAACTCAGTACTCGTGTTACCAAACCAAAGATTCTTGGTTGTTCCGCGCGCCACCTAATGAGTGAATGGCAATCTCCTCTTCTTGCACAGGCAGTACTCAGTAGTGCAGTACAGTGTGGTGTTGGTCATGCGCACTGCATTATGCGCCGATCGTGTCTATCGCAAAACCAATGTTAATTTAAATAAATTAAATTAACAACAAAAATAGTATTTATCATGTAATAAAATATGATCAAATTTAAATGTACAATAATAATAAATAAGCAGATTTTTTTTTATAAATAATCAGCTTCTCTTGGTAATTACATTTAAGGCGGGCCGAATTACAGAAATTTAATGTTAACGAAAAACAAAAATTTCTAAATGCGAATTATTTTCGATGATTAATCATCGATGAAATCAAAGTCTGAGGCATAACTTGACTAAATAAACCCCTTGACCTAGCCTCATTTGGTATCATCGATGCTCAATCGTCGAAAATAATGCGTATTTTGTACTTTGCAGGTCGCGAATTAATATCCGGGCAGTGATACATATAAATATATTTAGTTATGATTATTTTTGATTATTGATTCTCTTTGTAACTTATTATTGCGAAATTTTTTTTGTAACTATCAATAATGTTATTTTGCGTTAACCAATTAACAAAACTTGAAACAAAAGTTTACTGTTACATTCGTAATGATTAACTTCAATTTTTATAACTTCTAATAATTATATAATTAATGTTCAAAGTTAATAAAACTTGTTTTCATAATAAATAAGTGTTACCACATCCTCGCCCGCTAAGGGTTTAAAAAGAGACCCTACTCACTTAGATGGTCTCTCCAGCTTCAGCTGCTAATTCGTTGCAAGATGCTTCTGCCACTACTCCATAAAAAGAAAATTTTTTTATAGATGTAAGTAAATAAAAGTTCAACAAAATAATTTTTCCTTCTTTTGTATTCTTTCTTCTGTTCCAGCTTTCGGGTTCTGTAATTTAAGTTAATTTCATTAAAAATAGCCAAACGTGTGGTTAACTGCATATTTAGCTAGGTCTCTTCCGTTACTTTCTTGCCGAGTGTGTAGTAAAGTAATTCTAACCATATCGCCAAATATGTGCTATGATGAATCTTTGAACCCATGACGCCAAAAAGGATTTTCCCATGATAGTGACGACGCACGTCCTGGTTATTATCCATAAGGATAGGCCAAAAAGTGCATCTGAGAACATAACTGCTCCAAAACGTACCTGAGATTTATTTTGTGTTTTACCGATGTAACACCATCCATTTTGTTAATTGTATAATTTTGAAAAATTTATAGAAGTATAAAGTGCTATCTATTTATTTGCATATTGAAGACTTTCGTATTGTACATTTGAAATCTGCGCGTTAAATTTCCGTATTACTACGTTTGATTTCTGAAGAGAGTAGACGTTTGTACACAGCACTTTTGTCAGAAAACTGAATTATTATTAAAATTAGTGAAGTGATAGTTTTTATTTGTCCTACGACCTCAAATTATAAATATAATAACGGCTAAAATGGCCACTCAGAAGGAGGACGTTTTATTTACTTCTTTACAAATTAACATTGATAAATGGAAACTAGTTGACGGCAAAAGACAATAAACAAGCTCAGAAAATACCAAGACAAAACAAACAACGGTAAACCTAATTAGATAGGTTACTAGCTAAGTAAAGGCTAAAAAGCGCAAAGAGTACCGACCTTATTAAGTGTCAGAGCGCATCGGATCTGCCGGGCGCTTTAAGGGGATATTGGCCGCTCCCCGTTGAAACTTCTCTCTTTCTTGCGATTCTTTTTATACGGATCGAAGGCCCGGCGCCATAACTTTTCGTGCTCTAGTTCTATTTTTCGCGCGATCTGACACCCCGCTTTTCTTTCGAGGCTTGCAACTCGGCTATGATGGCGACCACTGCTTGTCTCTTTCTCTAAGGTAAATGGATATTTGATCCTTAAAGGGTGTTTTGATGTTTCCATATTTTTCTCGCACGACGACTGACTATATGCCGATCATGAGCACCATATGTGTCAATTCTCGAGACTCTCCCGAGCCAATGAGAAGTCTCACTCGTTGCTCGGGTGTCCAGAACAGGTGTTGAAACGTCAATTAATAAAAACAGGAATCTCGCTGGATGATATTTTAGGTCCAACACTATACCTGTTATTTACCTGTGATCTACCATCAATGATAGAAGTAAGATTTGTTACTACTTATTATTGACGTTCTTGGCTGCTGCGAGAATCATCATTCTGATGGTAACTTAATTTCACTTTTTTACTATAATTTTTGAACTGTTGTCTGGTTGAATCGTAGTTGAATTGAGTTTTATTTGAATCATTAAACAGTTTGGACAAGCGGATCTGAGCTGCAATATTTTGAAAAACGTTACCTTATTCACTATATAAATCAAGAGCTGGTTAGAAGGCGAAAGCAGTTACGGAATCAGTGTCCATGGATTCAGTAAAGAGCGGTGGACATCTAAGCGAGTTGAGAGGGTGTTCCATTAAAAGACAGCTGTTGCCGAGTGAGATTACCGTTGTCAGAGATGTGTTCTTTATTTTCTCGATTATCCATTGTGATATCATTAAAATTATTCGATGGAAAACAACGGGAAGGTGGTAGATAATCTTCTATCAGGAAAAGACGGAGTAGAGGACAGAATTCAAGGTTTTTATGGTGCACAGAAGTTTATTAGGTTTATCAATCAAGTGTATATATACCCCTATTAAAAATTCTTACATCAGTTCTAATGTAAGAAACATCGGTAAATCCCGGAGGATGTTTTCGCCTCTTGCTTCTTATGCTTGAACCTGTTCTCATGCAAGATCCAACGTAAGAAATATATAAAAATGATTCTATTCTCATGAAAGATCTGATGCATGAAATTGTCCTCACATATGATCTGACGTATGGTCAGAAATAAACATAAACACTGTTATTTATTATAAATTTTTATAAAAGTTTGGTTTCTTACATATGATCTGACCATACGTCAGATCATATGTGAGGACAGTTTCATGCATCAGATCTTTCGTGAGAATAGAATACGAGTCATTTTTATATATTTTTTACGTTGGATCTTGCATGAGAACAGGTTCAAGCATAAGAAATAGAGAGCGAAAATATCCTACGGAGTCTAGCGATGTTTCTTACAGGGGGTGTGACATAAGAGTTTGCGCGTTTAGAAAAGTGAGAATAGAAATTGACTTTCGAAAACGCCGTTGGCCAAGATAGTGGCTGGCGGAGTCAAGTTACCTGCAATTTTTCTGATTTTTCTCATAAATATCTCTAAATATAAAGTCATTAAAGCGACTGATTACAGATACTGTTCGCTATTAGATCAAAGAAATGCGGTAGTGAAAATCGACTTCACACGTGTGAGAGTAAAGCCGACGTTCATCACTTTTTTCAGAACGATCATTCACTAGTATTTATTTATTATGTCTTCTTTTAGTATCGTTATAAATTAAAAACAGACAGTTTCACAATATATATTGATAGAATTCTTCCGAGCTAGTATAAAATGCCAAAAGTGCTCTTTTTTTTACATTTTACTTGCTTTATCTGTTTTATTAGAGAAATATTAACTATATATCGTCAATCATGTTACCAGATTCGTGTTTAATATTGTGAAACTATTTCACACTTGATTGATAAACCTAATAAACTTCTGTAAACCATAAGAACCTTGAATTCTGTCCTCTACTCCGTCTTTTCCTGAAGATTATCCTTCCCGTTGTTTTCCATCGAATAATTTTAATGATATTCATAAAAGTCATTAACTCATTTGTATTAATTGAAAATAATCAAGAAATATTATGACTGGATATGAGTTAATAAATGCAACGCATGTATGGTGAATGCAACTGTATATTAAAAAATATTTTCAGAAAAACAATGATCATTATTTTATTATTTTACAACTATAGTTTTCATATCTTTTTAGTTTAGTTCTAGCGTGCGTATTTCTATGTTCTATTATATTAAAAATTTACGATAGAGCACGGCAATGATATACCAAAAGAGAGAATATTATTAATATTAACTAAGAGCAGTAAACAATAAATATATTATAGCTACAACATTTTTATTATCAAAGTGTGACTTCCATGCTGTTTTTCTTATTTTTAAAATATATGAACGATTTAATATACTATCTTACATATTTGTTAATATTTTTATTAATAACCCTTCAATTTTCCAGTAATGAGTCATCGAATAAATAAAAGAAATTTCAACTATCACATTACTAAATAAAGATTGGTTGTTATGCGTAAATCAATTTGATATTTTTGCTTAGGCTGAGCAACTTTGTGTTCGGAAACAATCAAGATAATGCATTGTTTAAGGTAAGGTGTATAGATCGATAGGGAATGAAATAAGAAAACAATTAATGGACTAATGGAGTGAAGGTAAGGATGTAATCGAAAGCAGCGTCGGTAATAGCTTTAGCGCGAGAGTTTTAATCAGCGCCATCTGCTTCCAAAGAAGGAAACTAATCGTCTCCTCGATAATACCATTTTAAAATTCCAAGTCGATTGTCCTTCTATTATAACCAAGCTGTGTCTTTCTATATTCTCTGTTTCTAACTTTTTAGTCCACGTTGAATTATTAGTCATATCATCATTTAAGAAAAAATAAACATCACATTACATAGCACTCAGCATTGTCGCTTTGAAGCTCTTTTTGAAATAAAAAAAATGCAACTATGGATGATTTTTCTACTGTGTGCATCATATGTTTTTAGCAGTAAGATTTTTACGATATATTATATAGACTATTGAGACCGTATCTTACATTTTCGTTGTCATTCGTTACTCTGTTTTAGCCAACGCCTTAGAGTGCTATGTCTGCACAAACCAGGAAGGGAACATTGAAAAATGTTTGAATACAATAAAGACTTGTGAGCAAGAGCAAGACGCCTGTTTAACAGAAATTGCTTGGGGAAGTAAGTTCAACTATAAATTATTTATTTCTGCTTTATGAAGATAAGGTTATATATACAAATACAACTTGCATTGTAAATAATTAGACAGAGCTTCAGAGATTTAATTAATTTGTTAAAGATATAGATCAGTAATCTAAATTATTATTCAGATAATATCACAAATTAATGATACATAATAATATGACAATCAAAGTGCACTTATACAGTATTAAGCATTATATTCAAATGTGACATTTAATTTACAGGTACGCCTTATTGGAATCAAGGTGCTAAGAAACAATTTTATGTTTCTAAGCGATGTGCAAGAAAAAGGGAGTGCGAGCAAATTAGAAAAGTCAATATGCCGGATTGCACACATATTTGGTATCAGGACTGGAAGTGTTCTGAATGCTGTCAAGGAGACAGGTGTAATTATTATGTGATTGTGAGTAATTTACAATTTCATACAAAAAGTTAATTTAGCATATGTAGAAAATTATAACTTAAACTTCAATTGTATCTACAAATGAAAGTATGCCATCTATGTGCAAATATTAATATATAAACGGTAATTCATTGATCATGGCATGTTTATTTTAGTTGATGCAATAATATATTATTTGAGTGATACATGTATTAGTAAACTACTATTATAAAGTAAAAAAGAGATATAAAACATGAAAAACATTAACATTAGTTTTTATCAAACATAAATGTAAAGTATTATTAATAAAATATTTAATAAAAACATTTTTAAATTGATTTATTTGTTTACAGTCTGGTAGCAACAACATTGGGACTGCACTAATTACTATGTGCCTTTCATTATTGTTACTGTGGAGGACCAGCTGAAAACTTGCAACATCAAGGTTGTTCCTGAAATAATTTTAACTTTCATAAAAAATTAAAGAAACCCGAATTGAAATAAAGTACGTTCTTTGTTTAAGAAAAGGTTCTTGCCATTTTAAAACGAACTTTTTAAGATAGCACGTACCTTTTTTTATAAATTAACGTGCCCTTTTTAAAACGAAATAGCACGTGCTCCATTGATTAACAAAGCACGTGATTTTCTTTGACCGAGATAACATTTATTCTAACTATGACGCTTTTGTAAAAGTATTTGATAAAATACGTTTCGAAAATCGGAATAGTAAAGTTAAAGTTTTTAAAAAAATAAAATAATATTAACTATAATAATATTCAAGCTTTAGTGATCGCGATCTTGTTCTATATTCTGTCACCTTTTTACACACATAAAAAATATTAGTCAAGTAAGATCTGAAGTAATAAAATTTTATCAACAAGTAAATCGGATAAGCTATTGTACAAATAAGATAATGTACATTGAAGTATGCATCAAATTCCATACATCAATATTTACGAAACTCGTAAATAATTTTCTTAAAAGAAAGTCTGCATGTATGAGATGAATGTAGAATCTCAAAATTTATAAATACTAAAATAAAAAAAATGCCTTTTAATGTTAACAACACATTTACAAAGTATATAAATATATATAATGTCACAAAATATTCTTGAAATTTGGCACTCATAGTTTTTATTTTAGTATTACTTGTTGTCTCTAATTTTTAAAAGGAATGCCTTAAAATGTAATGTAAATAAACTACATAAATCAACTCTGTCTGCCGCATATAAGTATTACGTAGTTATTTTTTTACTTTATTCGTCGGACATAAAATTTCCGAAAATGAATATGAATTTGTAAAACTATTTTGTTGACTGAAGAAATGTGCGACTAAATAATAATGTGAAAAATTATTGTATAAACGTTATTCCGTCCATTTTATAAAATGATTTAGAAAAATTTATATAATTATCAATTTCCGTCCACTTCTTTACATATTGTACTTTTATATCGTACATTAAAAATGTGCTTGTTAAATGTATGCATGCTTTTACAATAAAAGAAAAAGTAAAATACAATTCTTCTGGCGGCTTTCTTTTTTATGTGATCGATAGAATATAAAGCTTAAAAGCTCAACTGCCAAATATTTATGAATCGATCAATGATCCAGCCCAATCGAATTATTATATTTCATTATGAAGTTATGAAATAAAATGAAAAGTTATGAAAATCTTCGTAATGCTCATTCATATATCTGGGAGTCCTAATAATCAATTAAGTTATCATAGAGCTAATGAAAATCTATAATAGAAAATAAAGCGTAGCGCAAAGTTATTGTGTTCGAATTATAAAAGTAAGGAAATGATAAAAATGCGTGAGGATGATATGACGCTAAGCAGGTATGTTTGTTTAATATGGATCAGCGGATCGACTTGAGCGGTGTGTACTTAACTCGCGATCTCCATTGATATATGTGCCATTGCCGTGCTCACATCTTGAGAATTATTTTTTTGTTATATTTACTTTTTGTAATTGTGTTGTTGAACATGGTATCGAAGCCAATTTGACACAAAATTTCAGTAAGTGAATGGAAATTATACTATTTATCAATAATTAATAACAATATCTGTGAAGTAAAAATGACACAAACTGTGTTCAAGTTTGAATATTAACAAGAACACTGGAATTTTCGCTCAAAATGAGTCGTTTATAGAATCAATTAAGTTATTCATGAATGTTGGAGGCCCAAAATTATAGATAATTGACGAAGAAATTGAAAATCTTTCAATATCCTTCAAGTTAGTAAAACTTCATTGTGAGATTTTTTGTGAAAAATGTTCTGGAAATACTTGTTACCGGTGATTTTTATTATTTTATTTTCAATATGTAAAATTCCTTAATTAAGGAGAAAGTTTTATACTTACAAATTTTCGATAGCAAGTTAATTACAAAAAATAGTTACAACTTTTTAACATACTATATGCAACAGGATTCGCCAGCTGCGATAATATTGAAACTCAAAAATATGAAACTTTAATCAGTAAATCTCTTATCTTTCATCTTGTAAACAAAAGTATAATATTCCTTCAGCGGTTCATTGTTGATAACGTAATGATGTTTTTTTCCATTAAAATGTCATTACAGCATCGCTTATCGGATATAGTACAACAATATATGTTCGTGCCTTTATTAGTATAACCAAATACGTCTTTGAAAGAAAGATATTATTTTACTTCTTGTAAATCAATTTTCATAAATGATGATATTTATACGTAGAGATAAATTCTTAAAATGAATGGCCATAGTCAAAAGTTTTTGTTAGAACAACGACGACCTGACGACATCTACTAAAGAACATCATTTAAAGGTATATTTTTCAAATGACTAATTAAATTTGCGACTAAAAAGTCACTAATTCATTGAATATGTATTAAATATAGTTCTGAAGTTTCACTCCGCAAAATTTGTCTAACAATTAGCGTACAAAGTACTTATTGTACTAACAAATGATTCTAGTAAATTTAACTTTTTTAAGTTTTCCCATAAATACTGTCAGTAAATTTCTTATAGACGCCGATGTACAAAATTGTTCTTGTAAGGTACTTTTCAGATTTTTGTCAGCAAAATAATCGACAGAAGATCCAATTAAATAACGTCTACATATAAAAGTAGATTAATTTAAAAAAAAGCCAACTTTAATATATTTTTTGCAATTACACGCGTAGTTGTGCTTTAATAGAAATGGTAAGGAAACGGGACCTTCTCAGAAGCATATCCAAGTGTGTCTATCTCCGTTACAATCAGTTGATTCACGCCAGAAATATACACGAACAGACACAAAAAAAAGTTCTGATTTAATACGGAATTTCCTCGTTTTGGAAGTCGCTGATAAAAATTGGTTCCACATAGAGAATTTGGAGACTTTTAAAAGTACATGTATCAAAAAGAATAATATATAACGCTGTCGATAATAATAACTGTTTCATTGTTCGAATGAAAAGTCATTTACATTACGTGTAAGTTTTCCAACTCAAAATAATCAAAATGAACTCATAAGCGAGCAATTTTTTAATCTTTGAAAGCTTTTCGGTATCAATCATCTATTTGTATCTAATCAAACCATATCGATAGGAGCTGCAAGAATTCTTTCACTTAGTTTTCTTCACGTGTATCGTTCAGTCTAACATATTTGCGTCGAACTTTCATCAGCTGTTTGTACTTTTATTGAAAGACGACTGCCACTGATTATAGAGAAAGCTTTTTGCACGAGAGACATGTTGTGGACAAACAGATAAAACGATTGTCAATGATCCGTCAGTAGCTATAGGCACACAAACACAAAGTTGGAAATCAAAAAAAGAGGGTGAAAGGTAATCCGTACAATCACGATGCAAGTGCGGGAAAGTAGATTCTTGTCTCGTGTGGCTCTTTATGTGAAAAGCTCATTTTTGAACGCGTTTTTTGCCAAGCGTGTGGAAAATACGTGTGCAAAGTGCGACTTTACCGCACGTTCGGCTAAAAACGCGCAAGAAAAAAACCGTACAATACATGTTCGGGAAAGAGATTTTCCTCTCGCGTGACTTTGGGCGTAAACGCCGCGTGAGATAAGAATCCACTTTCCCGCATTTGTATAAAGTAATGTACTCTTTTTCTTAATAGTAATAGTTTTTCTTAATGGTAGTAATTTTCTTAATATCGCAGAATGGTATTATAATGATAGTAATACTGTAAAAGTGAGACTCGATGACACAGCGAAACGTATATGAGCACAGCGAGGGCGGTTAACACTGTACTGTCGAGTGTCACTTATGGCGCGAATATCGTTCATCATTTTATAGCGCTGTCCTTAAATCCGCACTTACGGCTCGTCTTTCCATGACTTAGTAATTCAAAACGACACTTACTTCACGGAAAGACGTTGCATTAGTGCAGACTTTGTCACGCAGTGCTATAAAGTAGCTTATAATCGCACGAATTATTATAAATATCCAGCTCATCGATTAGAAAAATAATAATTTTAGCGAAAAAATTTTTAGGTAAAAGTTGTTCATTACTCTAAATACATTAGTTTGCTTGTAAGTTATAAAAAAAAGCAAACTGTTTTCAAAATCACATGTTTTATTTAGTTTATTAGTAAAATAATGGTTTCAGAGTTTTCAGAGTCTTCACTGACTTTTTGATAGATGATTCATTAAAATTATTATTTTTCAAACCGTAAAATTCTAATTAATCCATATCCTTATTAAATGATTGTTTCAAGCCTTGTTTCGCAGAGATCGAATTTTACGCAGTTTATGTGAAAAAATAGTCTAGTTTACGCATGCGTCAAGTAGGCAATCACGCGCGCGTGTTGGCACCCTCGGTTCGCTCGGGCTGCAATCTTCGCACGTGTGATAATCATCTGCCTTCCACACTTGTTGCGTCATGTACTATAATCGGCGAACTTCGACGCGTGACAATAAAAAGAAAAACTCGAAATCAATTCTTCGCTGCATAAGAGCGAACAGTAGACCTTTCTCAAGACTTACTTTGATGATACGCCCGCACGGCAATTAATTTTTGATTGTGTACATGTACAGGCCGCAGTAGCGTAGGCCGCATAGCGCCAGAAAAGAAACGCGTGCGGGGCTCTTCTAAATTTGCTCGGGCCGCCTTAAGTCAGTAGCGCGCTGCGGGTAACAGTCGCTGTCCGTTCTGACGCTCAGGTCGGCGCGTTTTGCATCAGTCAGCCACAAACTGTGTGCGGGTGTGTAACCCGATCGCGGCGATCTGTGTGATATTTCCAATTGAAGCATCCATCGTTTTATTTGGTATTTACCAGTGATACCGTAGTACAACGAGCACATATCGATAAAATATGGATCTAACGTGGACGCAAATTGTCAGAGTAAGTCGACACATCGAAGTTTTTTTCTGATTGACTTGATTTTTAAGTCACGAAAATGCACTATCAAACAGAATTTTATTACGGGCATTCGAAAGTTGACTCATGATTTAGATTCGACATCAAATAAATAAATAATAAGTGGAATATTTATTACATTGTTAAACGGGAAAGCACTTATTCAAATGTTACAAAATTGCCTTACAATTACGTCAATAAGCGATGACGAACGCTGTATAAACGTGTAAAATTATACAAATACGTTGGTTCGTTGATTGATTGATTGATTGATTGGTTGGTCGGTTGGTTGGTTTTGTCGTAACGTGGACAGAACATGGAAGTATAGCAAACTTTTACTCGTTTAAAGATGGCATAGAAAAAGGTGTTCGAAGGAACGCAGGTGTTTATTCAATTACATTTCCGAACGTCAAATTCACAATTACTTTCGTACTTTCCACTGCCCGTTGCGATACAAGTGCTCCTTCGGACGCAAACGCCACACGAGACAAGAATCTACAAACGCGCACTGCTGCAAATATCAATTACGAGCATTGCGATAAAATTCGTTGACACAATCAAAAACTCAATGAATGTTCCCAATGTAATATTATATTTAAAAATGTCTATTTGAAATTGAGTAGGCCGCGATCGTTATCATCGATCGTTTAAATTGGACGCGATTAGACGTTCGGCGAATCAATTTAATATGAAGAATATCTGTCGAAGACACACAACAACCGAACATTGTGTCTATATTAATTCAACTGGAATTTCGGTCTTAAAAATCGAAGCTCAAACAATTCCTTAACAAACGAAAAATACTAGCGTCTAACTGACATCATGATCATGCTGAATATATGTGGGAATCGCATGAAAGATCGTTGAAACCACGGACGAGGCAAGAATTCAAATGACGTTTGATTGACTTATTTTCAGCTACACAGGCAGCGAAAGATGCACATGATGAATCTTTATCGAGCCTTTAGCCGGAAAAAACCAATAGAAGGATCGCGAGAATCATCGTTAACACGATGTCTTTCGACCTTAGATCTCACAGCTTTGGGCATTGGCTCGACACTTGGAGTTGGTGTCTACGTTCTTGCCGGCTCGGTTTCGAAGAACATGGCTGGGCCAGCTGTTATCGTATCTTTCGCCATCGCTGCGATCGCGTCTATGATTGCAGGTATAATATCCGATCCACGACTTGAGTGTCTGTCGCGTCCCAAACACAAAATTACTCGGTTTAATTGTTCAATGACTGTGCAACGGATGATTTTATGTAAACAGCTGCTTATAATGCTCTATCACATATTGCGGATATTACTATTTTTTTTCAGGTGTATTTTGCCCTACCTGTAATTATACTTATAAATTACTGGTAAGAATAGCGTTGAACGCGCTTGGCAACGAGCACGCTTACTGTTATTCAGCTGTTGCTCGTTCCGTTTCATACTTGACGATTTCAAACAAAATTGAAAAGTAATACAACTTAACGTTCGAAACATTTATCCACGATAATTCGTAACAATTGTTCGCGTGAATGAATCAATAAAAAATCAAGTACGGTATATAATGACCTGAGAAATATTTACCGTGCACTTTCACTTGTTGCTTTTCTTGTACGATGAACCTTGACGATAACGCAAATTCATAAAATGTATTCATCGCCGCGCTTAATAATCAGGCTTGATTGAAAAAAACGGTCGTAAACGGAAAGATTATTTTTGCGGTTCACGCACTAGTACAGCGTGAACAGACAAACCAGTATTTTTATTGTTTATTCGGTGAAAACTTTTCCTCGATTAAGAAATAATTGTTCGTCGAGAAATTTCTCGTATCCACATAATGGAGATTATTATTTACTGCGGTAATATTCTGAAGACGCAATTTGAAAAGCAACGCTAACGATTATTTTCAGGTCTATGCTATGCGGAATTCGGAGCAAGAGTGCCTCGGGCAGGTTCGGCATACGTCTACAGCTACGTGACAATGGGCGAATTCGTGGCGTTTCTGATCGGCTGGACTCTTATCCTTGAGTACGTGATCGGCTCGGCTAGCGTGGTTCGAGGTCTCAGTACTTACGTCGATGCGATATTCAACAATTCCATGAGAAATGCCTTTGAGTCCGCGGCACCTATCGATATATCTCATCTGTCGTCGTATCCGGACTTTTTTGCCTTTGCCGTGACACTTGCATTCTCCGGTTGGTACAAATTTATTTGAATATTTATGTAAGTGTTCGATTTTTTCGAGTTATCGTAAATTGTCTTGTAGCTGCTCTCGCTTTTGGGGCCAAGGAATCATCGATGGTAAACAATTTGTTTACCTTTACTAATCTCTCAGTGGTGCTGTTTGTCGTGATAGTTGGAGCTTTCAAAGGTAATGCAAAGAGAAATGATTTTCAATGTTATTCGCGAGCCGGTCAAGATAAAAAAAAGTAAACGAATGAACTATTTGCCAGCTGATATCAGCAATTGGAAACTACACCCAAGCTGCAGCAAAAACGATTGTTCAAAAGGAACCGGAGGCTTCATGCCTTACGGTATATCGGGTGTAATAACAGGCGCAGCCACATGTTTTTATGGATTCATCGGGTTCGACTGTGTGGCTACAACAGGCGAAGAGGCCAAAAATCCACAAAGGAGTATCCCAATAGCTATCATAGCATCGCTTACCGTCGTTTTTTTCGCTTATTTTGGAGTATCCAGTGTCTTGACAACTGTATTGCCATATTACGAGCAGAATCCTGATGCACCCTTTCCTCACATGTTCGATAAAATAGGATGGACTTGGGCTCGTTACGTCGTTACCGCTGGGGCTATCTGCGGTTTATGCGCAAGGTTATTTTTCGTATTTAAACATCCGTAATATTGTTTTTACGGGGAATACTAGAACGTACTTGTTATTTGGATTTTCAGTTTGCTTGGCTCTATGTTCCCGTTACCCCGAGTCATCTATGCGATGGCATCCGATGGTTTGATCTTCAAGTGGATGGGTAAAGTTAGCTCGCGATTCCATACACCACTTATGGGTACACTATCAGCTGGATTATTAACAGGTTTCTATTTTTTTACATTCATACGAAAAATATCCTTTGTGCTTTAATAAAAAGTTCTTACATAGTGACTAATCAACAATACTCATTGTAGGCCTTTTAGCAGCAGTTTTTGAACTTAGCCAGCTTATCAACATGATGAGCATAGGTACTCTTTTAGCTTACTCTATCGTAGCTGCGTGTGTACTTATTTTAAGGTAAAGATTTTACAGCAGTATCATACAATAAAGTTGAGAAATACAATAAACTTCAAAAAATTTTTAGGTATGAAGAAAGCAAATCTTATGAAAAACAAGATGACATAGAGTCATATTCAGTACTATCAATTATGAAACAACTTTTTAACTTAAAAAGACTGAGCTATCCGACGAAGCTTACGTCAAAAATAGTAACTACATTAGTATTCACTTACTGTAAGTAAAATATAAAATAGTAGCTGTTCATTTACTCGTAAATCATAATTATTATGATTGTTTTTTTAGGTATTTTTTGCATCTGTTTAGCTGCAATCTTTTCAGCATACTCGAAAGAAATCGCAGATGGCAACTTAATATTTCTTATACCTACGGTATTGTTTTCTTTAGTATTAATTTTAATTCTATTTTGTATATATACGCAACCCAATTGTGATAAGAAACTAAGTTTTTCGGTAATAACCTTATACTCCATAATTTTGCTGTGAATGTCAAAAATATCAACAAATCTAAAGTAGACATAATTTTTCAGGTCCCATGTATTCCATTTGTACCAGGTTTGAGTATACTGATCAATATTTACCTTATGATGATGCTAGACGTTATGACGTGGGTACGATTTGGAATATGGATGGTTGTCGGTAAGTTAATCTTGTTTTAAAATTTTCAAACGTTTATTCTATAAAATTGTAAAACAATTAATTTTCAACTTTAGGATTAGGTATCTACTTTTTTTACGGAGTATGGAATAGCACAATACGAGTAAAAAATTGTGAGTCCTAATAACTGAAATTATGACGATGTACTTAAATGAATTTAAGGATTTGATATTAAATTGTTTTTAAAACTTAAATGAAATATTTTTTTCATAAATGCAGAATTGCACATGTAAACAAATACTCGACATCCTTATAACATTGTTAATTATATTTTAAATACATTATGACTTTCTCACCATTTAGTCAAATATTGTTAAACTATATATGTATATATTAAGTCAAAGGTAAAGTTAAAACTTATTTATGAAAACAACAGTTTTAAATCTTCAATAGTTAACTTGGATGAAACTGATCTTGAACCAGTTAACACGTGATTTGCTACATCCAACTTTTTGTCTTGCAATGCTTTCACTCTCTCCTCAATAGTTTCTTTACAAATGAATCTAGATTTTATAAATATATTTTAAATGCTGTCTTTTAATCTTATAGTAATTAAAAATATAGAATGGCTTACTTGTAAACATGTACATTTTTCTTCTGGCCAAACCTGTAAATACGATCTTGAGCTTGAGCTTCCAATTGTGGATTCCAATGAATATCAATAAGCAATAAATGATTTGCCCCAACTAAATTTAAACCAACGCCTCCTGCAGTCAAAGACAGCAGTAAAATATTTATGTCACTGCGAAGATTATTGATTTTATCAACAATATCCTATATAACAAAAACAAAATTAAAAATGGTGAACAGAACTATTTTAATCCAATTTTTCAATATATTCAAATTAACTAATATATTGACCTGTCTTTTTTTTACGGCAACTTCACCCGTAAAAAATTCATATTTAGCATCTTCAATGTTATCCAAATTTTTTGCAATCACTTTTAAAAAACTTGACCATTGTGATACAATAATGAGTTTTTCACCTTTCTTTACAATTTCCTCAACAGTGTCTATTATTTTTCGGACCTTAAACCAAAAAAGTATATTTATGATGCAAATTAAAAATATTAATTGTCCAACGATTACTAATTTATTTTATTTTAAATTGTTCAATGAAAATATAAATACCTTAGAACTACGTCGATATTGATCGAAAACTGGATTTTTTGTACTTAAAAGATTAGTTGCAACTTTTTCATCAATTTTGTAGTTGGCGGCAAGCTCGTCGACTTTACCATCTTCATTGATTGATATATTACTCAATCTTTGTAAAAGTTCGTTATTCGAATCGTAGTCTTGTTCGAGAATCCCATTAACTTCTGCATCCTCCTTATCAAGCATTGCATGTACCAAAGCAGGATGACAGCACATCTGTCTTAGTCGCAATAGTAAAACCAAGATCTCATACGCTTCAATACTTGAATGATGGGCTAATAATACCTTTTGGGCTTTTGTAAATTGTGTTACAGCACCTTGGTAAAAAATAAAAAATAAAGTATATTTTAAATAACAATATATAAAATATATTTTAGACTGGCCTAAAATATATTTTATATATTTTAGGCTAAAAAATAAAAGTTTGATATTACTGTTTTGTCTATCAAATTTACCACCATACAATTCTTTTGTATGCTGTTTGTCAGCGCGTTGAGCCAAAAATTGAGCAAAAAGATTTTGTGAAAACAGTAGAATCTTCTGATAAGCTAAAGTTTCATCAGGATCCATATCAATTTCTACAATATCAATAAATTTCTCTGGCAAAGATTCCAATGATCCTTTAGATTGTAACTCTTGTTTTGTTCTTCGTAGCATTAATGTCTTCATGATGGTTATTAATCTCTGTTTACCAGCATCATTTTTATTATCAACCCAACGTTTCCAGACGTGAAGATCATCAAATGGTGAACATTTTAGAAATTTGAGAATAGCATATAAATCCATTTCCTTATTCTGGATTGGTGTTCCAGTCAAAGCCCATCTATATTTTGAACTCAAACCACATACAGCTAAACAAGCTTTGCTTTTATGATTTCTGATATAATGAGCTTCATCAAGGATAACCCGAGTCCATTCCATCTCAAAATTAATAAAATCATGATTATCAGTATTGATTCACACAAAATTAGTATATCCCTTTCCCAATATGATAGAAAATAATAAATTAATTTCTCTGCAAAGAATTATATTTACCTTGTACATTCCAGATTCTAATTCAGCTTCTCTAACTAAAGTTTGGTACGTTGTTACTACTATGTTATATTTTGATAATTTTCTGTCATCAACACTTCGTTTGTTTCCGTGAAAGACAAGAACACTGAGCAACCCACGTTTACACCGATTATTTACTTCTGCTTCCCACTGCTTAATTAATGATGCAGGACATACAACCAAAGTACCTCCATAATATCCTAAAAATAAAAAGACGTCATTTATTCTTACAATTTCAATAACTTAATTTAAAATTAGATGACCTACTCTTATGCTCCTTCTTTTTGGAAAACCACTCATCATCACTGCTGCTATTATTATCACTATCACTTTCTTTCTCGTTCAAATTTGCCAAAACTAAGGAAATCATAGTTAAAGTTTTACCTAATCCCATATCATCAGCTGTGTATTTGAATTCAAAATACAGATATTAGTAAATATCTAAAAATTCGTAAATGAAGATTAACATTGTGGACAATATTTTACCTAAAATTCCTCCTTTTGGTTTTTGTTGTTCTCTCCATTTCAACCAAGCTAATGCATGTTGTTGATGGACCATAAGTGGAATTTTTAATCCATAAGGATCCTTATCTCTTACATCATCTGCTGGACGTGAAGTCAAAGATCCATGAAGTTGCTCAAGCTTTTGACCTGTCAACGATTGTTGTTTTTGCAGTGTTTCTAACGCTTTTTTACCAAGATCATTTGGATCAAAAAATGTTTGAGGAACATCGGGAATGTCATGCACATCAAAATCATCTTCATTTACATTGTCGCTTTCAGATCCGCTATTAACGTTTTTCTTGACATATAATTTTCTATTATGATTTTCGTGGCTGCTTTTAGATTCATTTTTTAAATACTTTTTGACATGTAATTTTTCGGTTTCATTTTCATCACTACTCTCAAACTCATTTTTAACATATTTCTTGACATTAAAATTTCCATTTTCATTAAAGTTCTCTTTGCCTTCGTTGAATAAATCATTGTATGAGTTTGTTTTTTCGATATTTATTGTTGAATTAGTTTTTATCATTGGTAATTGTGAATTTCTTGAATTTTTCATAGCGCTTCTACGAGAAAGTTTTGATAATTTTGCTTGTAAGTCTAAAATTTTCTTCTGAGTTATCTTTATAGTCTCGTGCACTTTAGCTCCTCTATCTGGCAATTTATCAATAGCTTTTGAATCAGCCAATTTCTAGTAACAAAATTTACATTAATATAAAAAAATTTTAATCGGTTAGAATTTATTGTACTACATTATTATATCTTACATTTAATTTGGTAAGTTGATTTTGAAGCATATCAACCTGAAGAAGGTAGTGTTCTTTTTTTTGAGCTTCTACAGGATCAATATTACCAACTCCAACCTCTTTTCTTACAAAATTTAGAACTTCATCGTCTATTTCATTTTCTGAAATAAATTATTTTTTTACATTTAATTTTCTTCAGAAAATGAAAATTATTAATAAATAAATTTTTATACCAGAGGTACTTGTAGATACAATAAGAACTTCGTCACTAGACTCTTGATTCTTTTTTATTTTATCTCTTTCAATTATACTAGATTTATTTTTAGAATTTTCATCAACTGTGAGATCCACAAGATTAGTTCTTTTATCTTCACTATAACTTGTATTTTCGGAATTGAATTCATTCTGATCATCACTCATTGTAAGATCAACGACATTACTACTTGCTATAATATTAGATTTGTTTCTTTCTTCCAGGATAAATTTTTTTTTTTCTGGTAACTTAAGATCAGAAACCTTAAAATCTCTATCTTTTTTTTTAATGGATCTTTGTTCGTCAATTTCTGGACAACCCATTTTCCCAATACCCAAAAAAAGGCTATGAGCAGAACTATCTTTTGATTTTTCATTTGAATCTTCATAATTAGATGACGTTTCTTTACTACTCTCTATTGATTGTTCAGAACTATCTTTACCTGTAGATTCTGGAAATATAATAAGACAGCTCAAAAAGATTATATGATTTATTATGTAATAAGTCACAATTCATTAATAAGTTAAAATTTATAAAAATGAAGCAATGTATATAAATTCAAACCATAATTTGACTCTTTAGATTCATATTTTTCATGCTCATCATCCAAGTTATACGGCAATAATTTACTTTCACTTTTGTTTGCAGATTTTTTTCCACGATTAACTGAAAGACTAGAGTGAGAGTTTTAACACTTCTAGTGATATTACTTTTATATCAGAATTTTTGAAAAACAAAAACACAAAAAATTAATACAGAATTTAAAAATAATTAATTACTTTTCTGATTCAGAATCGCTATATATTACTGCTCTTTTAAGTCGCTTACGCTTGATACCATGAATTGGTGTACCTAAATCAATATCATTTTTATATATTACAATAAATGTTACATATAAATTTTTTTAAATTATAATAAATATCTTACTTTCATTCAATCGTTCATTTTTCATTGAATTTGAACTATCAGGATTATCATAAATGGAATATCTCTTTATCTTATTCAATTTATTATTTGTTTCACTAAAATATAAAAACTATTTAATATAAAATATATGTTATAGAACTTTGAAAAAATAATAACACTACCTTTCTGAATCTGATGAATGTTGTACAATTGATACCACATGGCTATTGTTCATAAATTGCCTGTCCTCTGAAAATTATAATTATTTACAAGTTATATTAAGGTAATTTTATAAATAAAATTTTTATAAAATATAGAAATAAATAAAATTTATATAAAAATATAGGAATCTAACATGTTTAAGTATACCTTCTTCTGAATCTAATGTATCATTACTGCTTTGATCCTCAGATACTTTAGAATTTGAATCAAAATTAGGTGAATCCCTAAAATATATGCATTATTAGTATAAATATAGTATAAAAATAGTATAATAATAGTGGAGGTCAAAAGAAACAGCTGCAGATATTTCAAGTTTTTCTTTTAATAAATAAAATATAATTACTTTGAAAAACAACTTTAAGACAAAATAAAGTTAAGAACAAAGAATCAATAACATTTTTAAAACCATCTTATGATATTGCAAAGATCATTAAAAAGGTTTTATTGATTTTATGAGGTGTGATTTTTAAATCTACAACACACTTTCATCATTGAAAAAAATTCTTGTAGAAAATTTATTTTAATTAAAGTTAAAGAACTCACACTTCAGAATCTGAATCATTGATAATTTGAGGATTTACACCAGTGGTATTGTTGTTTAGAGGACTGTTATCTTCTTCTTCACTATCAGAAACAATAAAAGAGTCTTCTGCATATTTCAAGGGAGTAATTTTTGCCAAATTCATCTTGAATGTATGGACAAAAATACTTTTATGTGTAATATAGGTGTCTCCACACTTGTCACGACACATGTAATGTATAAATTTAACTTCACATTTTAGTCGGGTATTCAATTTCACCCATATCTATATGGAATTTGTTATATGATGAATATATTACTCGTTGACCCAATACTCATTCAAAATAATAATACATACAAATATTTAAATGCACTTCCCACTGACAGAACATCAACTGAATGTTGAATCACTAAAGATTAGAAAAGAGCAAGTAACAAAATCAATCCCCGTAAAAATTCATAAGATTCCCCGCTATTCGCAACTTGAGACGTATTATAACTTGCATTCAAAACAATGGCAGATGGCAGATCTCGTACGACGGTTGCTTTTTGAAAAGTTTGAATTTGATTGGTCTACGATAGTGTGATATATAGGTAGCGTCATATTTTCGTACTATTTGTAGGTATCAAAACAAAACAATCTTCACTGCAATATATGTAAAAACCATTATACGTAAATAACACTGGAATGGTTTAACAAAATTAATTTTATTATATTGTATGTAGTACGAACAGTCACATTCTTTCGAGCCTTACAAGGCTATATTGTTAAACCGAAATTTTATTGATCGAGAGCCAATGTTATGCAGTTTTATTAGTCCATTCTCGGTCGGTAATCAAATTTCGATATAATATGGCCATGCAGACTCTATATAGCAAACACGTGAATGTTTTTCTAAATACATGTAATAAATAAATAATTTTATCGAATCATACCATTGTTTTCCTTTTCTAAGATATCTACAAAAATCAAATAACAATCACAGACGTAATTAAAATAACCCTCATTTCTTCTACGATGCCAAAAATACTCACATTTACTCATAATTGAAATTTTTCCTTTTGTAGCTAAAGATATTAAAAGATCGACGTATGCATATGAATGATGAAATATGATTCTTCAAAAAAAATAAACAAAATTGTTTATTAAACCGTTATTACAAGACATTACAGGCTTGGTATTTTTTATCTCACTATTGCATTTTTTTTATTATGATCGTATAATTAATATTATAATATAATATATAATATTTATAATAATAAATATGCTACTTTGGTTCATATAACAGATTTCGATTTCATAGTATTGATAAAGCAGCATCGTCCAATTATAAATAGTTTTCATTAAAGAATTCTCCATTTTTATGTAATATTCATTCGTTTTTAAGGTGATTTTTAAGGCTATATATGATAGAATCGAAAGTTAAGATCAGCATCTTTTATTTAAAAAAGTTTCAGTTCGATTGATGCAGTTTCAATAAATTTTTCAATAAATGTGTATAGTTACAGTAACATAAATTTTGATAGACTTATTAAAAATTGTGTTTTGATAAATCTACTTGCCAGTATAAAATTGAGATTTCACAATTATCTCTAGTTTAGAAAACGTTATGTGATTAATTCAGATTCACTTGTTATTCTATAGGATTCTTAGCATTACATTTAGCTTTTAAATACTGTAGCTTCAAAACAATTTTCAGTTTATTAAATACATGCAGCAACAATGCTCTTTGAACTGATACTGATGTCATCGATGGTATATCGAAAATAATGAGAAAGTAATATGTGTTAAAAATATTCATTGGGTTGGACAATAAAATAATAGAATAACGTGTTATAATAAGATGTTCATGCCTACTCGCCTGCCGGTTTTATACATTTCTTGAAAGGTGTGTAGGGTGAAGGGGAAAGATCTACTTACCCATACACAGGCTGTGTTCCGATTAGCATACGAGGTCTGTCCGGAAAGTATCGGGCATACGTTTATATCTTCGCGCCATAGTGTTCGAGCGACCTCTACCGGACAGAAACGTCAACAGTTAAGCCTCACGAATCTATTGGTTACTTACTGGAAAAAAGTGACCTGGGGGCGCCTCGGACGCACATGCGATTCCACCTTCTTACATTTTTATTATAATTATAATAATCAAAGCTGGTTTTTATTGGTAAGATTAATCCAATAACTATCCTCTAACTATCCTTCAACACTTTATCTATCTCTCATCGTCCCCTTCTTTTTCTATTTTTTATTTTTCCTAATTGATTATTTTGCATAAGAACCTAACCTCAATAATTCATCTCGTGGGGCGGCCAGCTCTGCCCCCCCCCCCAGCACCCGTCCCCGAGATAAGTATAAACGACGAAAAAAAGCAATTAAATAACAGCTACCTAACAGATGTCAAAATGTTACCTCAACCAGATCAAACAAGAAACAAAAGACCTCCAAATAAAAATAATATAGCATTGCCTGAAAAACTCCCCAAAAGAAACCATAATACTGAAACTAACTCACAATTTAATCAAGGATCACAATAATCTAAACTAGGAGAAATTCAGCCCCCACAATCACAAAGGATAGAATTGCCCAAAATCGAAGAATATCCATACGACATACCTCCCCCATACAAAATAATTGTACAACCCGCTGAACTCGATAACAAAAATAACCTAAATCAAACATTCATAACTCCAATTCAAATTGCTAAACATATCACCCCGCTATTCCCTAATGGCTCAATCGACGAATACATCAGAACAGGTAGAAATAAAATAGCTATAATTACACACAACCGCAAAGTTGCCAATTCAATTCTCAAACTAGAATACTTCAAAAAAAACAACCTAATCGCCTTTATACCAAGCTCATTTATTTGCAAAAAATGCGTAATTAAACAAATCCCAACAAACATCACAGAACAAGAAATCATCAACAACCTAGAGTTAGTATCACCAATATCTACTTTACCGATAATCAATGTGAGGAGATTCAATAGAAAAGTGACTGAAAATGACACTGTAAAATACCTACCAACCACTACTATCCTAGTTACGTACAAGGGACAAATAACTACCTAACATGCCTTTCTCTATAGAGTTAGATACAGAACTGAACTATACATACCAACAGTCAAACTCTGCACCAAATGCTACAGACATGGCCATGTCAAATCGTCATGTAATTCAAAACAACAAAAATGCATATACTGCAGAGAAACAACACACAATTATCAAGAGTGCCCCAAAATAAACGACGTGACAAAAAAATGTTTAAATTGTGAAGAAAATCACCTACCAACAGATAAAAACTGCAAAGTTAAAAAAATGGAACAAGACATCCTAACCACTGCAACCAAAAGAAACATTTCAATAAAAGAGGAAAAATTAATACATAATCAATACAATAATAATTCCAAAAGATTCAGATTCTCAGACTATCCTGAAATGAACGAAGCTCCAACCCTCCAAGAACTCTATGTACAAAATACAAACACAAAAAAAAAATAATTTAACTCCGAAAATCAATAAAAATCAATATGCTATTTCACACGATTTTATAATACAACATCTAAATTCAGACCAAAATTTTCATAATTTATTAAATGAAAACATTGAAACTACATATAATCAAATAGATACAGAATCACAAATGCAAAATTAAAATAATTACTAAAAATAAAAATCAACAATTTACTCTCCTAACTCCCAACAAATTATACTTCAACATCCTATCAACACAATTAATATATATTTATATATTTATTTATTATTTTAACAAACAATGCTAAACACTAAACAAGAAGTACATCAACTTAAAATACTTCAATGGAATTGTCGAAGTATTTGTAATAAATTATACCTTCTAAAAAATATTATCAACTCTTATGACATTATCCTGCTCTCAGAAACCTGGCTAAATGATAAATCCTATATCAACATCCCTAACTATCATATTATAAGAAAAGACCGAACAACAGGAGAACATGGAGGAGTAGCAATTCTAATAAAAACAAACCTCCCTTTTCAAGAAGAAACAAATATCTATTATAACGAAAAAACACTAGAAACCGTCGCTGTATCTATCCCCCTATCTATAAATAATACAAATAAAGAAAACTCTACACTAATAATATCAACTTATAGAATCCCATCCACCCAAACTACAATAGATATCTGGTCACAATTTTTAAGCTCAACCTCCAACTATAAACACACCCTTATCGGCGGGGATTTAAATGCCCACAACTTTACCTGGGGTGCAAATAAAACTTGTAAATCAGGAGAAAATCTCATCGATGCACTTATCGACTCAGACTTATCCATAATCAATGACGGCTCTCATACTTATTTCAATAGCCAAGAAGAACAATTCTTCTCATCTCCTATAGATATCACAATAATCTCAACCAACATTCTCAACTCTACCGCGTGGAAAACTTACCCAGACCGCATGAATAGTGACCACCTCCCAATAGAAACCACTATCTCCATAACCCACGAAAGACCTCCCACCAACATTACACATAAAATAAACTACAAAAACATCAATTGGAGTCATTACTCAACTTATATAGACAAATTTATAGAAAACAACTCAGAAACAATAAAAGAATATAATGAAGAACAAAAATACAATCTACTAACTAACCTTATCACTTCAACAATAAAACTATACAAAAACAACAAAAATAAAAAACATACTAATAACAACTACAACATCAATTTAGAATATAAAACTTCAAACATCAATTCAATAAACAACTTATCAGATTATAAAGAACCATCAATTACAAAAAAATTTAAATCCCAAACACCCAAAGCTCCATGGTAGGACCACAACTGCTCAAAATTAACAAATGAAAGAAGAAAAGAAACCAAAAACTTCCTTAAAAACCCCACGTATGAAAACCTCAAATTACTAACAAAAACAGAAACACGTACTAAAAATCAACTTAGAGACATCAAAAGACGAAAATTCCAAGAATTTGCTGAAAAAAAGATCTCGATAGACACGAATATAAAAGAACTATGGAACACTATAAACAAATTCAAAAACATCAACAACAATAACAACATAAAATATCCAAACAACGACACCGAAGTAATAAATAATGCAAAAAAATTCATTAAAGAATTCTCCTCATCCCCAAACACATACCCTTCTCACCCACCAACATATAATCATATAGAACAACACACAAATGAACAAAAAGATCTTGACTCTCCTTTCAATATAGACGAACTAAATTTATCCTTGAAAGCAACCAAAGAAGACTCCACACCTGGCCTTGACCAAATAGACTACAAAATGTTAAAAAACACCCCACTATCTTTTAAAACGTTACTTCTATCTTCACTAAATCATTACTTTGAAAATGGTATTTTTCATGATACCTGGAAACACTTTTTAATAATGCTAATACCTAAAAAATCCAAAAATAAATTTCGCCCAATATCATTAGCCTCATGCATACTGAAATTAACAGAAAGATTAATCAACACAAGATTACATCACTACATTGAAAAAAATAATCTCTTAACAGAATCTCAATACGGCTTCAGAAAAAGTAAATCTTGTCAACATGCATTAACCCACCTAATTACTGATATTCATTTAGCAAACAACAACAATCAAAACACCTTTTGTACTTTTATTGACATAAAATCAGCTTTTGATAATGTCTGTCCTAATATACTCGACAAAATCTTACTTAAATTAAAAATCCCCAAAAAAACCAGATGCTTCATCTACAATCTAATTACCAATAGATTTCTTCTCTTCAAAATCGGCAATAATCTGTTTGGACCACATTCCAAAAGTATAAGAGTTCCTCAAGGGTCTGTATTAAACCCCCCCTGCTATATAATCTATATGTAAATGAACTCTCACAAATCATACCTCCCAACGTAAAATTAATCCAATACGCAGATGACACTATTATATATACTTCTGTTCCAGATATCAAACAATCAATAAACATATTAGAAAACACTCTTGAACTCATAATCAACTTTTTCCAACAACTAAAATTAACTCTTTCAGCTAAAAAAACAATATTTATTATCTTCACAAAAGCTCCCTATTCTGCTATTAAAAATTACTCTCTACTAATAAATAACACTCCCATATACCCATCAAAAAAAGTCAAATATTTAGGACTATATATTGACTACAATCTTCATTGGAATGATCACGCAAACTACATAATAGGAAAAAGTTTAAAACTACTAAACATAATTAAAGTACTTAGAGGAACATGGTGGGGCAGCCACCCACAAATATTACTAAGAATTTATTCAGCTATTATTAGAAGCACCATAGAATACAGCCTCTACCTAACACACATAAACAACTCAACTCTTCTTAAGAAAATACAAAAAATTCAAAACAGTGGAATAAGACTATCACTAGGATGTAGAATTTCTACACCAATAAATGTCCTACATGCCGAATCCAAAATCTTCTACATCAAAGAAAGACTTCAACATCTAGCTGATAAATTCATACTAAAACTAATATCATCTCAAAACTCACCAATCTTAATCAATCTAAAAAATTTAGACCACGATCTAAAACAAAAAGACAAACTTAAAATACAAAAAACTTTTATCCCAATAGAAACATGGAGAAATATAACAAATTTAACAGTTAATAAAATTACAACCCATGCACACCCTATCCCTTTCGATTATAACTATCACGCTACCATAAAAAAAAATCTCATTGATACAACCTCTGGAAAAAATATAAAATCCTCAAATAATCCTCCGCAAGAATTCAACAAATTATTTAATACCGAAATAAATTCTAATCTAACTTTTTTCACTGATGCCTCTAAAATTAAAACCTCTTCATTCTCTGGCCTTGCCATCTATAGCCCAACAACAAATTTAAAGCTTCAATATAAAACCTCACTTCCAGCTTCTATCTTTACACTCGAAGCACTAGCAATCTTCCCAACTATACATGAAATTAAAAAAATAAAACCAAATAAAACATATATCTTCTCTGACTCCCTCAGCGTCTTATTAGCCATCTCCAACTACTCACCCATTAAATCAAAAAACACATCACATATAATTCTTGATATCAAATCCCTCCTACATGAATGTGAACTTTTAGGCATTCAAATAATACTTATCTGGATACCATCCCATACTAATATCTCCTACAACGATACAGTAGATTTCTTAGCAAAAGAAGCCATTCAAAAAGGAACAAATCTAATCATCCAGCTTCACTATACAGACTTTCTAGAACAAATAAACCACAACCATAAAAAATCACATAATGAATTTATCGCAAACCAAAGCCAACAAAAAGGCTCCCATTACTTTAAATATTACTTTCAAAAAGAAAATCCTAGACCATGGTTCTCCAAAATAAACTATCCAAGAAGACATTTAACAACAATTATAAGAATCCGATCTAATCATTATAATCTAGCTGCCAGCTTACATAGGAAAAATATGACCAATTCCCCTTCGTGCCCATGCGGATATACTTCACAAGACGCAAATCATATTGTATAGGATTGCCCCAATTACCACCTACAAAGATACACATTAAAAATTAAATTAAAAAAATACTATGAAAAGAAGAAAAAACAACCCCCAACATCCATCGAGGAAATATTAACAAACCCAAATGAAATAACATCCAAATTCATAACAGACGTTTTAAAACAATGCAACTTATTTATATAACTCTACTTTCTCTAAAATCATTTTATATACCAAACTTAACTCTACATCCACACTATTATACCACAAAATCAAAACACCTATTTTACCGACAACTAAAATCAATCATTACTATATCCTACCTACACATATACTTTATAAAATAATTCATACACTCTCCCACTCTTCTTTTTCTACCCTTTTTACCAATAAAAACTTTTAAATTCTTTTAAATTTCAAATTTTATCTCTCAAATTTAAATTATGGCGCATCGGAGTCCTCAGGTACCCACAGCCATTAAAACGAAACGAAACGAAACGGTTACTTACTGACACCTGCCGGACGTATAGTTCATGCGCAGCGTGTCTTTGTTTACAGTGCCTTTTTCGCGTTCGTCGGATTTTGATACTCTCAAAAATGACTGAAAAACAAGATCAACGAATTTGCATCAAATTTTGCTTTCAAGTCGGGAAAACGAGTTCGGAAACTATTGAAATGATGCAAAAGGCCTTCGGAAGCGAGTGTATGAGTAAAACACGAATAAAAGAGTGGTATAAGTGGTTCAAGGATGGTCGCACTTCTGTCGATAGTGATTCTCGTTCCGGCCGACCTTCGACGACAAAAACCGTAGATAATATTGAGCGGGTGTGACTTTCAATGGAACAAGATCGTCGTATGACTGTGCGAGAACTAGAAGACCTTGGGATACCAAAAACTATCATTTCAGAAATTTTGTTAATGTTAAATGTTACAAAGTGATAATGTAATAAATGTTGCACATACAAAATATGTAAGATGTATGTGTTTGGTAAATAATTTAAACACGTATAATTCTTATTTAAAACTTTCATATATTTTTCTTAGTAAAAATTAGTAAAAATATACTTGGTCAAAATATACATTTTATTTAATAAAATTATCTTTTACAATCATATAAATGGAAACAAAAAATTATTGTACTCTATTTTCTCTGCACCTTTGTATAAAATATTTAATAAATATAAAAAAATATTTATAAAGAATTCAGATCTTTTAATTTTCATTCATTTTGTTAATTTTGTTTTATTTAATTATCTATATTATGTAGCCGATTTGTTGAAAGTATAATTTATACAACTTTCAAAATAATAATGGCTTATATTCTATATATACATACATTCAATTTACTATCATCACCTATAATTTGGATTTTCATATTAAATATGATTTTGAATTTAGAAAACAATTTTTTATTTTGAAAACTCGTTTTGATTAAAAAATCGTAAGTTTATATATAAAATTTTTAAATTAATTAATATTTCAATTTTTTTTCAGTAATATTAACTGTATTCAACCGTTAATATGAAAATTACAATTTTCAAAAGAAATAAAAATTACATTGATAACCATATAATAAAATTTTTCCTTACACTACGATTAACTCCATACCAATTTTTTATTTATAGCTATTTTTATCATCAATAAAAAGAATAATTTATTTTCATCATATTCCTTGTTGAAAATTCAATATTTAATCTTCAAGGGGAAGTGGAGTTGAAGCAGTAGCAGCCTGATGATTCTGAAGTTTTTCCCTGGAATTGATGATATTGCTTTTCCTTCTGTCCAATACTAATTTAATTATATATAAAACAGCCAAAGGCATTGGAGTCATAATTGCACACGATACGGGTATTACTAAAAAAAATTAATAAATGGATGATGATTAATAATTCAATTTGATTTACAAGACTACGGTTTTGCAAAATAATCAATTATTACCAGTAGTTAAATCAGCTGCAGGTTGTTTTAAACTAAATCTCAAAAGAAATATTGCAACGCCAGTATTTTGAATGCCTGTTTCAATTGCAATAGCTCGAATATCTTGATTAGGTTGCCGGCAAATAAATGCAATAGCTATACCAATTAAAAATCCCAACCATGGTAATCCCATTCCAGCCAGAATAATCTTTAATAATCAAATAAAATTATAATTATTTTTGATAATTAATCATTATTCATCAAAAATAAAGAAATTATGGATACTTCATCCGCAAGGATTCGATTTATGTAAGTTCAGAAAAGCAAGCATGCTTCATATCTCGTTTCGAACACACCGTGTCAAAATTAATACATTTCCTAACAAGTGCGTAAAGTTTTTCTGACGAAACTCGCTATAGCACTTGCCTTCAGTTCGTACCGTAAAATTCTCGTTTCGTCAAATCGTAGATTGCGTACCTTGGCTGGGAAAGTATTGGTTAGTCCGTAGCATGCGCACGCGTGAGAATTGATATCTGAAGCAAAGCCGAGATAGCGTCCTTAATTTTATTTGATTCTCACGTCCTGTGGACTTAATCAATACTTTTCCAGCCTATATATGTACATAGTTTACTATTTCCCCTACATTACTATTTCAAGTTCGGAAACAAGGCCGAAGATATGATTTGAAGATTAAAACGCGGAAAAATTAAGTTAGATACATATGCCCTGAATCCTAATTGCAGTGCATATAGTGCTAAGACTTTTGCCGTTGCTCAGGCTTTGAAGATATCCATAGATCATCGATATTTGGATACCGTCATTCTGGCTGACTCCCAATTAGTAATCATGAACTTTTTGTGGCAGGGACTACAGTCCAATATCCACCCATGGATAGCCGACATTAGAAAACTAATGCAAGACATTATTTTGCATGGTAATAATATAAAACTCTGTTAGATTCCAAGTTACAGAGGTATAGAGGGTAATGACAGTGCAGACTCTGTGGGTGGAGAGGCGGCCCTGCTAGCCCTTAGCCGGGAGCCATTACCTCGCCCTCTGACTTTAGAAATGAAACAAAAGTAAGTTCCTAAAATAATGCTGATCAAGAGCTCCAGCAATACACGTTTCTAGGAAAAGGTACTAAATATATGGAACAAGCTGGGACTTTAAGTAATAAACCATGGTTCAAACACAGCCGAATAGACAGAAAGAGAATTAAGTACAATATGTAACCATATTAAATCAGGACACACCAGAACCAAAGTACATTTGGTGCGTATAAATATCCTTCAAGATGACACTTGCTCATACTGTGACCAAAGGAGCAAGACCCTGGAGCATCTGTTGCGGAAATGCCTCAAATTCTCTAAACTTAGAATTACTTCCCATTACTTAGAATTACTAGCTTTATTCTACAAAACCAAATACTTATATGATACCCAGTACCCAGAAGAAAAATCAATTCTATTTCAATAGTTCAGTTATCACTACTAGCCAATGCATTTTGATGTGAAATTTACCTGTGGAATATATGATTTCTATAGTAATCGCACATTAGATCTATCAACCAAATACAGACATATGCTATATACATTCTACTATAGGAAAATATTACAAACAAACCTAAAATTAAGTAGTTTTACAAAATTAATATACGGTTAAAATTTAGTTTAAAATCTAGTTTTAAAAAACTAGTATAAGGTTAAAATTAGAGAAACCAGGTATAATAAATTTGAAAAAGCCACATTTCCATTACAATTTTAAGTCCATGTGGAATCACACATTCGCAGATTCCCAGCATTTGCTTCCACATTTCTAATCCCCTCCCAGCTCCAACGAAACCACAATCTTGTACGCTAAGATTGCATCAGGGGTGCTTCTACAATACAGAGACAGACGTAAATCGCATGCAGCAAGCGTAAAACCAAGAAATTCTGAGTGCGGCCAACTTCGAAATTCAAAATGAATTGAAAAGACATAATTCCTATTGTACGTAGCCTCAAAAAATTGTAAATGTAAACATGAAGCCGATTGACGAATTGTTAAAACAAAATGGTAATTATCTTAAGTAATTAATGAATTATATTTCATAAATTAAAATAGTACATTACGATACAAGAGCGGGAAAGTAGATTCTTGCCTCGTGTGGCGTTTACGCCCGAGCGAAGCGAGGGTGGAAAGGTACACGAAACGAGAAACTCTTTCCCAAACATGTGCTGTACCGTATTTTTTGATACGACGTGTGGAAAGTGCGATTTTCAACGCACGTTTTTTGCCGAGCGTGCCGGAAAAACGCACTTTGCGCACGGAGTGTCGAAAAATAACAATATCCAATTCAGGTTTTATGTCTAGAAGCAAATCTCAAAGTCGTTTTGTTAATGAATATACTAAGTTCGAATTGTTCAACATTTGTTTCAATAAAATCTTATGTTATAACATAAGATATATGTCTCTTATGTTATAATAATTCGTTCATCCCATATAATCATTTTGTTATAATAATTCGTTAATCGGATTCATGTTTACATTTGCAATTTTTTGAGGCTACATAAATAGGAATTATGTCTTTTCTTTTCATTTTGAATTTCGAATTTGGCAGCACACCGAATTTCTTGGTTTTACGCTTGCTGCGTGCGATTTACACCTGTATTGGAGAAGTACCCTAATAACGCGGTATTAAATGCTTTGAACGATGGAATCTGTACAACATAACCTCATTTGAATTCATAATAAATATCGAAGAAAATTGGTAAAAATATCAATGATAATAATATTAATAATGAGACCTTATGAGCTATCTGCGCGCTCTTTTATTGCTTTACTTGCTACGACGTTCTTTAGATTTTCATGAGATGGTAAACATAACGAAGTAACAGCTGTTTTCTCTAATCTTTTAATAGTTCCTTCAATAAAAAAAATTATGAATTAAAAAAGTACGCCCAACAAACAATAAGTAATTGCAGGTGGAATTATTTTTTTATCACTTAGGAAAAATATCATCTGCAGTAAAATGTTTGGAGCACACGTTCCAAAAACTTTTCAAGGGCCCTTTGATATTCAAAGCTTTGATCCACATGAGTTGCAAATTTACTTTTTGTATGTTTCCAAACATATTTTTTCGGTAGATATATTTTGCCGGCGATGGAAAAAAGTGAAAAGTAAGTTCATTGTTGACGTGAGCTCGAGAACTACAATTTTTTACACAGCAATAAATATTTCTTCGCCGAGGAAGCTGACATGTTTATGAACCTTTTACAAAGTATTTAATTAATTTGTGTAGTCAAATAGTCCAAGTATAACTATAAAAATACCATGTAAATGATAGCCTTCATACGAGTTTCAATGTAAACACATGCGAACCTGTCTCATGGCTATGATTCCAGCCAGCAGAGGCGCTGAAGTTTACGTATATATTTGTAGTTATTAATTCCGTGTTCACCATATTTCCATAAGTATATCCGATATTGAACAAATGAAAATAATAATTTATCAAATTCAACTATAATATTAGTCTGCATTCATAATACATTGTACAATAATTCTACACAAAACTAAAATCAGATACTAAAATTTTTAATATGAATTCAATTGAGGTTATATTGTATAGATTCCATCGTACAGGCCATTTAATATCCAAAGTTGGCAACAAAGTTAACAACAACACTATAAGCTCTGTACGCGTGTGGGGGGTAGCATTATATGATAGTCACAAATGATGGTTATAATCGAACAGGGAGAAAAAAGATATATATGCCAGAAAGTGATTATCCCTTCTCGTGTAACTCCTTCACCTGCGCTTCCTCGTGCGCAAGTTTCTATACGAGGGTCAAATCACTTTCTCGCACTATTATCGAAATGTACTAATTTGAAATGACTTACCTTCCACGAAAATAATTTGAACAAGTATACGTTTGTGACAATAGCAAAAATAATTATGAAAACTATCAAAATAACTGAAAATGGTTTCATTGTTCGAACCATAAATCTTGATAGCCTTGGCAACTTCTTTTGTATAATATAACCTAAGGCTAATGGTATTATCAACCCAATTGCAAAAGTTGCTACTTTATCATATGGCATAGTTAGATTTCCCCTTTCAAATATGTGCTTGCCTAATGTAAATATCCACATAGGCATAAGTCCTGAAAATAAAAATAATTTAATGAATTCAAAATTAGGATTAATTTTCAAATTTTATTAAATAACAAATGGAATAAAAGTTTTTCTCACCAAATGCTGCAATAGTACATAGAGTAGTCATGGTTACAGATAAATTCAAATTGCCTCCTAATAGCATACTCCAAATATTTGATGCCCCTCCACTAGGACTAATACCTGTGAAAAAAATTCCTAATTGCATTTCAGGGGAATCAGGAAACAGTAACAAACCCAGTGTATAGCTTATCTAAAAAAGTAATAAAATATAAAAATAATAAAAATATAAAAAATGTATTTAATTGATAAAAGTTAATTGTAATTAATCTCTCACCAATGGCATAAGTACAAATTGACACACACAACCAATCAAGGGTCCAATTGGCCTTTTAATAGTTTTTGTACAAACATCCCAATCTATAGCACATCCAAAATTTATATATAGTATCGACACTAATAAAGCAATACTGCCAGTGAAAACATGATCAATTATTCGTACTCTTCTAATTATTATAACATTTATTACATCTGATTTCACCCATTTCTGGAAAATGTATATGATTTCATAGGTATCAAAAAAAATAAAAAAAATATTATCAAGTTTTTAAAATTGGCAATGAGGTCAAATTTTAATACTCACTCTTTCAATGAAAACTGATAAATATACTTCTGCGTTGCCAAGAAAAATAGCACTAACATTGACAATTCCTTTATAGATTCCATTAGATATTAAAAATGGATCAAAATTTGATACGTTTACTTGAACTACATTCAAATTTGAGCTTACAGCTGTGATATTTACATTACGAACATCACTACTTAGATTTTCAATTGTAAATGGAATAAATACTGTATTGTCCATATGAACTTCTATTTCTGTTTTATTAAAAAATACTCGCACATCAGCATTCACCACTCCCAACAATAACACTCCCAATAAAAATATAATCATTTCCTGCAAAAATAAAAATATGCAATTTTATTTAATATTTTTAGTTATCTTTTTCTTTAAAATTTTTATAAAATATCAAAATTCGCTAAGTAATGTTAAGAGTAACAAGCTTGAAATTAAAATTTACATTGTGATAATATAAAATAGATTAAAATTCATGGATACATTCACAAAAATAAACACTAAATATTACGTCATCGCTTCAAGTGAAACAACTTGTTTGTATGCATAAGACTATAGTACGCAAAATAACGCACATCCTGAATCAAGGTAAATTTAGAAACTATCTAAGCGAAAAGCTGTTCTTTTAAGAAAGCAAATTAACTAGTACTTAAAGCGATTTTCTAAGTGAAAGTATGTTTAACAGTTACCACGATATTCCTCCATGGTGACACGTAAAAAATTAATTCTATCTGCATGAATTAGTTTATTAAGCGGAAACGCAACCGGCTGTAGATAATAGTAAGAAGTATTACCTTATTTTGTGTATAGAATTTTGAAGTAACATTAGCGTTTTCGCACGCAACCTTTTATTATTGACTATTTCGATTTGGAGCACCTTCTACCGGCGATAGCTTTAAGCATACGACTAGTTGCATCACCTACAGAAACTCCACAATGACCACAATCATCAAGCCAAGCAATCATGCATATCATGTATAGACATGTGACACTGCAGATTCTCTTCTCGCTATTCAATTCAACACATATAGATATCCTTCTGATTCACGTTAACACACTGACTGAAGAGGACGATTGGGGCAATCCTAACGTTCTTCATCTGCCATGAGAAACGGGACTTCCGTATCAATGTGTGACTGTATGTATTATGGTTTTTTTACTTTTAAGATGCAGTGCACGTGCGCACACACCAAACTAGTCGAGTAGTCGAGTGCACTGGCGCCATCTCAATCACTTTTTTAAATATCCAAATATGATAAGCAAACACATTGAGAAATTGCTATAAATTAGAATACTATTTGTTTTTTTCGCATAAAAACATCTATTATTAAGAAACTACGATGTTCATAGATTTCATTTTAATAAGCTAGATTCATATTAAATTATAAAGGTTAAAATTATGGTTTTAATATTTTTCTAAAGGTAAAAGTTTATATTAAAAGAACTCGCTCTAAAGTCTCCAATATACCTTTAGTCTCTTTAATCTTGTAGGTTTAATATTATTAGGTATAGGATAAGTGTCCCAATTACTGGTATAGTTTAAAATGTCAATGTACAGATTATCGTCATTCGATGAATAAAAGTACAAACATCAAAATTATTCCATTTTCACGTAAAAAGGTTACAGAACTGAATGGAAAAAATCATCTTTATTCGCGTTTGTTTTCTAGCCGGAAATTAGATGTAAAAGTTCAATGTTACAAACTCGACCCGTGTTGTAACAGTGTCATACTAGTATGTAAGTGCGGGAATAGTACATTTACGATACAAGTGCTTATATATATATGCTTATACAAGTGCTCGCTTCGCTAGGGCGTAAACGCCACACGAGACAAGATTCTACTTTCCCGAACATGTGCTGTATGATTCTGTATCGTAGTTTTTGATACGACGTGTGGAAAGTGCGATTTTCAAAGCATGTTTTCTGCCGAGCGTACGAGAAAGACGCACTTTGCGCACAGAGTATCGAAAAATATATTAGATATTTTTTAACATACAGTGCAAAACGAAAAAATTGCATTTAAATATTCAAGTTATGTATGTGTGTGTATGAATAATTAAAAAGCTCAAAAGCTTTTCAACGTTCTGCATCAAATCCGAAAGTAATTGGACAAGCTATTGACGGGATAATTTTTTTTCAAAAATTACAATTTATAAATATACTAATTGATTTTTTAATTCCACCGAAGTAGCTTCAGAAAGACTAAATTATAAGCTGAGTTTTTCCCAGACATTTCAAACTTTTCTGCAATCAATAGACGTGTAATATATTGGTAATAGGAACACTCACTCTATATAAATTAATAAATTCAAAAGTGTTCTTTATAAAACAGATTTATTGTCAAAAGACTGTATATATCAAAGGTGTAAATAAATACTGTGCATTTACAAAACAACAGACTAGTATAAAGTTAATGTTTGGTTCTAAATATCATTTCAAGTATATAGAAGTAAACTGAACAAATTTGTTTGTACTACTTGACGAAAGACAAAACACATTACGAACAATTCGGTACGTGAACAATTTTAAAATAATTAAAATTCTTTAAATTCCAATTCAAATAGTTTTTTGATTACATCTTCTATCTGAAAGTCATCACACAGTTCCACTATCAATTCATCTACAAGCTTATCGGCAATCCAAGAGACAACTTCCCATGGTTTATTTTGCGTGTTACTAGTATACAGTGGGTTTGATTTTATCATATTCTGGTATTCATTTCTATAATCTGTAAGAGATGACACAACAGATTCAGACACTGATAATTCATAAGTAGCATTACGTTTTGCACAATTAATTCGACAAGCTGCATCATTGAATTTTGAAGAATCTTCACTTTCTTCCACCTTAGTAATATTATTTTTATTATTTTCTTTTGATGCATAGCATATTAATTGCATATTCTTTTCACCACACTTTTTTTCGTCACGAACAGAGTGAGCTTCAAATTCATCTAAAATAGATTTAATAACATTTAAATAATATATTTTTTAAGTTATTGTAATTCAAATATTTCTTAATCACAAAATTTCGAACGCTTCTTTTATAGATTCGATTAATATTATAATTCAAATAATTACATGAATTAAATTTATTTTATTTTAGTATTTTTAAATATTTTATAGAATGCATGCCAAGGGTATCTCATGTTGATAATTTCATAAAAATGCGATGTAAAGAACTTCAAATTGGTAATAATTTTTCCAATTCCAGTAAAAAGTAAATCGAGATCAATTTATTATTTGTACATTTTTCTTTTTATTGACAGAATATATTTGGTGCATTGTACTTACGTATTTCTACTTTACTTTGACAGGTTTTAAGAAAATCATAAAAAGTGTCAATAGAGGCTAATGGTAATGATGTGTTTTCTTCTCTATTATGAATTAAAGATAATAGATCTATCAAAGGTAGTAAAGATGAGGAGTAAGTTTGTTTTTGCGTATTATCTATTAATTTTTCTTCACCAATATGATCGATCCGATTTTTATTCAGCCTTTTATCAGATTCCTTAGAACTTATTTGAATATGAATTGGTTGATGTGTTTTATCACGAATCTTGTGCTTTTTAGATGTTTTCACTGATTTGCAGCTTTCTATATCGAAATCTGATAGTACAGTTTCCATCATAGTTTCAATATCATCTTCTTTCAAGGGTACATTAATTTTAGAGCTCTTATTTGTAATAGTTTCTTTCGATATTTTTTCAATCGACAATAACGATTTCTTAGACTGTGGTAATATACTACTCTGACACTGTTTAACAGACACATAACTACGATCTTTATTTTTTGGTATCTGAAACACACTACGTGTTTTATTTACATGGGAATTTTTTCCTAATCTCATGTCCACAGCGTACATATTAAAGCGATTGGATAAGGCAATTTGACGATTTCGATTCTTTAACTTTTTACCGCGTGAAGGTGTTGCGGCGGTTGACCTGGTTCTATGACTAGGAACTTGAGATTCATTGTCGGATATCGGGCGAAATCTATTTAATATTGATGTGCATTGATTTTCAGTTTCATTTCCTAAAAATGTATCTCTATTATCTCCTGAGCAATAAAAATCAGGAGTAAGTTTTATTTCGGTGCAAATATTTTTAAGCTCCAGAACTGTTTGTAACAGATCTTTCAATTTTCCAGGATGGCTTTTTAATACTGAACTAGGAATATGTTTCCAATAAGCGCTCAAAGCTGTCAACAGTAGCTGATGAGTACTTATCAATTTTTGTTCTATAATCTGCATATGAAATATAATGCCTCTTCTGTTTAATTTCATTTTATTGTCAGGCGATATAGCTTTAATATGCCTCTGAATGTCCGAAATTTGTCGGCTAAGTTCATATAAATAATTTCTTGATAATCTCGTAGAAAATTCTATAATACGCTGATGTCTTCTGAGAAAATCATCATCTCCATCTGGTAATGGAATTCTGTCAAGTTCATATGATATTGAATTAAGTACTGTAAATATTTTTCTTTGAATATTTAAAATTTTTGCAACAGCCACTGGGTCTGGGCGTACTGGGATTGTATCATTATCATGAAATGATAAATCAGAATGTGGACTCAAATTATAGTCTAAATTATCTGTACTATAGCAAAATTTTGAATGTAATCTGGTATTTTTCATTGTTTGATCTGAACGAGATTTCTTCAAGGTATGTCCACATTGATTATAATGTATTGGTGATTCCATTGTGTAGTAATGTTTTTTTTCCTCTGGGATAGTCAATAAGTTTGCACTGCCTATTCTGTCTTTCTTTTTAAGGAGTGAATTTTTTTTATCAAGTTTAGCTACTGAATGTTTTCTCTGTAAATAAAAAATTTAATAATCGTTAGTTTATCTTCTATTTGTTAGCTTGCATGTTTTATCAAATGTACAACTTGATTTTTTGATGAACTACAGTCAGAATTATACTTTGACTGTGGTAATGTGTCAATTTCAAGACGCAAAAGCTCTTTATCAACATCTCTAAAGCTTTCTGCAAGTGTTCGATTAGGTTTATATTTTTCATCAGAGTAAGGTTGTTTACAATTTATATCTAATTGGTTTTGTTCTTTTATAAATGTAGTCCAAGCTTGTTCTTCTTTATTGCGTGTTCTCTGCCTTTTTACATCCTTTACGATATTTTTAAATTGATTGACAGGTACAAACTGTTAAAGAATTTCAAATAAAAAGTACAATAAGTTTTGTCAATTTCTTTAATATTTTTTACAATGTTCATAAATAAGTAATGAATAAAATTTATGAAAATAATGTGATATAGTATACCTGAAAATTAAATTCATCATTGTCTTCGTCACTATCAGCTAGGTGAAATTTATTAATATTATTACTGCTCAAATATTTAAATTGTGATTTTGCTAAACAGGACATAGTCAAATTAGGTTATGTTTATATTGTCTTTGGATTGCTGTATTTAATAAAGATGCTTTGAATCTGTGTTTGGAAACTTAGTTGCTTTCTTTCATTATAAATCTCTTTCTAAAATAAAATAATTTTAAAAAGTCTTAGTAGTTGATGTAAATATTTTCAAAAAAACAATAAGCAAACATATAAAACGAATATCGGACGCGAGAAAATTGTTTGGCAGATTTTTGTTTAGACGCGGCTCCTTGGGATACCGTTTGACCGCTTCTGCCTGAATTGATTTAATTATACTTTATATGTTTTTGATGACTATTAACATACTCATATCATAAAATATTCTAGTAGGTATATTTATTCCTAATTTGATATATTACTTCAAATTGTTAATAATTCATTTTCATTCAATAACCAGGTTAAACAATTAGTTCTTTTTCATTATTATTGCTTTTTCTATATAATGATTTACATGATTTTCAAAAAAATATTTTTTTAAGGATGATGGTTTGTAGTAATGCACTGTAGTCTAATTAGAATATTAATCATTATAAACAACAATTAAAGAAATGGATCAAGAAAATTATATTTCAGAGAGAATTTTAGAATCACAAGAAATTGATGATTCAGAACATACTGTTATGAAAGGTGATACTGTAGGAGAAACATTGTACAGTGCAAAATGGATTTTGAACACTCTCGTATCTCTAACAAAAGTATGTAAATCATCATTATTCTAGTAAATATAATTTGTTGAATATGACACTAAAACTATATTATTATATAGTAATTATTTGTTTTTAAGATATATGAAGATGGTTGGAATCCATTTATAGAAAGCGATTTGTGCATATTATGGGATATAACATCTGAAAAAGATATTATAGAATTTCTCATAGAAAATGATTTCTTAAGAATGGCTGAATTTACATTGAAAATTTCTGAAGAACCTAGATTAACGGTTGGAGATCAATTTATTTTGAATACTTAAAAAATATAATTTATTTCTAATGATTATATTATAATTATTTATATATTTTTAACATATTAGGAAATAATTGTTGGGATAATAGGAAATTTATGTTGTGAGAAAAAATCTCTTGATAAATTAGTGCAGAGAGAAGAACTAGTATCAATCATACTTTCTCTTTTGTCATCAGACGACAAGGAAACACTGATTCAAGTTTTGAGAATATTACAGGCAGCTATTTGGGATATCAGTAAAAATCCACAATCTCTGTGGTTGAAAAAAATTAGTGATTTTGAGAATTTTGGAGAAGCAACTTATTTTATACTTAAAAGTTCTACCAGTGGTAATTATTATGTTACTTGCAGCGCAATCGATATGTCATTGAAAATATTATTCTTTTGATAATATTATTCTTGATAATCGTAATAGTAAACCATTTTAATTTTATAAATATTATTCTTTGAATAGTTTTGATATACATATTGTATTTATTGCAGATGAACTTTTAACACCTACTATTAATTTAATTTATTTGATTTCTGAAGTAGAGTTACCAGAAGAAAGTATTTTACTTAAAAATATTTTTGATATTGATAAGTTAATAATAAGTATTTGTGAATCCATGGAAGAATTAATCGGTCAAAATGATAGTGGTCATTCAGAAATACAATTTAAAGTCATTGAAAATTGGTTGAGTATTATGTTCAACATTATCAAGAAGAATTTGCTAGTTCTATCAGATGATGAAACTGATATGAATATACAAAAAATTAATGCAGTATTAGTGAGGGTACTAAGACCATATCAACACTTGAATAATTTGATTCCAGTAGAAGAAAACTGCTTATCTTGCATTCAAGAATGCATCAAAATGATTTTTACTTTTGAACAAAATGAAGTGTTTCTAGATTTTGATATAGCTCACATCACAATACAATTGATGGTTAATTTCCAAATAGGTAAAGTACATTGTTTTTCTGCAAATGATTTTATTTAAAAATTCTTAAAATTTTGTAGCTGTAACAGAAAATGAATTTGAAGAACTTGATGAAAATGTGAAACATGCTTATGAGAACATTCTAAACTGTTGGATTGAAATGTTAAAAACTTCTAGTAAAGAACAGGTTAAAGAAATATTGAAAAAGTTTGATATTGACACCATAAATAACATTATAAAGGCTACAAATTCTTTCTTGAATATTTCTGAAAGTTGCCTTGTTAAACTTACATCTGCGAAATCAGAGATATTTTCTATTACATGACAGGTCTAAACTGTTTTATATGTTATACTGTTGTACTGAAATATATATATTTAATCAATGCATATTTATCTCAATTAAACTCTTTACATGACATTTTGTTGTCATTTTTGTTATATTCTCGTACAAAAACGTAGTGAATAAATAGAAATGCAAAGAAAATCGTTTAGAACAAAAATAAAAAATTTGTACTGCAATACACTTTATCCGGTATTTTGTTTTTTATATGTACGGATTCTTTAAAGAATATAAGTCTCGATTATGGAACGTGTATATGACACTTCACAAATGAAGCATATTGTAAAAGACCACAGGGGTCCAGTAAGTATAAAAGTAAGATAAAAACTACGCTACGCAATGCGTCATCTTTTGTTGTTGCTGTTATTATTATTTGTCTTTGCATCACATCACAAAAGAAAAAAGCAGAAAAGGAGAGAATCTACACCGTCATCAAACAAACGTCAATTCTATTGGTTGGCAATACACTAAGCAACTGCGAAGTGATGAAGTCAGAAGTAGCATGTTTAAGATGTTTGTCACGTTGGCATGAGCCAATAGTGTTGTACATATATACTCTTTATTTTCGTATAGCCTATAGCAGCTGTATGGTTACAAGCAGACCGTTACTGAGGAGCGAAGCAAGCTGCACAGAACGTCAGCTTGTTATTCGAAACGGTTGTTTTTAAAACAGTAAATAGCAATCACGATTTCGCGCGTTAGAAAATTCGTCGAGCTTCACTAATTAACAACGTCGTGATCGTCGTTGTTTTGTTTCCTTCGGGCTGTACAATTAAAGCTGTCACAATTCGCCAATTCCACAGAATCATCCCATTTTTTTCTGGTTTCAAGATGTCTGTGAATGAAATAACGATAGAAAACGTGAGTATTGACTGGAACTTTTTGATTTTCATAAGCATCGAACGCCCCTCCACCACTTGCTTGTCAAGGACACGTGCACGTGTTTATATATATTTGTCAATTCTTTTTTTAGCTGAAGATATTAAAAGCTCGGCATGTATACATGAAGGACGAAGCGTCGGTCCTTCAAAAAATCAACAAAATTGTTGTTGAAGGCGCGAACAGCTTGCAGGTTTATCATTTTCTTATTAATGTATTTTTTGTCTTAGAAATGCTTAATGCGTAATAAACAATTTATGGTTTTAGTTCGTAACTGATTTCGATTTGACGTTGACAAAGCAGCACGAAAATGGTTGTCCAATTTTAAGCAGTTTTGGTAAGCAATTTCCAATTTTTTTATAACTAATCTAGTTTCCTAACTATAATTACAGTTTAATTTGTTTTATGCAAATTTAAATGCAAATTATTTTAATTGAAGTTAATTAATTGGTGTGTTAAGCAATATTTAATCAAGATTTATATTTTAATACACTTGTAAAATAAGATTGGACTTCATAAACTTTTTCATGATAAGAGGTTTAGATATTGAATTATCACCCAGTTAAGCCAACTATTGTTGATTATAACATGATTTTTCAAACTTTTTTAATATGACTAATGGAGTGATTTTTCATAAAAATTTATTAAAAATAATATTTTCATCCAGGTATTTTTAGAAAATGTAAGCAACTACCTGATTCTTACAAAGAGGAAGCAAAAATAATGTACCAGAAGTATCGAGCAATCGAAATAGATCCAAACATTCCACTAGAACATAAAGTAGAAGCAATGAATCAGTGGATGTTAGCAGGACACCAAAGTCTGAAAGGTCATGAATTTGATAAAAAAGAGATAGAAGATGTGACTAAATTGTATGGGCATTCTTTACGTGATCGGACAAAAGAGTTATTTTCTAAATTGAAAAATCTCAATGTTCCTGTACTAGTATTTAGTGCAGGACTAGGAGATATTGTTGAAACATTGTTAAAGCAACAAGGGGTTTTACATGACAATGTTAATATAATATCAAATTTTTTAAAATTTAATGGCAACACTTTAGATGGGTTTGCAAATTATAATAGCATGATACATGTGTTCAATAAAAACGAACACGCTGTTGAAAATAAATATTTTAGAATTTTGCAAGGTCGCACTAATGTCATATTAATGGGAGATACCATTGGTGATTCTACCATGGCAGATGGAGTTGAAAATACAGAAACAATTTTAAGGATTGGTTTTCTTTATGACCATGTAAGTTTTAATAAATTAGTTTATTTCTGTATCTGATAATGTAGATAGTGATTTATAATGTTATGCAAGAGCTTCCATTATTTGAAAAAACACACAAAATTATTTTTACAACTCTATATTTGAATAGTAATGTATAGCATATACTCTACTATTCTATTTTTACTTTTAGTGTACATTTTTTACCACTGTAAAACAAAATTACTGTATATATGCATTAAGTTATATTAAAAAAAGTATTTTTGAAATAATTAAAATATTGAAATAATTGAATCCTTTTTTAATAAGATCTTATAAACAGAGATTTTCTTTGTTTACAGGCAGAAGAAAGCTTACCACAATTTAAGGAGGCCTTTGATATTGTTTTAGTAGATGATCAAACAATGGATGTTGTTTTGGAAATTCTGGGTTTACTTTTATAACATACTTTTCTACCTATATGTAAGATAGGAAATCTAATTTTATCAAACTTAGTTTTAAGGTATTTTTTTGTATGGTCGTCATAATTTAATAATCTTGTAAATTTTTGCATTTACAAGTGTGTGTATGAATTCTTGTTACATGAATCAAAGTTTGAACAAATGAAGTAATCAAAGGTACAAAGTTTAACCAACAACTGTGTTAATAATTATAAATTATTTTGTAAGAAACTTTCGTCTTCTTTGTACGTGAAGATTTTTTGAAACGTTTCTATTTTAGAAAAAAAATGTTTGTTATAACATATATTTTGTTGGTTGCACATTAATGAGTCACTAAACGCTGGTCGTAAATCTCAATTAAATAGTTGTTGCAATAATAATTTTATACATGAAATATAAAATAGTTACATTGAGCAAATAAGTTTTAGTTTCTGAACTTTGACACTATCGGTTATTATTTTTATCAATACAATTTTGTTAATAAACAAATATTTATTAAGATTTTTGTTAATCCAGAAAGTGCTAGTAGTAAAGGTATTAATTAGCAAATTAAAATGTAACATAAATTGTAAAAAAGTTTATATATTTCACGTAATATGGTACACAAAATACAGTAATATACATAATAAATTTTTGTTGTAAAGTTCAAATTTTATAAAAAGCATTACTGTCAATAAACATAATATTGTATTCATTTCATCAATTTTACTATCTGTTTTTTATGTACAGACGCGCGCGCGTGTGTGTGTGTACATACATACACACGTGGGAGTGTGTGTGTGTACATTATATATTGTCACCAAATTGTAAACTTTCAATTTATCAAAATAAACAAATATTTGTTTATAAAAGATACTATTTCATTATTTCATTGATTTATACTTAAAGGCTTTCTATGTAAGGTGACATCAAATAACGGAGATCGAATATAGAGATTATCAAATACAAATTAAAATACAAATTGTTAGTTTAACATCTGAATGTGTCCGTGATTGCTCAGGATGCGAACAAGGATAGCAAAATATAGATCTACTATATTAATATTATTAGTACAATAATATATCATTTGACTATCTTTTTTCACCGTGGTAAATATCTGATGACCTCTCCTATGTGGAAAGTCCTTAATAAAAATCCCTTTATTTTTTCACTATCATTCAATGCTATAGTTTAGTATTTTAAATATAATTTACTAAAATAATGTATTACAGTTAATATACATGCAAATATTGATTATGAAAATGTTAAATAAGACATTATTCAAGTATAAGTTGCACAAATATATATTTCGTTTATTCTTTAACATTTATTTCGGAAAATAAATTAATGTCGAAATATATAATCAACCTGATGGTTTTTTTGTAAAAGTTACAAAATCAACTAAATAATATTTTCAGAAAAACGTCTTAGCTTATGTTTTATATGATGAATATATCATACTTGCTCATGTCTATGAATCATTTTATTATTTTATTACTTGAGTATACTTAGATAAATGCATAGCTTTATAAATTTACGTAAAATAAAGATTACAAGATTATGAAAAAAGCATACACTCTCACGTATACTTCAAACACAAATACTAGTCGCAATATACACATACGTTAATGCCGTATAAGTATAAGTATATAAGTGTTGATAAAGTCTGTGACTGCAAGTGTGACGATATGTATATTAGGTCTATGCATGTGTATATCTGAGGTATATGGTATAGTATTGTCTATAGCGACGTAAAGCCCAACGCGGGGAGAAACACGAGCAAATCAGCTTTACACATAGTTTGTACACAACACGGCCAAGTTTCAAAACCCGCGTGCAAGCAAATGCGCGCGAGTTTTTATAGATCGCGTCGCGCGTAGATACATCAAGTTTTCACGATTGGGAACGAATTGTTAACGCTCTAGCTCATTCGCGGGGGGTTGGAAAGAAGTAGGAAGTGGGCAAAGCAAGCAAGTGCATGCTTCGGCGGCGTTAATCCGTGTAATCCAACAGAGAAGACTGTCTCGGGGCCGTGACAACATATCAGGGGTTTCAACGTACTACGCAGACGAGGGATTGCGAGGCTCGACCATCAATATTACGAGTTCGTACATCAACCATGTCCGACGTTGCAGCATTACTCGAAAAAGCTGACTGGGTTGAAGGTGATCATCAGCCCTGTGTTTATTGTTTGTTTACATATAATCAAGTGTTATTTATACGCGTGTTAGAGTTTTGTATTCATTATCATGCACGCGTGTGCGCTCGAATTATTACAATATACTTTAGGTTACGTTTACGATTTACAATTCTGATTTTTTTTCTTTGGTTAATTAACACCTTTTGTTGTTGCTAATCTATAGAGCTACAAAAAAAAGTTTTCGAAGAGTCCGCTGTGCAGATATCCGAATCTTTGTCCATCAAAGACTCGTTAGACGTCGATGTGCCGATTTCAGTCATCATCAATAACGTTCATCGAAGTTTCGCACAAATACCGTTATTTCGGTAAATATTCGGTTTACAGATGTAAACAATATTCATTATCATTCATTTCATAGAAAAAAACGGAAAGCTTCAAATATGACTATTATTTATTAAATATTTGTTTTCATTCTACATAAGGTTAGTTTAATTTTGTATTAAATAAATTTTCAATCAAAATGTTATATATATGGGACCAAAAAATTACTATAAATGCTAAACATTTTCATCATTACGTTATAGTTACATGTTTTTCATGTTTTTTATCGTCATCAAAGATTCAGGAACAGTCGAAAAAATTGCATACACCTGCAATTGTACGGTATGTAATAAAAGGCTCAATGACAATGCACTTCGACTACCAAGCCTTTGCAATTTCTTTAATCTTGCTAGTAATAATTTAAATTGTTGCTTTTGTACAAAATTGTAACTTTAAAATAAAAGAACGTCGCGTCAAGTAAATATTGAATAAGAGTGGAGAAAAGTCCCCATAAAGAATGAACTTTACTTTAAGAACGGGAGCTTTTCGTTTTTCGTAAATTATGAATAAACAATTATTAAAGAAATCGCGCTCGCAAGCTCATTCATCAATAACAATAGCCCATCATTAGTTTTATATATTTACGCAAAAGCCAGAGAAGCGACTTTCTAGAGGATCTGCGTAAATCATTGTGTGAGGCCGGCCGGAATGACTATGTGGATTGGTACGAGTTCAAAAAGTCATCGAAACACTGGTTCTTCAGCCTCGTCAATCTTATCCAGCAGGATGGCAATAACAACATCCGCATAAGCCACAGGTACGATCCACACCATCGGCCTCGATTAAATCTGCAGCCGATGTTTTTTTTATCTTCAAAACGGAAGGCGAGATAAAAGCAAAGTCGCGCTTATTGAGTGCATGCGCCAGGCATTGACCAATTAGATAATTCAGAGGTGCGCGGTCGAAAAAGGAAACGAAAAATCAGGCTAGTCACTGACTGTATATCGCAAAAGGTCGCGGCTGTACAAGTGTCCATAACGTTGGCTCTTTTTGTCTGCCAGTGAGCCGAGCGCGTGTCGAGTATGCACAACGTACACTCGCACACTCGCTGATAATACTACTTCTAAGAGTCGGTCGTCGTCGTACTTTCGCATAGTTAGTTCGATTTCTCGCTGCGCGCACTTATGTATTCCGTCGTGCCGAGTAAAAACATCGCGCATTCGCGTGTGTAAGTATATACGTTTATGCGTGTGCCTCCCATGGTCGATATGCCTAGCTGGTATCGTAGATTGTTTTGAAAGAAAGATGCAATAACGTTTATAAGCACCGACTGATCCACTTTGAGAGCTCATTTTGTCATGTTTACCACCGATACTGTACAATTTCAGTATATTAGTTCACATCGTCCAGTTTTCGCACTTGAGAATTGGTCTATACTTGTTTGCTTGTACGACTTTCAGAAAAACTTCACGTATATATGTTTCACGCAACAAAGTTAGAATTACTAGTGTCAAGAGATACGCGTGAAGACACGTATATAGTATATACGTTTTTATTACATGCATATGCGCAGTGCAAAATTAGTCTACTTCGTGTTATTTACATTAACATGTTGATTTGAAGTGAAAAATATAACGAAAGATTAGAGTATTCGATTGGCCGTTGTTAATTTTTTTTCTTAAAAATTACAATTCTAACTGATATCTTCCGTATTACGATACCAGTACGCAAGCTAAAGTATACCGAGGTATTTTTTTTGTTCAAGGTTAAGTTCACTGTAACTGAATATTTTAAAACGAACTCGTGCATGACATTAGAAATGATGCTTCTATGTTACTTTTTCTATTCATAAAAGTGACTCGCATTTACTTGTCTAAGTTGTTTGCAAATGACAAAAGTATACGTGAAATAAATTTAGGGAGAATTGCGCATAATATTCAATAATTTGTTGCATGAAATGCAGCGAGTATCACAATTTCGTAACTCTAATTTATTTACACGTATGAAAAAAATCACAATATTATGGATAAAATTGAAACGTAAGAAAAAATAAGTTATTTAAAAATCGCGACACTATCGTTTAAAAATTTGTTGAAAAACAGCATTTTTTAGCAGAAATAGAAATAATGTGTTCTAAATAGTAAATAAATTTATAAAACATGAATCATTTTTAAGTGGAAGTAAGCAAGGTATGAAATGAATTTGAAAACCATGGCGAGTTCCGTATATCATTTTTCCCCACACTGCCACGTAAAGTAGTGACTATGCGCCCTCCTAGCAGAGTACAGAATCACATGGACAGTTTGCGGATGAAGTACCTCGCGCATGCGCGATGCACCTTTCCAGCTCTTACTTGATAGCTGCAGCGCATCATGTGTACACAAAATATTTTATACTTTTAGACAGTTAATGCGTTTCTAAGTCGCATGTTGGGAATGCAATATCACCCATTTACGGGGCTATGCAATAAACGAATATACGCAATATGAAAGTACAAGTAGGCAAACACGCACTATGCGAACATCACACCACGGTGCATAATTTACCTATGCACTCTCTACCTGGACTATGTCCATATCGCTCATTGCATAAAGTAATAAAAAGAAATGTAAAAGCATTACAATGCTAACGCGATCAGCTTATCGCTCTGAGCGTAGGCACGTATTTTTACAATTACATGCATCCTCGCAAGTTTACAACGTAACAAGTGGCAAATACAATATTCCGTTATATTTATGTTTAGCTGCTCGATCGCCAAACGTTCGGAAATTCGCTTGTCTTTATCGTGTGTCAAGTTTATAACATAATTTTTTTCGTGCAGATAGTTACTTTGAATGCTAATTAGAAACAAATCGATTAATGATAAATACCTGCAAATCTGATCTTCCAAAGCATGTTTCCAAAAAAGCTTTCAAGGTACTGTGACTTATTAAAACATGTACTTGTTATAAGCAATGATCGGTATAACATTTTTCAAAGAAACCTCACCGTATCGACTTTTATTGCTTGTGAATATCTTTGATTCATTAGAATTTAAAATGTTTTTTAGTTTTCACAAGTATCATGAAGTCTCAATTTCTTTTGTCACAATAAAATAATCAATTATAATATTTGTTCATTATAAATAAATTTTTTGTATCATTAATATTAAAATCATTGATTGTTTGTAATTTTCATGACGCAGTGATGGTCCAATAGAGGATTCGGAAAGGGATGGATGTTCGATCGAGGAGCAGAGTGGCATCGATGCAAATGACGATGACCTTAACTCCCATTCAATTAATCAGTTAGATACCATTGGTAAAATGATTATTTTTCTATTGATGTATTAAATGAGCATAAAGTTTTCATATAAAACATGAAGTATATCAATAGAACAAACACTATTTTTGTAATGCGAGTAAACTAATTCGGTTTAAGAGAATGTCGTATCATATCCTAACCTATAGAATTCGTAGTATACATTATACTTAATTAGTTTGGAGTTTCCATTAAATATAATAATTTCACATTATTCTTTACATTATTCGTGAGGATGAACAATTTCTATAATTGATCAAATGTGATTATTAAATGGACATAAATAATACAAGTTACGATGCGTAGAATCGCTTGTTCTTGCTTAATATTTAGTTTTTGACAATACTGAGAATTATCCACCTTGTGTTATCATGTAAATACGGGTGGATAACTGCACTATTCTATGCAAACTATAAATTGTTAATATATAATCGTTTTTATGATGAGTGAATCTTGATCCGGAATCCTCTTAAGCATATTTTTGATTTATTCAGTTTGAATATTTAAACAAATACGCATGTTATGTAAATTCAATCGTACTTTAATTTATTTACATTACAATGAATTGTTGAAAGTTACCGATTATTGTATCTTCATAGAATCCTGTTACAGTCTCAATAGCAGTAATATGGGTTTTGGGTAAGAAGCGAGATTTTTTAAAAATTTAATTCTATTAAACTTAACCGGCATAAATGTGATTTTATAATTAACTGAAATGCATTTACAGAATGACAGACAGTATTACGGATTCATCAGACGAAACTCATCATCCGAATGGTGATATTGGTGTGGTAGATCTTGAAGTTCGGATTCGTCGATACAATGAAGAAACTGCTAGTTTACGGGATGAACTTGTGAAAGCTGAAGAAACTGTTTTTAATCTAGAACGTGAATTGAAAATAACTAAAACGGCTTTGTATATTTAACTTCTTATCTATTTTCGTTTGTTTAAATAGTTATTAACAATCGATGTAATACCATTTTTAGAGAAAGAATGACTAATAAATTTAACGAAATGAAAAAAGAAAATGATGACCAGAAGGAATTACTTGATGAAGCAGAGCGGCAAAGTAATTTATGTAAACAACATTTACGAAAATTAGAAAAAGCACAAATTGCCATAGAAGAAAAATCTCGAGATTTAGAAATCCAAGTAAATAGATGGCACAATTTTTCAAAATGTAAAAACACTATGGTCTTTTATGTACGTTTTTTTTTATTTTTTAGAAAGAAAATATCGCAAATTTAAAGTCTCGGATGGACGCGATAGTAAAAGAAAATTCTGAGTATGCCAAAAAACTAACTGAATGTCGAGTAAAATATGATGAAAAAATAATTGAATATGAATATCTTCAAGAAAAATACAATGAACTAGATAAAAAAAACTGTAAATTAGAGAAATCTTTTGAAATAAATATACAGGTGAACTATCTATTTATATTTTTCGATGTTCTGCTTAACAAGCAATTTTTTAATATAAATTAAATATTCAGCACCACAAAGAAAAAATTGAAGAGCTACAAAATCAGTGCGCAGAACTCCAGTCGAAAATGAACGGGAGCGATACTTCAAGCAGAGTAAAGTATCATTAACAAGTTTAGTTTGTACCAATGCAATAGCGATATTAGATTGAAATTAACATTGTATTTCCAGTTGTCTTTAACACCTCCACCATATAGTCAAGCTTTGATACATGTTCATAGCACGCCTTACAATTATAAATTACGATCTAAAGATTCTCTGTTTAATGAATTAAAAGCTTCAGTAAGATAATGATTTATAATTAAAATAAAGTTAAAATATAATTCTAATGAAAATAAATATTTTATGCTTAACTTTAACATGTTTAGGGATATAATATCGATGAAGTGAAAGTTCAAAATTTAAAACAAGAGCTTTTATTTTATAATGAAGAAATAGCTTCGATAGCTGAACAAGTAGATGAGTATGTGTGCAATATTTTGTTATGAGTCTTGTGATAATATTTCAAATATACGTTATGATAATTTATATATCTTCTGCAGGGCATTACAAGAAATAGCTACTTCTAGGAACGAAATTTGCGTACCAAATATGCAACTTATAGAATCAGATAGTATCCAGATTTTGAAACAAAAAATATCTACCTTGATTAATTTGGTAATTACTAGAATTATTTTATTGTGTTTGTTTGTTAGTAAAATTAATATTATCAGCTTATGAAATCCTCAAACCTAAAATTAATGAAATAATGACATGTTAGCTTTGTTTTCACACTCATTTCACTTTTCACTCGATATTTTCGTTCAGTTTTTTTTTTTTTATAAGTTATGTATTCTGATTTGTTCCTGAAAAGAGCTTGTTGAAAAACATATTTGTATCACTAAAAAAATTTAAATTTTCTTTATGCCCACTCCGAGGCAGACGCATTTAAAATACTTAGTTATCTAGACACGCGCATGATTTGATGGCGCGATGGCTTCCGAGATAAATAACAGAGTGTATTTTCATAACAAAAAGACTAAAACGCGCGCTCTTTGCTGAACATGCAATTTTTACTCTTGACCTTTGGTTTTTTTTCAGTTTGCTTTAGACTGGATCTGTGATTGTTTTTTGACATCTAACTTTAAATATATAGAAAATTCTTTGATAATTTTCGTTTATTATTATTATTATGATTACTATTATTATTATTATTATTATTATTATTATTATTATTATTGTTTTACTAAAAAATCGAAGTGGTAAAAATTCAATTCGTATACAATGTAATTGAAACTCATGGTGTTTACATGCTCATGATGCTTTATAGGTAAAAAGTTGCACATCTACGCCGACAGCGCAGCAATTAGGAAACGAGAGTCCATGCCAGAAACCTGATACACTACTAGAACCAAAGAAAACTAGCAAGTTAGCTGACGATCATGTTTTCGCGTGAGTCACTTATAGACTATTTTGTCTCCTTATTTTTCCTAAGCGCACGTAGAGAACCAGCCACGCACAGATAGACAAGAGCGACGCGCGTGAGCAATTGGAAGTATTTGGATCAAGGTCCATATCGAGAGAGTTGTGCGATCTCTCTCTTTCTCTCTCTCTCTCTCTCTCTCACTCTCTCTCTCTCACTCTCTCTCTCTCTTTCTCTTCAAAAGCAGTGACATGATAGAGTCTCGTCCACCTCCCACCTTGTTCAACCCCGTAAAAATAGCAGTGTACACTAATATAACGCGGCTGGGCGTCGTCGTCGAAATTGAAAAAATCATTGCAGACAGAGGAGGCGCGTGCACTGGCCTTCTGCGATTCTTCATAAAAATAAACCTGGAAATAAACCTTCTGACCTTTAGCCGCCCCACGACAACGCTTATTCTGCCTTGCAACATTTCCATTTTGCACCGGACACCGACACTGACTTATAGTCCAGTTACTCCGGTTATTCTTCTTTTTTCATTCTTTCTTTAACTTGTACATGGTAGATGAATATCTACGAGTTTATTTGATGAGTTTTCCAAATTTTTCAAAGGCCAACGTCAAGTTGTAATTTATGATTTCTGTGATTTTGGTATGTAGTTGGCTTATAGATTCAGTGTATTGAGATATCCAGCGTGTGATAATTACTATATTCAATGGACTGAACTATTTTTTATATAGCAGTTTGGATACATCTTTAATGAATTTTCAATCACTTAAGTATCTAATTGTTATTGAGTACTTGAAACTTTAAACAAAAGCATCGCGGCTTAATGTTGGAAATAATTGGATGAAATATCAGAATAATACAGTTCCGCATACTAATTAGCTCAGATAAAACGAAGTAGCATAACGACAAGGACTATTTTTAGTGAACTGAATTCATTTAAAAACATTTATTTTAGCAAAATTACCACATGTAATTAAAAACTTATTTGATTATTTAATGGTGTTTGTCATTATTCTGTTCAATTTTTTTATAAGCCCGATTCAGCATTTTGCAACGATAGTTTCGTAATGTATAGATCAGTAGATGATCTGAAAGATAAGCGCATAATACTTGTGAAATCTAACTGAACACTCATGCTCACGTATTAAAATGAGTATAAGTATAATTTTATATTCGTGAACCTTGATCCAATTTTTATAAATGTCGTTTCGGCAACCATTACACAGGCCTTATTTATATAAATACGCCAACAAGGATGCACGAGTAAAAAATTCACTTGACGTTTGATTTACATTTTCTTTATTATGATTTACCTTCTGCTTTATCATAAATTTTCTCATTAATTTTAAAGGATATATGTTGAAAGCACACTTTGACTTATTAAACAAACGTTTTTAATTTTAGCGTCCAAATTGTTCTCGAATGTGTGTTATTGTAAATGACTTGTCATAACAATCAAACGTAAAATCGTCCCCTAGAATCTAAAAAAAATGAAAAGCTCGTTGACAGATATACTGGCATCTCGTCCGCGGGAGAACCGTCCAACGAACCGCGCGAACGTACCCGCATACATCTTCCTCCAGCCAGTCTGCGCTCAACTCTCGGGCGTGCGGTCCCTCCAAAAATTTCGCTTGCTCTTTTTCGCTAATCTCGTGCAGTCAGTTATCGTCGAATACTTTTCGCGAATCCATGAAAAGTGTTCGTAAAATGTCATAAAACAATGTATAAAAACATGAGGTATGCTTTACATCAAAGACCTGAAGTGACACACGTACGTCGGATAAGAGCAGATGTTCCCACCACCTTCTGATTGTTTCCGTCTGCTCCGTACGTTCGTATTAATTTAACGTATCATTTCAACAGCTGGCTGCCTCAATAAAAAATTGTTACGTATTAAGAATTATAGGCGTTTAACTATTTTTTTTCTAATGTAAAGATATATCTGCGATCACGAATAAATTTCATAGATGAAATCTGACGAATTTTGCTTATTCAGAATTTATAGTTCATAAGATTATTTATTTTTAAAATATGTATCTGAAGTATCTTTATGAGTTATTCGTAAATTTCTTTATAAATTGTATCTAACAAGTTTCATTGAATTTTACGTGGCATTACACATCTTAAAAAACATATAAAACGATAATAGTATTGATACTAAATACTTGACATTCGAAAATAATTGTCATTTTTTATTTGAAACTGTTGTTTAGAAACAATGTAATTTCTATTTCTAATAAACATTTGAATTAAAAATATCCATATAAACTTTTACATAAATTTTCAAGTTAGAATCTTTCAAGTAATTAATAACTGTAGGGTGGTGTGATTGAAATGAATTTATTTTACTTTTCATTGACGGCCTCGATGACGCCATATGCAAAGCAATGAACTTTTTATAATTTCGAAGCACTACAATATGCACGAACGACAAAAATACCTTAGCCAATAAAGTGATATCGTAAAATTTGCCTATACGCAAACACACTAAATATTGTCTTTCTCACTAAATTTAAGTAGCTGTTTTAAAAATACGGAAAGGAAGAAAGCATCTTCGGTAATTAAAAGATCGTTGCCGTCGGGGTGACTAATTTTTTCTTGTATTTGCTTTGATTTTAAAAATTGCGAATGAACGGACAATGTTAAAATAAAAATGGTCTTTTGAAAACATTCGTTTGCAGGCTTGTCAGAGCTTCTTTTTTCTTTGTAAACACATAAATTTCAATTATTCTAAGCTAAGCTGATGGTTGTTGCACATGCTGTAAAACAAATAATTTATAGGAACATTTTCAAGCAAGCGTTATTATATGCATTAAATTAAATGTATTTAGCTGTCTGCTTAGCGTGCATCAGTTAACCACGAGCCGAACACGACTTGGATTGACATTGTTCTTAGGCATACGTCGGGCGGCATGAAAATCAAACTTCGCGACTTGCTGGCTCTAATTAGTTCAAGAAATATGTGCTGCATCTGCTATACGATCGTTTACATTATCGAGCGCGAAGGTCTCGGTAGGCTTACCGAACAATTACGTCGCGGTTCTTTCATACGACTGCTTTTTTCGATTCTATTTAAGCAGTGTAATTGGATTTTTTTTTGAGTACACGTTACTCCTTTCAGCCTTATGTGGAATTTGTTTAGCTTGTTTCATTACAGACAATAATTCGTAGTCCTCTTTTCTTCAAACTTACACAATAAGCTGATCACTTGTTCCAAATTCTCCGACCAAAGAAAAACAGATGCACGAATCTAGACAACTTTAATTGAAATCAAAATTTTTACCAATCAGCTTGAGTCTTGATAAGTAAATGATAAAACAGGAAAGAAGAGATAATTAAGTTCAAACCAATCAGTTGCTTTTCAGTCAATTTACTTACTTTAAGAATTAGAATTCTTACGTAACAAGCAAATACTGAATTAACGAGTTCAAAAGAAAGCTTTCATATCAAAAAGAATTTTTTATTCTCATATCAATTTATGTATATCGCTATCATTGTTCTTGTTGGCAACACATAGGTTTGGAGAAATAACGTTCATATTAGGTCGTCATTGCTTAGTATATATCCGAGGCTAGGATGAATTGCGCAAGAATCTGGTTAGTGACGATTCCGGTATTGTAGGTGTTCCGGCCATGTACGCACACTGAACAGTCCGTCATTGTTCGCGTTTTGAGGCACTCTATTGTTGGTTTTTGCTTGTACTCTTCGTACACGGAATGTCTTATTGCACCGCTCACAAATATAATTTTCCGTACGAATTTGCGAAACGATCTTAATTAGGCACAAGATACAGGTCTTGTCCATGTAAAAATCATCAAAGTTGTCTTGTTTCAATTAATAGATACAAAGGCCAAATACTTGCGATTAAAAGAATTCTTAGAAAAGTGTGTTTTTTCGTAATGGAAGAGAACTGAAAATAAAGTGCAAAGTATATTATTCGTGCCGTTCCTTTTTACGAGCAATAACATGATATTAAAGCTTTCATGTGTTAAATAGTAATGTCAAGCACTTTCGTTGCAATGTGTAAAAGGTGATACAACTTGTACTAAGTCCATTAAAATGTAAATGAAAGTTTAAAAATAATAACAGCCGACGTTCCATTTACTCTATCAATAGATTCGAAAGAATTTTAATTTATATCCTTAGCGAGAAAATCCATCATATAATTTATATAAAAAAAATCATAACTTATAAATAATTCTTAAAATATCCTTGATCGTGTGTGTGTATTTGTGTATATCTGCAGAGAGGAGAATCGAAAAAACAATCTGATTGGCTCGGTAACATCGACAATCCCGTCCATTACATTGAACAAACTCAGTAGTAGTTCATCGTCGCTAGACGCTTCAGTCTTACCTGACGACTCGCAAAGCTTCGAGCAAGAAGTCATCATACCCATCGATCAAGCTCTCAGTAGAATTAACGATCTTAAAGAAGTCGACGAGGAGGCATTCGAACAAAAGTTTAAACTCCATTCGCGAATTTCGAAGTACGCTTTACCGTCTTATAAATATCTTTCAATCATTTAATTTACCGTTCATCAACTAAATCTGTTATTATTTCAGGCCAAGACCGAAATTCGCTCTGTCGAGGAATCCGAACTATTCGTCCATGAAAGAGACCTGTAGTGAACCAACCGAACTAGTCAGCGATGAAGAGAACAGTAACTTGAAAGCAAATGCCGATGTTTACGCTATGGGAGATGGACCGCACATTGACCTGATCAGAAAAAATAATTTAAACAAGACAAATCTACAGGTTATTGACACGACGACTAACATAAAACTACGAGATTCGGAATTCCTCGATTACAAAGCAAGCTCGAACGAAACTTTTCAAAAACTTAACACCAAATACGTAACGATTAGAGCTACAGAGGAAACTTACGTTTTGGATGGAGTAGTGTCGAGTACCGTGGAAAAATTCGAATTGGGAAAATTCAAGCCGATCGATATGAAACCCGAAGCGATGTATTATCCGACACCGACGAAATTGGCACCGCGACGAAAATTATCGGTCTATCATCGGTCGTTCGACATCGACAGCTTGCAAACGCCCGACGTTCTTCAATCTGGCGAAAAAAGACGATCGATCAGTACACCGGACGTGCAAGAGTCCGAGTTTCCTGGTTTCAAGAGCAAAGCTTTGCCGTCCTTCGACGCTTCCGTGACAAAGAGTCAGCTACTCAATACTTATCGGTGCATCAATACTAGCGACTCTTCCAACAGTCCTTCCCCAACAAAGAAATCTTCGACTAGAGACAATGAAGATGATTCTTACACAGATGACCTTAAGAAGCAACCGGTGAAAATTAAGAAACCGCTGATTTTAGCGCCAACAAAATTCAAATTACCAGACTCAACTGTGAATCAAACGATTTTATTGCAGCAAGAAACTGGAAAAAGTACGCCAAGCAAGCGATTGACGCGAACGCACTCCGACAAATATGAAGCGCATCAATCGAGAATTTTGAGTGGCTCATTGGATATAGTGAAGAGACAATTAAGTGCTGGCAGGTGTAACTTCACGGTAGACAAATCAAATTCGAGTGATGACAGTGGCAGTAAATTGTCTACCGAAGAATCAAACTCATTTCTCACAGCTGACATTACAAGTACCGAAAATTCTATTGATTATTTGAATAACTCCGACGATGTATATATATATAATGCCGAAAATCACAAAAACTGTACGAAAGCAGGTAGATTCTTTTACTTTTATTCCTTGATAGTGAACAGTTTTAATAATTTAAAGAAATTTAAGAAAAGATTTTTTATACGTATCTTATTTCTTAATAAGCTTATTATTTGTTTTTTTATATAAATCTTACATTCAATTTCTATTTGAAATAAACTTCGGCTATTTAATTATCTAACTACGTAAATGTATGTCAAAAGTTCAATTATTTCTATCTCGAATACATTGATATTTTAGATCAAAATAACATGATTTTACAAATAATTCATTATGATATATTGACAAATTCTTTACTATCTTCGTAGATGAAAAGGGCAGCCGTAAAAGCGAGACGAAAAATGCAACAGCGAGCGCGTCAATCGTCAACGATGTGGGCGACTGTAGCATCGGTGGTGGCGTTAGTGCCGAGCAGTCGAGCAGCGTGTCGGCAGTCAAGCTCGTGATGTCCAGCGGCGAGGACAGCTCGGCTGAGAGCGAGTGCGACCCGCGTCAAGCAGCTGCTGCGAAAGCAGTAGCCACGCAACCTCTACTATCACCGGCTGTTGCCGTAGACGCTGACAAGAAATCTCTCACTTCTGCCGTTAGGCCCAGGAGTAATAGTTGCGTCGAGACTGTCAATTGCAACGACAACAAGGTCAGGGTGAGCTTCTGTATCGAGCGTGTGCGCGATGTGTTTGGTAGTGCTAATCGTTTGGTGATTTTCCCACTTTCGACGGATGATAATTCGTACGTGCGATTTCATTTAAATGCATTGAATTCATGCTTTTTTTATGTCACAGTGAATGCGAGTGATCGATTTTATAACTTCAAAGTCTTATGGTGACAGCGGTGATGTAAGGCTAATGATTTTATTCAAAACGATACACTATTATTTGAAAAATTAGCCATCGATAAAGAACTCTAATCCGCGTGAAGCGTCGCACACTACAAAATTAGTGTCAAGACAAATTTAAAAATAAAGCTATAAATACACTTGTACTGATTCGCGCTGAAGAATGAGCTGCAAAAATAGAGCATACTAAGCACACGGAAATTGTCTCCACGTGTTTTACCTTTACTGGGAACAAAATTAGTGGTTCTCGGTGTCGAATTTTCGAAAATTGAAAATTTACATTTGCGCACTACAGCGCGCGCTGTTGTGAGTAATTCTTTGTGTCTATATACAGCCATTCGTAGAGTACATAGTTTTGAAAGTACACTTTACAGAATTACGTAAAATTGGAGCTTTGACTGAGTATTTAAGCCTGACTTTGAATATTAAAAAAAAAGTATATATATATATATATATATATATATATATATATATATATATATATATATATATATATATATATATATATATATTTATTTATTTATTTATTTATTTATTTATTTATTTATTTATTTATTTATTTATTTATAAGCTTCGTTTATTAAAACTTGCATAAAATTTGATTTAATTTTTTCAACATATTTGCTTTTCTGTAAGAATTATTCGCTAAAAGAAATTTTCTTGATGCCCTAATAAGAAAGCAATAACAGTGTAATTTGAATCTCAGAACGAAAATCACGAGCTCTTGAGCAATGACACAATCAACAGACCGAGCGCAGTACACTTCACTTAACTACTAATTATGACATAATTTCCTTCTGGCCGAGCGCATGCATTGCATATACACGATTGTCTACACGAAAACGCCCGCGATTGAACTTGAAACAATTGTCGATGATCAATCGCTCATCAGTGCTTTTATTAAAGTTTATCGCGTGCGCGCGCTTTTGGATGTGCATGCTGACTTTCCACTATAGAGGTAGGCTGGCGACTACTGTCAACTTGCGTGACATCTTTTGTTTTTATTTTCTTTTCTGAAAAAATTTGAATTATTAGGTATCTTTTCTTGTTTTCAAAGAAATGACCTGTAAGAAATTCTTTAGTTGCACTGCTTATTTGTGTCATGTACTTTACAAACATAAGTACGTTGTATATTAAAAAAAATGCCTTTGCTGGATGGTCACGGCGACGAACTTGTGATCTTATATTTTTTAATATTTGTGATCTTATATTTTTTAATTAATTATTAATCGTTTGAGTTCATGTGTGGATTTCAAATAAATTTTAATTTATTAAATATGAAAAAATTTTATTTCAGAACAATTTTATTTACTACGGAATATTGATTTCAATTTCAGATCATCAAAATCTGATTGGTTCAAATGTGATCATTATTACTTATTTGCTGTAACAGTTCACTATTTTTTATAAATTAAAATAAATGTTTGGTACCAGTTTTTAAGGTTTGCATGTAAAATTTTCAAAGCAAGGTTTTAGTACAATCTGACAATCATTGGAAGACATACTAAGTAGGTCGAAGAAAAAATGTAACATTTCAACAAAGACATTGAAAATGGTAAACTTATTATCACCAAAAAATTTTGTATCATTACTTAATTTATCTTTGTAAATTCATTGTCCCATACTGTTATAAATTTCAAAACATTTCTTCAATAACGCTTAAAATAATAATTACAAATGCATTTATTGAAAGTTGCTTTATTGGTAGAATCAGTATTCAATACAATTAATATAAATTAATGAAAAATTTACCATGTGTTGCATAATTTTCAAAAAAGAAAACAATCAAAAATAATATATGTAATAATTACATCTTCTTTATACTTGATGTCTCACGAATTAAGCAACATTATAACATTGACAAGAACATACAGTGAAATAGGACTATTTTACACATGTTATAGACACGTAAAAAGTTCATTATCTATTGGGCATAGTAGACTGAACAAGGTTTTCGATGTAATTCTGTAACACATGGATTCTGTTACTTGCAATTTTATTAGATAAGTTTCTTATCATATAGTCTCTTTTTTCGTCTACTTGAGATAAAATCGAATTTCATATGGAAAATTTTATCTATATGAAAAAATCTACTATCCGTTGTTCTTGACTATGGAATAGTTTTTCTAATGCTTAATCGATCGTTCATTATTCTGTAAACATACAACTCTTCAATAGCTGAGTTATTGATAACACCATTCTATATTATTCATTACAAAAGAGCTAACTGATAAATCTATTGTATCAAAAACGGAGCAATTAATCAATTGAATTTATTGTTTCCCGTCATTAATTAATTTAGCTTCGATTGAATACAGGATAATATTTTTGTTAATAGGCATTGAGAAAAGATACTGGTTTAGAAATTATATATTTTATCTTTACATTTTCTCATTTATTATTTTTCAAATATTATTTTTCTATAAAAGAATATAATAAATAAACAGACGAGCTAAGCTACTGTCTCATGTAATTTTCAGATCGATAAGGGCAAGGAATTGTACAATGCAACCTTCGAGCCTGACAGCCGCTTAGCCTCAAGAGGTTTAACAATTGCTTTATAGAAATAGTCAATTATTTAATTGGCTCATATAATAGTCGATTGTAAATTAAAAATTTCTAGACATCACTCAACCTTTATATTTACATATATTGTCTCATTAATAGATATTTGCTATAACATATGGACAATACACATTGACTTACTTTCATACTAATAGCCACCACGATTGTTCTCACATTTTCAACTTGATTCTGATTATGAAATCAATCTAACTTGCGAATGAGTTTTTTTTTTTTCTTGTGATAAGGAAGAAAATGTCACGGAGGATATAACTATGCAAGCATTTTTTTTCTTTGAAACCGATAGGATAACGAATTTTGTTAATGATATCACTCGAAACGGTACACTTTTCAATGAACATGACATTATTTAATGAATACGTCTACACAATTTTTTGTCAAAACTCGATTGTGAACACAGGTCAATACTTTAAAATATGATTTCAGTACAATTTTATAATATGCGCAAAAAATAATTTCTTTAATATTTTCTGATGCGTTTCTATAAACTATTTGCAAAGAATGTGTATACGGATGCGGCTAAAAGGGTCGTGCAACTATAATAACTGGAACACATATACGGCGCTAGGTTTATTCTGCCCAATATAAAGCGCAAAATAATATTTTCCTTGAATTCGGCCGTTGCCGACCGTGATATTATTATTAGTGCGAAAGTTCCGGGCACCACATAGCCTCGACCAAGTGATATATCACGTATATACACATTTAATTGAAGATGAAGATTTCGAAATCGTGCATTTTCAAGACGAACAACGTCTTTGCAGTTGAAAGGCTAAACGACTCGCCAACACGATAATTAGCCATTCGAGACTTTGTTACTCTCAATTTTTCGATTAACTTCTTCAACTTGTTGGCATTTTGCTCATTGAAATCTTATCAGCCATTTGAAATATTTCCGCGGGAAATAGATTCTGATTATTTTACAGATATTATCAGTTTTTGAATTTCCGAAAGAAAACATTTTGGGTTCACGTCATTTTCAAACTAGATATGATGTATTAACATACTAAAAATAACGTTATGTTTATGTGCTAAAGATTAAAACATAGTTGAATTGTTCTTATTACAAAGTCTTACAAATGTCCAGTATTGACTTGCATTTTGATATTGATCAAATTCGAAATTGAATATCCGCTGAAGCAAATCCAATAGTTTGTATTACACATAATATTATCAATCCTGTCAATGCTGACAAAAAAAACTATTTTTCGCCTTTTTTCTATGACTCTCGTTTCTACGCTAAAAAGGAGTTAATTGATCATTACCACATAATCACCGTGCAAATAAGCGACTTTGTACTTATAAGGTTCAGATCAGTTTCACACGTGATTTTTCTTTGCCAAAGACTTTATTTTATCATTCTTAGTTTTGTTTGATGTCGACCCAGGATAAACTACATCTACTAAGTAGTATCTTTCAAGACAACTTGTCACTATCACGTAATGAACCATCATTTATTTTATGGTATAAGTTTGATATTGGTCGAAGCTGAAATTTGAAATGATCGTAAAATTAGTAAAAATAACTTATTTGAATATTTTGAAGGGTTTGACCCTGAAATTCTGTAAAAAGAACCATTTTCAACAAACAATTTCCAACCTCAAGATGAAATTCTAAAATAATAGTGCGATATGAATTATACCGTCAGTATTTTATTTATTTTGAATACTAAGAATAAATATGCTTGTTTCAGGCGCATCCTGTTATAAATGGTGATGACAAGGAAAACAGTTACCAAAAGATTACGTCAAATTCATTACCTCAAGAAATAACAAAATTAGATGAGAGCCCAAAAGCATTTCCAAGCTTGACAGATCAAAAGCTTAGAGAAGCTGGAATTTCGAACTTCAACGACATCGAGACTGAAATAAAGTGAGTATTACGCAAGCTATTAAAATAGTTTTACGTTTTTTCCCGTAAGTTCGTGATTTAAAAAACATTAAGAATCAACCTTATCAATTAGCAGTATAAGTTCGATTTGATTTGGAATGAATAATGGTATTTTTAAAAGATGAAAATCATAACGGTGCTTCTTGTAAAGTTATTGAGCTTCAAGGTATGTTTTGATGCATGAACAACTTATTACGAGCCCTTCATAATTTCGACATAGTTGTTCGCTTATTTGCAGTTTCACAGATATTTTCGAGTCTTTCATCTTTTTATAACATTTGCTTTTATTACTTGCTTAGCGATAGTGACAGATTTATTTGGTGTCTGCAGTGAATACAGTTCGGCTTTATTTAGCTATCCATGGTATAGTTACTGCTACTAAAAAGTTAAAACAAGGAATATCCAAACTTCAAAATCAATGATTTAAAAATAAAATTATATTTATAATTATTTTTAATAATTAATATCTTGTTTAACTTTTAATAATTTAATGTTTCAGGGAGAGTTTATCAGAAGAAGAATTAAAGGTACATACTTTGATTATGTAGCAATAAAAAATTATTGTTAATCGATCTTCAGATAAAATATATTTTTGTCTATGATTTTTTGCTTCTAATGTATGGAAAAGGTACTTCTTTATTAACGTACTATAACAAAATATCAATAATATCAATGTATATTAAAATTTCAAGTAATTGTAGACATTTTTATTATTAGTTTTTATTATTACTTAGATCTCTCAGAATCGTATTACATTTACTTCATTCTAATTTAGTAAGCATAACGATGAGAAATATAGATTAAAGTTTAGGATATTCAATTAAAAAGTAATTATATTTTGTTTGATAACTTCATGCCAAGATATAAATATACTATAATTTGTTAAGTAATTTTATGCACGTAATTATATTGTAATGTAATCTTGACATTATGATATTAATATTGTACTAATTATAAACATTATCTTTTACAGAAGAAATACACAGCTTTCTCCGTTGGACTTGGAGCTGATAGAATGACCCTCTCAAAAAGAATAACATTGTCGCGTCGTTTTCGTGACCAAGACGAAAAGAATTTACAAATGGAAGTTTCAAAAATGGAAAAAAGTATTAAGGTATATATTTTTTTAATGTACTTATAAATATTAAAGTTGAAATTAAAATTGTTAACTAATATTTTATTTGATTAGAGTTACTCGTACAAACTAGCTTATTGCAATTCATCATAATAATTGTACTTCAAAAATTAACGAGAACATAGCGAGACTTTAATTAAAAGAGCAACTGGTTTTCTTATGTTTTAAAAATACCATTATATGCTTGATTATCCTTATAAAAGTTAGTTGATGCTCATTTTTCCATGTATCTGAGAAGAAGAGAAGAAGTGTAAAAATTTGTTTATACACACAAAAGATTTTCTCATATAATTTCATTAAAAGAATATGTTGACTTTTATTCTATAATTTAAACGCTATAATAATGCGTACACAGTATAATAAATTTTGAGTAGCAACATATCTAAATTTTATCGACATAAACAAATTTTATCAATATAAACAAATTATTAAAAAAAAATTATTTTTTAAACATATATTTTAAAAATATTTGCTATTTTGTGACAAAAAAAACAATAGGACTTGGCACCTCTCTGCATTGATAGCGAGTCGGTGGCAAAAGTCGAACAAGCAAAGCAAGATTTAGAGATGATATCGCGTTGCGCGAGTCGAATATCGCGCAGTGCCGAAACCCTTGGTGCAGTACAGGAAGAACGAAGAGTATCTAGAGCTGTTTTATTGGTCGACAAATACTTGCAGACATTGCGTGCCAAATGTGAAAAGCTCACCGCTGAACTTGTCGAGACTAAGTATGATGCCACGAAACGCTTCGGTGTTTTAGATTTCAGTGCTCAGTCAGTCTATGTCCATTTATCGCTTATCACGATTAATTTTCAGATCTTTCATCTTCCTACACCATCAAATCTTTTACATCTTTGAATTTATTGCAACTGTATTATTGTTATACTTAAGTATTGTAAAACTTCACGCGACGTTACTGTCAACTATATTTTTGTAACACTATAATGATAATTATCTTTTCACAAAGCTCATAACTGGGAAACATAATAATTAATATTTATCACAACTGGGAACACATTATAATTAATATTTCACTATTTCGACACCTTTTTTTCTTCTTTTCTTTTTTACAGAATGTCATATAGTTACATGCATCTCACGTCGATTAACGTTATGTTATCGAGTCATGCTTTCTTCAATTGTAGCCAATCTCATGATATTGCTCAAATAAATTTAATATTAAATGTGAATTTCAGGAGAATTCTCGCTGAGAACAACATTATGCTTGAGGAGAATGTGAGCGAAATAGGCGACGACGTACCGAAAGTGCGATATCGCGCCGTACTCAGCAATAATCGTACGATGGTTCGAAAATGCAAAAATTTTTTTGTCGCTTCCATAGCTTTCATTCATTATTATTCATCATTATTTTCTAGTCATATTGTTCTGTACTTGAACACAATCATCTAGTTGACAGAAAGTCATTTTTGCTCATTTATCATGTATTTAAATTATATTTTAACGCTATCGAAGGACGGATTCGTTTCGTACAGATACTAATTCTACATAAATTTTTAAATTTTGTTTATTTAACACATTAGTTTTTTTTCATTGAACAGAGCACATAACATAGTAATTATTAGAAAGGAAGATACCATTGAACAATTTGTGGTTGATCAAGTCATGTAAAATGTATATCTGTAGGAAACGCCTTCATTAGTAACAAAATTACATTCTATGGCTGATTAAATTATTTTTGAATTATAATCATTTATGAACAGGAAATCATTAGAAATTAATTTACGTGTATGTTATTATGCCAAAGCTTGTTTTCAAATAATTAGCTATCCAGCAATATCGTCTTGTCACAGTAAGGCATAGTTGGTAATACATTTACTTTCTTAATAGATGAGAGAAAGAAATCATTAAGTGAGCATCGCATGGAGATTGGGTATCTCATGTATGCATTTGCAGCAATTTTCACGCTTAGCACTAGCTTTATATATACATATATGATAAATTACACTGTTATGTTATTCTGTTGAATTGCTCAAGCACTTTGCAATACACATCGTACGTTGTGTTTGTTTTTCTAGATGGCTAGAAGGAGAGCTAGTATAGCAACGATATCACGACCACTAATGGGCAGCAATCAAGACATATCTAAGGCAACGAGTCAACCACTTTTTTTTGCTTTTTGCACCTCCTAATATGCTTTTCCTACTTTGATTTCTAGGAGACCTTGCGTATCGGACTTCCACCGAGAGTTCTGTTAAATAATTCACAATATATCTATATATAACCAATTTTTTTCAAGCTAATGTTTGTAACTTGGTTCGGGAACATTTTTTTTAACTTATGGTGATTTAGACATGTGGTTACATCAACAAATTTTAATATTAGCGTAGTGCTTTACTAATTTTTCTGATGTTTTTTTATTTACAACTTTTAATATTAAGCAATGAAGCCAATATCAATACAGCATCAATATACTAATCATAGTAAAATAATTTGAGGAATAACAACGGCATTAATTGGGTTGGCGGAATAGCTTTAATGCAAAAAGTTAACAGTGTATTTCTTAGGCATGTATATTCATCACGTTTTTGTCTTTGTTATTATAGGAACCTCCACGACAACGGAATTCCGTGTCCGGGAGAATGCCGTCCTTGCGCAGACCTTCCTTAAGTTACGATCCTAGATTTGAAATTGAAAAACTGGATCGAACAGAGTAAGTTTTATTTCTTGCAGACTAAAATATTTTTTTTATAAAAGCTCTACTCTACCATATACTTGTTTTAACTTTTAGTAGTTCAAATAGCATAACAGAATTGCGAGAAATTCATGAACAAGCAGAATCAAGACGACATTCCCGAGAAGAAAATAACAATTCGATACGAGTTTATTCAAATAATCTTGCACTTATCCCTTATGAATCTGTAGATGACCAAGTTGGTTTGTCTAACACACAAGACGAAATGGTTCCTGACCTAGAAATAAACAATGATATAAATTTACCTCTATCATTGGAAATACTACAAAAGTAAGTACATTATTTCATTATTTTAACAAACAACAGTAGAATGAAGAATTGAAACAACTTTTTTTTTAGTCACAGACACCCATTGGTTAATCGATTACTGAGTATGATCGCAGCATGGAAGCCAATGTTATGCGGTATTTTTGTAGCTTTTTTTATAGGATTCTTCTGTAATCGCGTAATATCTACGAGCAAAACGAGCGATGTGCCAAATTCATGGTGGTCTATCGAAGAGATCTTAAATCAGTATACTCAGGTCGATAATACAAAAAATACAATTCCCAGGCCAGTTTGATATAGTTGTTTTTGTAATGTATAATGTAGATTTTAACTTTTTAACGAAAACTATATTTCTTAAAAGTATTTTTGATGTGCGTTAATTTGTATAAAAATCATTTTTTTTTTCTAAGTAGTCTTAATTTTTCTTTGTACCTACATTTATAAGGCTTTTTTGTGTTATAAATTATATTTGTACGATCGTAAGTTTGTTTTCAAAGTGTAATATTTTACTTCCAAAAGCACAGTACGTTTTCAAGCATCAACGTTGCTGCAACGTTGATTTAACCAGTTAAATAACAATAAACCTAAATCTTATGTGTACAACATAAAAATAAAAGCAATCCGTATAGTGCGTCTTTCTAGGAAGGAAAACGTTTTGAATAAACCTTTTTAGTCTTCCAAATATGTCAGTATAAGATCGAAGTTACATGTAATAAATGCTTTATGTGCTCAAGAACAATGTAAAGCAAGTCGATCCCGTAAATAAATATATTTGTAAATTATACGTACTAATTTAGATATAATTTTTTTATGTGATTTTCTCTGTTATTAATTTTAAATATCAATTATTATCCGAAAAAAACAAACACTATCCATTTTAGAAAATTATATGATTTTCAGTGGAATAAAACAATATTATTTTCATTAAATATAGTTTTTATTTGGTAAAACTTTTTCGTATATTTTCATTCGAATTATCTTTTAACTCCAGTCAACTAAATTATTGTAATATTGATCACAAATGTAGTATCACTAAATCAAAACTTTTATCGATACAACTCATGTCTATGATAATTAAATTAATAAAAATTCACATTAAACTCGTGTCTCAAATATTTTTATTTTACCCATAAATATCATTTCCATCTAATTTATTATTTTTAATACAGTATAATCAAATTATTCACGAAAAATTCAAGAGCACTGCTGCACTATCCTAATAGCTAAAAGAGAAAACTTAAAATCCCCCAATTAACTTTTAAAAATTGACTAGGAAAAGATGCAAATAAATTGAAAACAATATGTTTATCAGCTCTAACTAAGCAGAAAATACTTGATGTAGACAAATAATTTTGTTATTATAAAAGCTTCTCTCTTTTGAATGTCCAAGTTATGAACAGTGTACAAGCCAGTTGGCTTTGTTATACTCATTCGCATCGACCAATGAGAGTGAAAATGCCGTCCAAGCGACGTTTATGTATTTTGAGCTGGTAAATATAAATCTTAAATGAAATTTATGGAAAAATAAACATATAATTAGTTAATAATATTTTAATTGTTTGGAAGATCATAAACAATTTAATAACAGGTTTAAAAACATCTTTAAAACAGCCACGCATTTTTCACTGCTCATAACGAATCTATCAGTTCTTTCAGATTCGAAAGATATTAAGTTAGAACTTCAGATAATAAAATTATTATTCAACAGTTACATTGCCTGCACATTCCGTTGGATTTGCTTTTTAACATTTATTAAATCATTACATTTTACGTTCTATTCAATACTTTTTAATTCTGAAAAAAAACCAGTTTTGCTACGCGATTTCAGGAATAGTTATTTTAGTTTACAAATATAAAAGTTTATATGAATAAGTTTTTCACAATTATTTAAACAATTAAATTGTTAATAACTAATAACAACCAATCACACTCAATATTAATGTTTAGCAGGTAAAATTGTACATACATATACATATAAGTTAAAAGTCAGTTGCAAGGCTTGCGTATGAAATTTTTTTAGATTTCATTGTCCTCCTTTAAGCAGACTAGTCGGTGTTTAATAATAAGAATTAAATGTATTATTTGTTAGCGTATAAAAGTCGTCTTAAAAAAGATATCGTCGTGAAACTTTTTATATCTTGAAGAACTCGGCATAGACTTTAATTTTTTTTGCTTGTGAATCCCAAAACCTTATTTAGCGTCCCTAGAAAGTTTCTTTAACCGTAACATTTTATTTTCGAAAAAATCGACTTCACCGTGCCTTTCTAGACATAGAGTAAAAGAAAATAATTTTAGGAGGAATCGTTATCTTTGTTAGGACCTGTACTATGGAATTATGAATGGAGCTGATTTACAAAAAAATTATTTTTTCATGTTTTTCGACCGATTTTTCGAATATTATTAAGAAAAAACAATATAATTTTAGGGAAACTGGTTGATAAACGTGAATAACAAATAATTTTTTTATAAATCGACTCCACTTATAATTCCATAGTACCAGTCCTAAAAAAGACTAGGAATCCTCTCAAAATTATTTCCGTTCACTCTAACGTCCAGAAAAACGTGATAAAGTCAATTTTTTCAAAAAATAAGATGTTACGATTAAAGGAATTTCTAAAGTCACTAATAAGATTTTGGGACTCACAAGCAAAAAAATGAAAGCTTACACTGAGTTGTTTAAGACGTAAATCGTTTCAAGAAGATATTTTTATTAAGACGTCTTTTATACGCTAACAAAGAAAACATTCAATTTTTGCTAATTTAACACCGACTGGTCCCTTAAACAGTCAGATCCGTCCAGCACCAATCAACAGCAAATACTTTCCGCCTTGCTTTCCGCACCGCCAAGATCGAGAAATATATTTTTCAATTTTTTATTTGTTTAGTTTCTATATGTTATTTTTTTAAACTTTGGATAGTTCTCACGTTCTCAGTAATCACAGTTTCCTTTTCTGGATACCAGGGCGGCGCAACCGTATCGTTCGATCACGAATCATAGGAAACAAACAGAATAAGCATATCTCAATCATATTCCTTCATTTTTTGTAGTAATTGTAATAAATTTCAGTAAATGTATTTACCTTTTACAGTAATTTTAATTCTATTCGAGCGTTTTCAAAAGTAACTATTGTATAACGGAATAATTGCACTATACAATGCAATACAAGCAACGAAAATGTGAGGTCAAACCATGGTGTACGTGGGTCAAACCAAGTAAAAGTTTGTACGACTTGAACGAAGCACGGTTTCGAAAATCCTACGAGCTTCGCCCTCTCGATTTTTAGTGAAAAAATGAAGACAAATATATTCGTTCAGGAGTCATACTGACAGAATAGTAATTATTATAAACATTTTTACAAACAATATGATTTCGGTAATTGTATAGCCCACTTACGGTATGTGTTATAGTATTTTACACATTACCTAATAGACCTATATCTTATATTTATATTATAAACATTTAATTTTTATCTTTAGGAAATGAAGAGCTTGTCAAAGCTTGCACAATGGGATGGTCCAAATGGTCAATGTGAACTTGAGAAGAGCAGACCAGGTTAAGATAGTCCAATTGGCCAGGTGTTGAAAGACGTAACAAATGAGAATAAGATTATAATAGCTGAATGGTCAATTTAGCAAAAAAAAATTAGTTCAAGAGGTTCAGAAAAAAGCGTTTTTTTTAATTGGCCAGACGGTTTCACTACTATGAAAAGTTACCTTCAAGATAAAAATCAAGAGTTTCCAATTTTGGTTCCCAAATTTATAAGTAAATAATTTATTCACATTTGTTTTACTTTGAATTGAATTTGAATTTGTTTGTGTTGTATGTATTTATAATTGATGCATACTATTCCACTTTTAGCCATTATACTTCTTGCATTTTTTTTGGTTTTTTCCTCTTATACTTTATTTTCCTCATGGGCTTTTACACTATCCGACCTATGCCTATCTTTCCCTTTTCTTTACTCTGTCTTCATGAACATGATTTCTTTCTTCGGTATGGTATGTCTCTTTTTTTCTTCTTTTTCTTTTTCCTTTGTTTTATCTGCTACTCCTTTCTCTCTGTTTTTCTACTTTATCTTTTTCTATATGTCTTATATACCTCAGCGTATTTATTCATAACATATTTTGCTAGCTTTGTTAAATTATGTCCCTTTTCTTCTTTCCCTTAAACTGTATTTGCTACCAATAGTTTTTCAATGTTATCTCTAAACACTTTGTCGTCTCTTTACGTTTTTTGTAATAATTTGCTTTAAAAAATGAGAGATATTATTCCAGATATTATTTGTTTGTTTCTAATTATTAATTTCATTTTCAGAGGAGCTTGTATGTGCTGTGTGATCACTGCCAATAGTACTAGAAAAATGTTCAAGTTTAGTTAGAAGAAAACAGTGAGAAAGAGAGTTATACTACCAAAGAATTTCAAAATACAAATGTAGGTTCTGCTAACGTCTTTGTAAATCACATGTAGCATATTTTAGATTTCATAACAATAATAAGTAATAATAAATAACTAGTGTAATTTAGATTTTCTCAGTTTTTCTGTGCCACATTAAAGTCAAGTTAATTAGTTTAAATATACAACTTATTCAAAGTAATTTATATGAAATTCATATGTCATTCGTACAATCAATTTTATATTTATTAAATAAATGCATTTGTTGCACAGAATGTGTAGTTTTTATTTATATTTTGATATTCGATTTTTTCAATATTTTTTTCATCTTAAATTGTTTACAAAAGATGTCTAAAAAAAATTCTGCAAAAAACTAAAAAAAAACATAGTCGTTGATCATTGAGAAAAATTCGATCGCCTGTTATCCAAGGTACACGTTACTCACAGGTGCTCGTGTTTGTTGTTGCCGTCTATGTGCTGCTCTAGTTCGGTCAACTGGAAAAAACCGTGGACCAGGTTTGTGACGGCGCGGCAAGTTGTGTGCGCGCTCGAGCGGCTTAATACTGTGCAGATCTAAACGTGATCAGGTGGCTCTTTATGCTATTTTTAATAAAAAAAAAATAAAGAAAGAGGAATAAAAAAAAGCTAGGCTTGCACATATACAGATACATATACGTGAAGAATGAAAATATACAGCGTTACAGGCACAAAAGAGAGAGTATCAAATAGAATGAGAGAGCTAACAGTGCAAGCTCAAGCGCTGCTTTTTTCTATCTTTTGTTTTTTTCCCTAGCAAAAATTGAAATTTCCTCTTTTCCTAGACATTACGTAAACTTGACAAATTAAATTTCGAACAAGTAACCGCTTTTTCACGCGATGTTTAAATAACTTAAATTTAGAAAGTTGATATGCTTATAGTTGAATGTTACGTGGCATATTTTCGTTATTCATGTTTCATGTTGAAAAGCAATCTCGAACGATTGTCAACAAAATTAATGATTATTTTTTCAAGAATTCACCGTTAATCATCGTAAGCGTTTTTTTTTCTTTTGCAAACTTCATTTTGCAAGCTTATCAATGAATATAAGTATGCACTCATACGTGTACAAAATAGCAAGGTCGAAGTAATTAGAGCGGTGGAAGGTAACGTACGGCGTCAAGTCTGCTAAATTTTGGATGACTCGCGAGTGTACACAAGCATCAAACGGACTTGCCTTGGGTTTTGCATACACACACACACACACACAGCGCATACGTATATCCAGGAGGAGTTTCCCCAATAGTCTTAGGCAAGTGGCTGAAAACTTTGTATATATACGTGCGAAGGTTTGAAGCTTTAATACACCAACTAGATAACTGATTTAGGATGAGGACAGTTTAGCTAAATTACACGGCTGTTACCAGTAGTCACCCTAGCTTTCGCGCTACTCATGAATAATGTATAGTGGAATCACCTAGTCAACGAAATTTTTATCTATTACTCCTCAACGAATTAAGAGCCTACCTCGTTTGATTATATTTTTCTTGTTTTTTTTTTCTTTTTACGCGCAACAAAAGAAAATAGATTCAGTTGTTTCTCTTGTTTTTCGTATAATTTCTTTCGCAAATTGTGCATATGGATGCTCTGCGTAGAAAATATAACGTCCTGCGCCATGAAGTGATAAGCGAGAGAGCTAGTATCACAAGATATTACAGGAATCATCAGCGGCGTCACCGTCGTTGTCGAGCCACGCAAGCATGTACATTGGAATGTCAGAGAAAGAAAAATAATTGCGCCTGAAAATAAAAAAAAAATAGTTCAGCCAGTAAAAGACTGAACAATCGAAATCGTAGCGGATATGGAGCCGATTGACTATTTATATGTATGTGGAAGTGGAGAGTACTGACTCCACGCGAATTTGCATCGTTTCAACAATACGAGCGAAAAACTGTCAAATTTAAGACTGTTCGCAATTATCTCCGCAACTAATAAGAACAATTACGAAAAAAGGTTTGGATAAATATGATAGATTTCGGTCTTATACGTTGAAATATACTAAAAACTTGTTGAATTTGAGGGCGTAATTTCGAAAACCCCATTGTTTTTTCGCCTTTTCCAATTCTGTCACGGTTATTCCCTTAGCCCGAACAATTAACGTGCGCACTATGTGTAATTCCAACATTTACAATTATTTATCCCAAACATTGTTTTGTAATTTTCCTTTTTAGTTGCGGAAATAATTACTAAAAACCTAAAATGTTGACAGTTTTTCATTGGTATTTTTGAAACGACGAAAAGTCGCGTGGTACCAACATGAAAATCCTAATACCCAGTCGAAAATTACAGATAAAATGTCGATTGGCTCCGTTTCCGCCAAGTTTTCAATTTCAGCCCTTCGTTAATTGATAGGACTGGAAAAAGGATAGAGAATACTTAGGAACACGCAGGTACGACACGGGAATTTAATCGGTCCTCGTCGTATGAGATCTTGAATTTTTTCGGAGCTTTTCCGTGCAACACTGCTTGGTAGGGATACGCGTGCTTGCAAGTCAAATACGCCCTCGCGGGAGTGAGAATCTATTTGCATATATCTGCGACGTCTGTCGTCGCTAGGATTTTGTTTGGCTTAGAGTAGCTTTTGATATTCTTTTGTAGCGCACTCGATAAATAAAACGGGAATCGATGGGAAGGATCTAATGAAAATGCAGCGAACTCGGTTTGTCTTATCAAAGGAGCTCATCTTTATTTCATCGTGGCTCTTTGTCGATGTAATTTTTTTTCTTTCCATCTTTCGTCATTCTCGCGTCTTTCGGGCAGACTTGATATACCTCTCACGTCATTCAATTTCCGTTTGAAAAAAAGCAGCAGGAGTCTTATTCAGCACTAGATTATCCATCGATACTAAGCTATATTTACTTCGCCGAAGAGCTTGTCATAAACTTTGATATTCCTATAAAAAGCTCACGGTGGGAGATCTACGGAGGGCAGTTTCAATTAGAGCCAATGTATTTATTGCCGCGTCGAGCGGTTTACCTGCGTTCTGGCGAGCGCGATGCGCGTCAAATAGTGTGAGGTCGCGCGCAAAATCGAGCCTGCGTACGTATATAAATCTGCGACTGTTGCTCGCGCGGCGAGCTGAATAAAAATAAAAAAGTAAAAAAAAAAAAAAACATAATGCCGCGTCGCACGATTACGCCGCGCAGCGGTGATCCATATCAGTCTTTGACCCTGCGCAATTAATTTCCGCCGCTGTAAAATATGAATTCCAGGCGGCCCGATCAGATATTCATTTCTTTCTCGGCGAAAAACAATATCCCCTCTTCGCGGAATCGAACCACAGCGCGAGGAAACGTTTACACAAAACAAAGCTCGCATTTCGCCCACGAGCGACGGCAGTTGTGTGGAATGAAAAAGCAGCAGAAGGCGCTCGTTCGTCGTCGCGAAATACCTTGGCGTTCGCAACGTAATCGAGCGTTCCGCGCAGCTTGGCGGAATGGAGTCGTTGCACACGGGTTCATCCGCGCATATGCAAAGAAAAGCCAGCCGATAGCCGACCTGTATAAATATATATATATATATATATATATATATATATATATATATATATATTATGCGACTGTTGCTCCTGCTGCTCCATTTATCAGGCTCGCGATCCGGGATGACGGTGCTGCGCAGCCTCGTATCTCGCGCAACGCACATTTCTGATTGCAGAGGGCTGCAATACCACCGGCGGCGGCAGCAGCAGCAGCAGCATCGTCAGAAGTAGGCTGAACAGCCGAAAGAAGGCGAGATGTGCCGTAGCAACGATCGCTCACGTAAACAGGTGGCACGCATATTAAATCGTCGTCGCAGCAGCGAACACCCAGCGAGAGAGAAGAGGAGAAGCAAAAGAGGGCAACAAGCGTGCGCGCAGCAGACGACAGAGGGAGAGAGATGAGTCAGAGAGCGAGAGAGCGAGAGAGAGAGAGGGAGAGAGGGCGATCGAGCGGCAGCGGCGGGGAAGAGGACCGAGGCGCTCCCCTGGATTCGCAGCCGCTCGAGGAGAGATGTCGATATTCGAGTGCTGTGGCGCGTGCGCAAGCCGCTCTAAAATTACTCGCGCACGAGCGAGAAGGAGACCTCGCGCGCGCGCCACTCCCGGCGAGAAAGAGACAGACGTCGACTCGAAGTTCGCGCGCGCGAGAGAGAGGGTGGGGGACGGCGGACTCTCCCTCTCGCTGGCCTGCGCGCGCGCGTGTGTGTGCTTGCTGGCTCGGTCAGAGCTTGTGTGCCAGCCGAGCGCTCCGCACGCGACCGACGCGACCCGACACACGACACGACACAACACAACACACAGAGAGAGAGAGAGAGAGAGAGGGAGAGGGAGGACACAACAGAGCACGCACGCGTTTTATCGCGGACGGCAGCAAGCCACAGGGACGCGCGGACGGAGAAAAAGTTGAGTCGAGTTTGGATCCGACGCGAACGCGACAGATAAGAGCAGAGAAGACCGGCTCGGCGCGATGGCTGACAACCAGGACGAGAACAACCAGGAGGACTCGCTGGGCCCGGCAGACTCGTCGACCGCCTTCGCCAAGAAGATACGCGGTCGCAAGGGCGCCCTCAAAAAGAAGAACGTCTACGTGGTGAAGAATCACCGGTTCATACCGCGCTTCTTCCGACAGCCCACCTTCTGCAGCCACTGCAAGGACTTCATATGGTAAGTGGCCGCAGCAGGCTTGCATTCCATTACGCCAGGTACGTGGGCAGAGGCGCGTTTACGCGTCCGCGCGCGAGCACGCTGTTGAATGCCGATACGTCACGCAAAAGAGTGAAAGCTTGCGGGGGCTTTATTTTCGCTCCACGGCGTGCGCCGCTCCTCTCGGCGCGCGTCGGCCGCGCTCTCGCCGCGTCCAGCTAATTACCGGAACACGTCGTCTTACGACCCCGAGCTTGCACGGTCGACGAGTGCACGTGCTTGGCTTGACGCCCCCCCCCCCTCCCCCCGGCTGCCCGCCCGCTCCTCTTTATTCTCATACGCCGCAAGCTCAGCTAGACCAGCCGTTGTTTTTTTTTTTTTTTTTCTTCGAGGAACGTTCGCCGCGACAATAATTAGCGGGATAATTATTGTTGGCAAAGCGATTAGGCTGATCTCTCGCATGGTGCACGCGAAGACGCATTGTTGACACCCGATGAGAAATGAATAAGAGAATGAAATTCGAATAGTGCCTCGCCCTTTGTACATGACGGCAATATTTTTAATCTCTCAAGCCAGGTTAACGGAATGATCCATTTATATCGCGGCGAGAGTGCAGCTCAGATTATTCCATGCGCAGGCTGCAATCATAAAGGCATAACTCTAACTTAAACTTTTGCGCCATGACAGCCAGCCCGCAATCGCGCCATCACGACTGTTGTAGGCTGTTCTTGAGTAAGCGCGATCAAATATTTATCACATGGGAAATAAAATGTCCGTGTTGTCGTTGTGTCGCCGAGCAGCGCTTAGCGTCTGCCAAAGTGATCAAAAGGAATGCGAAAGTATATTAGTTTAAACGCTCGGCTCGCATTAAGCGCAGGCGCCTTTCTCTCTCTCTCTCTCTCTCTCTCTTTCTTTTAAGTCGATTATTATTTTGCTTTAAGTCGAGCGAGCAAATTGGCTAAAGTATCAATGACGTGCTCGGAATTAATCTGCCAGCCTGCCTTTATTGACATCAGAAATCACTCGAATGGACGCAAAAGACATTTGCTTCAAAAATACCATCGCGTGAACACACCGAAGAAAAAAAGAAAAACTTCAGAATCTATAGAAAAACGCTTACTGTGTATGCGATATATTAACGTGGGTCGACGGGCCGGGACACCTTCGACAGCTCCGAAATTTATTATACCCAGGAGTTTTTTTTGCGTCTGCATTATATCCAAGTACATTTATTAACTTGGCAAAAAAACCGGTTTTTAATAAAATGCACTTGCCTACCGATGGCTTTTCTCATAACCGTTATCTGCTCCATTGAGAATCCAAAAAGAACACCAATGAGAATTAATTCATACAATGCACTGCATAACGCTCACGTACTTGTTTTGCTCGCCCGTGGTTTATCTCAACATTTTCCGATACAATTGTCTGAAAAATTGCAGCAGCGCACTTTCTGAAAGTTGCGAAGCCACCATGTATTTCACATGCGAAGAGCAAACAAACACAGCGTAATGAAGTAATTAGCTGGAAACATTTGACACGAACGGATCTTTTCGTTGCTCTCTTTTAGCGAGCTTTTCAAGCAACATTGTATGATGCATCGCGATACATCAATTTCAATGAATGACATTGAATTATGCGTAAATCATCGATTTTGAGAAGAAAGAAGACTCGCGGCTATCTGATTCGAATGAGCTAACAAACGACCGGTTAATTAGCTATCGAAGCTCGCAATAAAAAGCCGAGCGAGTCCATTAAAAATACCGTCGATCTCCCGTGAGTCTGGTTAAATGACCCTATTCAAGCCCGGCTTCGTGAATTTTCGACTCTCTCCGGCGCATCGCTCGCAGCGATATCGTTACAATTTTTATTTGCTGGCTCGCGCGACAATCCGACGTTCGTTAGCCCGAACGACAAATTGTCCGCTCTCGATGCGCACGGCGAATGACTCGTCGAGTCGGACGACAAGCAGATGCCTGGAGCGAAGAGCGCGATTTTTCGGATTCGGTGTCCACGTAACGCGCGCGGAATGAGAATTGAAAGGAAGCTCTCGCGCGCGCCACCTCCGCGTTTGCCATCTCGCTGTTCTGCTGCGCGCGCGATGACCGAGAGAGCCGTTATAGTCGAGTTAAGCAGTAGCGCCCGGCCTTGAGGCGCAGCGCGCAATGCCACGTGAGCTATATGTGGACGCGTAAGAGAGCAGCAAGCCACATTCGTTGCTCCGATCGAACTTTTCGCTTGTCCCTGCTAATTCTTCTTTTCGTTGTAGTTTACGGTCGGACAGACCAACGACCACAACACCTTTATTTTGTTCGCACTCGCTCTCTCTCTCACACACTCACTCCGCACAGTCGAGGACCGTTTTATTTATAGATGGGTCACAACTCTGCGGTCGAATTAATATGTAAATGAAAATGTTGCGCTGCCGCTGCTGCGGCGTTTTCTCTCAATGGGTTATAATGCACTCGCTACTGTACTGTACCGCACATGGGATTTCGCGTAATTAGAGTGTGTGCTGCTTGACGTCGATGCTAGGAAAAGTTTCCCGCTCGGCATTGTTTCTCACGCACCATGGCGATGATACGCCACTTGAGTTTACAGTCCAACCTTCGATCGACGTGACAATTGCCACGCCTGCGCGCGTATTATATGTACATATCGGCAAAACGTGCCCGCGCATCGCGTATTCTTTTTGCAAAGCCCAACGGATTATGCCGTCGCACTCTCGTCGGCGTAAATTAATTATTTGAAATGTCGCACACGGCCACGGCGCGTTAGACCGTTGTTTCACTGTTTAAACGCTTCAAGTTGGAAGAAACGTCACGAGTGTCTTTTTCAACGTTACGCGTGGGAACATTGTTCTGACGTACCTCGCGCGCTTCATTACTCATCTCTGTCCGACGCTTATGTTTAAAATTGTTCAAGGAACGTCCACTCACGATTATTTATTTATTTATTTTTCGCATAACGGTCGCGACTGGAATTGCCAGCTTGACATTGTTGTTTTTCCTTTATGACGACGGTTCGAGAGAAGCTGCGGATTTACCGATATATTGCTCCGTCGCGTTATGCAAGAGCACTTGGCTCTATTTCAGGTGAAATCCTAATCAGTATTCCACGATAGACCTGTTGTATGCGATAACGAGCAATTCGTTCATCTATAACTCAGCTGACATTGCAGTTTGTCGAATAGCAAATGAATGCCCAGGTAGCAAAGCAAGATACCATTAAAAGAAAAGAAATGACGAAGGATCTGTTAAATTGTCGCTCTCGGGACTGGCAATGTTATCGGCGCTGGTTTACGATCAGAGGCTCATGTTGCGTGCCGCGCAAGGATAGCACACGTAAACGCTACAAGTGGCGCTGGTCGTTGAATTCCAAGCCCCCTGCGCTACACGCGGCAGTCGTGCGCGTGCAGAGCTTTCGGGCGTCGCAAGTGCGCGCCTCGCGATCGGCGATCGTTTGAACAGCCGCCGCGACAAGACGGAGCGCGTCGTCCTCGTCGTCCTGCGCGGCCGCGCGGCCAAAGCTACGGCGCTCGCTCGCTCCTCGTCGATCATTTCCATTTCGCTCTTTCTCCCGCGCTTCCTTGCGGACATTTCTGCCCGGCTAATCTAATGAAACGCGCGCGGACGTTTACTTAGGGACTTCTTTTTCTTCGCTCATCTTACTAATTAAATGGGCAGGAGCGAGCGACCGAGGATCATTAATTAAGAGCTCTAACGAGAATTAGCGTGTGAAAAATGTAGCGGCGTTAATTAGACGCAGCGGCAAAAACAAAATACTAACTAGCTGGCGCAAAGAAGCGAAGCAAGAAATAAAATAAAGGAGAGACAGGCGGGCATTTGTCTTTCCAAGTGCCTTTTTGCACATGCTGCTCTGCCCGCAAATAATGGATTCTAAATGCGCGCGTTATTCTGCGTTAGTCCGAGCTAATTTGGCGTTGCGAAGTGGAACGCCGCTCGGAGATTTCGACCGAAATTATCGTTAATTTCGATCCCTCCGTGAAAATTGGAACTTCGAGGCGTATTAGCGCGCGGCAAGATGAAAATGCCTTTCGCCGCGGGATCGGGGTCGCCGGCACGTAATTCCCCCCTTTTCGCGAGCATCGTCCACGCGATCCTCGTCCCGAGCGCCGCGGCCCAAGCGCCCGGGCACTTTGGGACTTTTCTAGACGCGCGCATGTGAGGCGAATGTGTGCAAGAGGCGAAATGTGGCAAGGACGCCTGTATCTCCGTGCTGGCTGTCGTGAATTGAACGCGCGCGAACGTTTTTCTCTGGCTGTGCGTTTCGGATTGCCTATCGTCGTTTTCGCTCTCTCTCTCTCTCTCTCTCTCTCTCTCTCTCTCTCTCTCTCTCTCTCTCTCTCTCTCTCTCTCTCTCTCTCTCTCTCTCTCTCTCTGTTTAGTGCCTCTGCCAATTACTCCGTTCGCTTTTTTTTGTCTTTCACTCTTCGGAAATGGAACAATCACGGCGCACGTTACTTTTGCCTGAAGTGCTGTGTTTTTGTGCCTCTCTTTCGGTCCCGCATTGCAGCTGTCGATTGGCGCCTACCAATGTCCAATGGAAATCGAAGCTGGTCCCTGCGATCGCTTGGAAAAGGGAAAGCAATCAGCAATCAGCGAAGATGATTTTCCTGCAGCTTGCGACGGCGAACGCTGGGGCTAAAGTGATAATGCCAAGACGGTAATTACCGTCGAAGCAGAAGCATCAGCGAGAACGTGAGAGCTTTTCGTGGCGTGCGAGAGATCCACGTGCCGCGAGCGGCTACAGGCGCGTTGTTACGTCGCGTTGCCCTAGAAATTAGCGTCCGAGCGACGCCCAAGGCTTCTACTGCTGCTGCTTCTTCTTTCTCTTCGTGTATATATATACACGCCTAAACGTTATATTTGCGCGAAGCGTATTTTTTGCCTTCTATCGTTCGTGACTACCATCGCTTTCGTAAAATTTCGTTAAGATAGGGAGAGAGAGAGAGAGAGAGAGAGAGAGAGAGGAACGTTAATAATTGATTGATATAGTTTCGT